ACACTGATGGCTTTAATGGGTGTCTTCAAAAAAGATATAATAGTCATTGTTTTTGTTCAGAACAAAACAAACAATATACAACAGACAAATAAATAAAAGCTCTATTACACTTTTACTGTGGTAGACCGTTTTGACCCACTATCAAAACCATACCATGTGTTTATTGAGGTGCTAAATAACAAATAAAGTGACCTGATTGACAAACTGAACTCACCACAGCTTTTAACATACGTGTCCATGACCTCAGAGCTGATGCCATACGGTCCTTTATCATTGGGTGCGTACTTTCTGAAGAAACTCTGCATGGAGAGACAATTAACCAAGAGAACAATAAAATAATATGCACTTTGTAATTAATTAATAGATGATCAGTTTCTTTAGATGTATTACAAATATAAAGAGGAATTTTTCATATTTTATCTTAATAAATGAATTGTAAAATTTTACCAAGATTAGCTGTTTGAGAAAAAGGATTGGATTTAGACTGGACAACTAGGATGTAATGCATTACCTGAATGTTTCCTTCAGTCGCTAAAACCTCAGCCACAGGCACTGACTGCACAAACTGCATAAAACCTGCAGACATGTGTGAGGCGAAGCTCAAAATGAGCTAAAACTCAAATTTTTCTTGACTGGCTAATAGTTTGAATCCTGCACACAATAAGTGAAGCAGCACTGACCGTGTTTGGTGCTGGTCGCCAAAACTTTGTATGGGGTCAACTTCAGGTCCAAATTCTCTTTCCTCAGCAACTGCAGATAAGAAATGTTGAGAAAATACAGATAGCAATAAAAAAAAAAAACACTAAATACACTTTTTTTCCATGTTTAATTTTAGCTTTAGCAAACAAACTCGCAAAATAAACACATTTCTTTAAAGAAAAAGAAACCGATATTACTTTGAAGAAAAAGAAACAGATATTTAAGAAGATGTTCAAGTCAGCTTATAATGGAAATTGCAATAACATTTACATGAAGAGTCTCTATTAGCCATTTATTAGACCAATTTATTATTGTGAAACTTAAATTCCTTTTGTAATGTAGGAAATAAAATTAAAATAAAAACATCAACTATTTACCATGACAACGTTAATCTGGAGAAAGCCTTATTTCTTTTAATTTAGCTGGAATAAGAATAAATATGTAAAAAAGTAGAACTGTTAAGATTATTAGCCCCAATATTATCAGCCCCAAATTTTTGATTGGCTACAGACAAACCACTGTAGGAATGTAAATGATCATATGCATTTGTTTATATGGCAAAGCATGTCTTTTTCACCAAGAAGGTTCATATTGATTCCAAAGTCGGATCCCGACAAGATCAGGGCCTGGTTAATATGTCGACTTTGTGGGTTTTACGCTGTGGTCGCTTGTTGATTGTCTTAGTATTTGGGCTTTGGCCACACGATCAAGAAAGATACAAAATAGTAAGTAAACTTTGCTCTGCCTTTTTTCCTGGTCTGCCACTTTTCCTGCTCTGCTCCTCTTCTTTAACTGCCCTTATTTCCGTTTTTTGGTATTAGATTGCAGAAGAATGGTTTAACTAGAAATGTACAGTTTTTCACCATCATACTAATAACTTTTTTTTTTTTCCCGTTCGGCAAAACTACAGTTCGAACCGCTGGAGTTAAAAAAAACAAAAAACATTCTTACACCACTGTTGACTAATGACTTGGCAATTTAAATAACCTGCTTAGTTATCTTAATTAATCTAGTTCAGTGAACTTCATAGTAGTACTAACTTACTAATAACAATATCTTGCAACAATAAATAGTAAAATAATATGCACTGTCATTATAGACATTAGTTAGGAGAAATGAGTTTTTAAAATGATGTTGAAAAAAATCAATCTTCACAAAGATTTCACAGGAGGTCTAATAATTGTGTATGTATATCCCAGTAAAACAGTTTCTAAAACAACAACAACAGCAGCAAAAAAAAATAGATTTTGTGCACTAGGAACGAATTGGATAGTTATGGTTTGGTATTTTTACAATACATATGCCAACCATCTAAAAAAAAAGCTGCTGCAAAATATAGGAATACTACTCCACATGATTTAAAAATACACAATGATGTGCATGGATACTTCATTCCATGGTGACTTTCAGATTCTGAACGCATGTTTATACATAAAATGAGATCTGACCTTGTCCATGAGTGAGATAATCTGCAGGATGAGCTGGTCCTGCCGCAGGTCATCCCCATGTTTGAAGATGACAGGATATTGCTCTCCATCTTCAGTCTTAAAGATGAGCTTTGCTGGCATCAGAGCACTCTGAAGGAGACAAAGCAAGAAGTCAGGGGTTGTACGAGTGCAGCAGACAATGCATCATTCATACCTTGAAGAGCGTTGCGGTCTCAGGAATGATGCCTTTGATGCGGATCTGTGGCTCCAGAGGGAGAGGAATGGGCTCAATCTCTGACAGATTCACCTTCTCATTATCAGCCAACAGGCTCTGTAAGCGCTCCGTCTGTCAGACACAAAAAGACAGAAAAAAATGGCACTCTTAAGTAAATCAATGACTTGAAAGAAAAGATTGTCCAGTAGTTATAAAACTGATTCAGAGTAACGCTGCATACCTTTTTCTTGCGGTTTCCGCTCTCTCTTTGAACAGCTTTCATGAGCTGCACCAGTCTATCTACAAACGTCTGCTGGGAGGCCAGAAGTGAACGCATCACTCGCACACTCTTATCACCCTGGAAACACACGTTAACATCACATCATCAACTATTTCTTTTTTCCATCGATTTAAGCATTAAAAAATTAGTTCACTCAAAAACTAAAATGCTGTTACTGATTACTCATTCCTATTGATGCACATTTACTACAGGCAATGCAAAACGTGATGTTCTGCTGACTGAAAAGCATTTTTTACAATTGAGAGTACTTTTTGTTTGTTTTCATAACAATTTATTTTAGTTCCCATTACCAATTCATGCATTTAACTACTGGCTTATTACCTGCGTATTATAAAGATATTAACTGTCCATTAGTAGTTGTAAAGTATGATTTTATTCTGCATTCCTAATTCTACCCAAAACATAAACCCAACTCTTACCTCACTAACTATTATTAAACAGTTCATAAGTAGTTTGTCAAGCTAGTAGTGTTAGTTAAGGGTTTGGTAATACCAAAACTAAAGTGTTACCATTGTTGTCAACAAAGTGTAGCATTTTTTCAAAAACTGCATCAATTGAAAATTTATAACAGAATTTTGATATTTGAGAGAAACATCTTTTAATTGGTTATATAAATCAGCCAGACACTTTTATTAATCATTAAAGTACAATTTGAAACCAGGGGAAATAAAAACAACCCCTTCTGTTCAAATCTGGGTTTTTATGAATGTGACAAACACCTTTAAAATGTATATTAAGCATCAAACATCTTCTGATGTCTGTTTTGTCATTACACCTATAAGTTCTGCATGCGATACTACTTAAAAACAACTTTCCAGAATTAATGATTTTCAATGGACTATAAAATAGCTCAAGATATTTCAAACAATAGTGTCCTTTTAAACTTTCTGTTCATGAAAGAGTCTAGAAAAAAATATTAGAATTATTTCTAAAGGTTCTTGAGACACTGGAGTAATGACCGGAGCTTTCCCAATTATAGGAAGTAAAAAAAAAAAAACATTTTACTGTGTTTTAAACCCCAATAATAGTTTACAAAAATTATGACTTTAAAAACAAAATAAATGCAGCCATGGGGATAACATGTGACTTATTTAAAGACATGACTCAAATTGTTCGACTCCCTATTTTAAACAGTAGTGCATCATCACATTAGTTTGTTGACTTAAAGGGAAAGTTCACCCAAAAATGAAAATGTACCCACTAGTTACTCTTCCTCAAGTGGTTCTAAACTTCCTCATAAGTTTCTTTAAACACAAAAGAAGATATTTTGAAAAGCTGAAAACCTGTAACCATTGACTTGAAAAACAAGGTTAGAGCTTTTCAGCATTCTTCAAAATATCTTATTTTGTGCTTGGCATAAGAGATAGAATAGAATCAAAAAGATTTGAAACAAGTAAAGTATGAGTAAATGATGACAGAATTTTCATTTTTGGGTGAACTATCCCTTTAGGTGGACTTAAATGAATGTTAAAGTACCTTAAGAAGAGCCTGACTGAAGCGCCTCATCACATTGAGGTACATGTCATGGGTTTTTGGGTCTCTCTGCTGCGTGTCCTGATCCTCACACTCCACTATCACATACCTACAGCCAAAGACAACGGCCAAACATATTTAACTGAAATCTTGCATATTGAGTCTGTAGCACTGGCAAACGTGTTGTGGTCATGCAAGAGCAGAGCTGCAAAATACCTTCATGCTGTACTCACCAGTATAAATAGTTTGCCAGTGTAGAGTTTTTGCAGGCACGTGATATAAGGAAGGTGCACAGATCTTGCTGTGAACACAGGTCATACACACGGTTACATAATCATCAACATTAGCCAAAATGTACTTTTTTATTTTTTTCACTTGCCTCTAGATTTTCACCATCTGTTCCCTCTTTGCCTTTTTGTGAGCTGGGCATCACTGCAATAGCTGATGCCAACTGAGAACTGGAAAAAAGAAATACTAAAATAGTTGAAAATTCTCACTATGTATTTGATTGTTGAATTCTGTTAGTTTCACACATCTTCAGAAATTGTTCATGCGCATTTTGAAATGCTGTCATTTTAGGAAAAGTAATGCATGTTGGATGTTGTTGTGAGGTGTCAGCTGACCTGTCCAGATCTCCTGTTGTCGAGCTCTCGGTCAAACCCCCCTGATTGTCTCTTTTATTGGCAGGCTCCAAACCACCCTGGATATCGTTGAAATTCTCATATTTCAATGCCTGCACCAACTGGAGCAAGTACATCAGCAGATCCTACAAGGAGTTGGAACGAGAGATGAAGTGTGTGTGTGTGTGTGTGTGTGTGTGTGTGTGTGTGTGTGTGGTGTGTGCTCAATTTATTAACACAAGTCACAAACAAAATCACATGCATCTACAGAAAGATCAAGTTTCTCTAATCGTTTAGCAGTCCTATAGACTCACATTGTAACGGCATGTGTATTTAAGTATAGTTTATACTGATTATTAAAGATTCAAATCATTGACATACAAAGATTTCTAAAGACATTTTCTATTCATTGAAGAATTAAGAAGAATCACAGTTGCATGAAAATTATAAAAGAAATGTTTCTTGGGCACAAAATCAGCATATAAGAAAAAATAACTGAAAATTAGAGTAATGGCTGTTAATAAATCAGCTTTGTCATCATAGGAGTATATTGCAGATTAAAATATACACAGTTATTTAAATTGTTATAATACTTATATGTCCTAAAACCACTCACAAATGAAGTCTATTGGGGGATTAGCCAAGCAAAATTGAAGAACGGGTGTGATGTCATTTACAAAAAATATAGCCAAAAGTTCATTTTGATTTCATAATAGAAACTGAAGTTGTGATTCACACTTTTTTCTTCATGTTTAAATCTGTAAACCCGCCATCATTAAAGCAATAATGTGCACAAAGCACTGAAAAAAAATTGGCTTGATTCTAGTCCAATATCTAAACATTTATAAAATAAGAAGCATTTCCTAGACAAGCAAAACATATTGTCTTGTTTTTAGAAAAAAAAAACAAGCAACATAATCTGTCAATGGCGCAAGCAAAATAACTGAATTGATTTCATTTTGAAATGAGATTATTTTGCTCGTTTTAAGAAAAAACTCTGACTTTGACTCTGAATTTTGACTTCCTTCTGAAAACAAGACATTTTTTTTTTTGCTTCTTGCATTTTACCCTTTGACTGCCTGCTCTACCAAACAACTGACCATGCTTTTACTGTTTTAAATAATGACAAACATCCTGTTGCACTACTACATCTGATTTTGGTTTTGTTGTGAAAAAAAAAAAAAACATGTTAAATGAAAATCTGAAATATTTTATGGCATACTTAAAAAAAAAGGTGATTTAGTACTCAAACGTGTTTTATAAAATATTTTTTTTTAATAAATAGGTCTTCCACATCATATTTTCAGTTTATTTCATAGTATATGCATTAATTCCGGTCCTTTAACCCTGAACTCACATATCAACCATTTGGTAGAGGTTAATATTTTAAAAATTATGGAATGTGTTAAAAAAATGCTTTGAGTGTCTTAACTAGCGACATTAGGGGTTAAGAAATGCAATCCAATTTTTTTCTTGGTAGGGTAGTTATAGGATTAAGAATGTTTAGATAACTAGACTAGAAACAGGAGTGCCATAGTTGGTGCAAACATATTCATAATGCAATGATCAAATGCTTTCTTAACACCTGCTTTCTCATTGCCAACGCTATTCTGTCATGTTTATTTTGATATTTCGAGAAAAAGAGTGAAGAACATATTTACATATTCACCTATATATCACTTTCAGCAGTACATGTGGCTTCAGAATGGCTGCTAACAGTATATTATAGTAAAGCTATGTCAAACTTCTTATATATTTATAAATAAATATTGGAAACAAACTTTGCTGAAAGTACATTGTCAGTATATTTACACAAAAAAACACACCTCATCATCGGCCTGCTGTAGCCTGGCGACGGCATAGCGTCTGACGGTGGGGTTGGTGAACTGCGACGACAGCAGCTCCAGTGAATCCTCCACATCCATCGGACGCCACTTTCCCAGTAGCTCCAGCGCCTGTTTGGCCTCCTGAGGCAGATCCCAGTTCACACACTTCAGGAACTTAGTGAGAGCCTACAAACAAGAGACACACAGTGAGCTTCTGCTTTGAACAGAAATTAATGGAATAGTTCACCCAAAACTGACAATTCTGTCATCATGCACTCAACTTTCACTTGTCACAAATCTGTTTTAGTTTCTTTATTCTGTTGAACAAGATAGAAGTTTCTTTGAAAATTTTTAAAACCAACAACCATTGACTTCCACAGTAAGTTTTTTCTGATTCTAACATGCTTCAAAATATCTTATTTTGTGCTCAACAGAAAAATGAATCTCATTTTTTCTCCATTTAAAAATAATGGTTTTTTATCGACATGGTTCCACAAAGAACCTTTACCATCCACAATAAATGGTGAAATTGTGACTAAATTAAAGTTTTTGGGTGAACTAACCTTTTGAGACACCACCCTGCTACCTAATTTAAAAACGATGCTAAACACACAAATGTACAACACATAGACATCAATGGCCCTGGACTGAACATGCACTCACTCACCTTCTCCTGTGTGGTGAGGTAGTATCTAAACTTCCACACAAGGTCCTGTTCCTCAGAGCTCAGCTGTTTTGTAGGTGGGTAGCTCACTATGATCTGTGATAGACACATAAATGCATATTAATCCACACATCTGCAGTGATTTATTGTGTGTAAGTTGCATTTCGCTCAATTATCAATTACATTAAGTTGATCGCGTGTGGCTGCGTTAGGTTTGAGATCGTGGTCAGAAGGTCCACTGCGCAAACTACGGGCCAGTTTATGATGCTTACTCTCCACTAGATTTTCCTGAAGCAGAACAAAAACACAATCAACATCATTATATATTTACACAATCAAGTGGTCAAAACAGATATTATCAAAACTATGAATTGATTTGAACTAATTTAACACGCACCATGCACATCTGGGGGTCAGGCACTTTCACAATATCTGAACTGGTCGGCAAAGGAGAGGATTCATCTGCATCCTGAAAAGAGAGAGGGGTGTAGAGAGTGAGAAATGTAACTGGCCATCTAAGAACCAAATGAAAAATGGTTTGTAATTCTAAAATAATTCCTAGCCCCAGTTAAATTGACAGAACTTTATATTTAGGGTCCATCAAAAGCATTTCTACTGAAAATCAGTAACTTGGAAAATATATTGTATATTGACTTATTCCACTACCGCCTAAATTAAACCAACAAAACAAATGATAAAAAAATCCCCATAATGTGGCTCTGAAATATCAATATCCAATACTTCACAAATCATTTATTACACCATGCTATAAATTAATGGTTTTTTATGTAGATGTAAAAGCGAAACAATTTCATGTGAATGTGGGGAATTATTTAAATTCAGCATATTGTGATGTATATTAGGTAAGAAATTTTAAAATATTATTTATAATACTTTTTTAAGATGATATTTATACTGATAACAGTTATTTTTTAAATAGGCTTGACTAAAAAAAAATTGTAAAAAAATAAAAAATAAAAAAAATAATAATAATGAAATAAAGTAAATAAAAGCATATTTAAAAAATACTGTATTTAAAAAAAAAGATAATTTATTATAAAGCAAAAATAATAAATTATGTAAATATGATTAAAAAAAAAACTAAGATACCAAAAACATTTCTCACAGATTTCTTATTTTAAACAGGCTTTTCAAGTAATCCATACTACAGGGCGGGCCATTTATATGGATTTACCTTAATAAACTTATTGGGAATTTCACAAGAAAAAACAATAGTGTGCTTGGTTTTAACGTAGCTTTATTCTTTCATGAGTTATTTACAAGCCCCCTCACATACAGTATACTACTGTCCCACAAAAAAGATGTTAATATTACAAACCATTCCTATTTTATTAAAGTGTGTTCATATACGTAAATGGCCCGCCCTGTACATTTATTTACAATCGGTGCTCATAAAAAGGAACATGTTAACTATTTAAGCTCTAATGCCTTTCTCTTCAGCCTTAAAAAAAAAAGCAGCTCCTCTGTGTGACTGTGCTTGGCCACACACACATACACACACGTGCTCGCTTCTCAGTCACATGACATGAGCCAGATAAATAGGTCATGAGTGTTATGGGACAAACGTCACACAACAGCACTGAAAACTTGGGACAATTTTTCAGAAATCCAATTTCTGTATGAATTTAATTTCAATATTAATGTAATACATTTTAATTTAACATTTTTTTAAAGTATTGATAAAAGACACACAAGTATCTTTATGATTGCCATCCATAACATGAAGATTCCCAGGAGAAAATTCGAGGTTGATTGAGGGGAGTGTTTGAGGGAGGTCCGAAACTGTTCTGATATAGACTTAATATATTCGTTATGCTCAAACAGTAGATTTACAGTAAGCTAATATTTTTAAAAAGTATCATAGGACGTTCTTTAAGCAATTGGAAAACCTTTAAAAATCTGCTTTCCCTACAACAGTGTCCTAAGGCAATGCCTAAACAGTTAACATTAAGGAATCACAGACCAGTCGACTAACAAGTAAAGTCATTTAGACACAAAGCAAAGCTTAAATTTTGACGGCACAAGCATTAACAGAGACATCGAACAGCATTATTCTGGTTTATTAATAACTCTATAGCAAAAACAGAAACAGTGACAGGACAATGGACGTACCTTTTCGTAATAGACAATGCTGTATTCACGTTCACCACTTTTGACACGAGGGAATTCAACCATAAGGTACATAAAATTAGAGCTACGCTTCTCACTCTGTAGAGATAAAAAACAATAGCTTTACAAACCAGCTTCACCTGACTTTACAATTACTAAAATTACAATGACATCATACGGTGATACCCAAACCTAGAAGAGCCACTCACCTCATTGATCATCTCAATCTCTCGGAAGGTCAAGCGATCCAGCCAGTCCACTTTAACCATGTGTCCCTGACGGTGAGCTTTTGTTAGCTGTGAGAGACAGAAGGCAAAAAGCAAAGAAACAGAGGAAAACGTAAAGAAAAAGACATGTTTGCCGACCCAGTAACACTGAGAGCTTGTGTGCACAATCCTTTAGCCAATCATATGACAACTGCGTGTCGGCCAGCAAGAGTCTCTCACACAGAACCGCGCATTAGAAAAGGACATTAAGGGGGAGCCAGTACAATGTAGCAGCACAGCAAAATGACTCAGCCCTTTCTACAAAAACAGTTAGTAATAGTTAGTACAATACCACGTCTGATCTTAAAGCCACCAAGGGTCTAAGAGGACTTTGTTTAACCAGGCATAAATGTGCTTTAGTGGCTAAACCTAACGTCCATAACAACGTTTGATAAATTCAAAGAATGTAGCTGGTTTTAAACAAGATGCGCTTTTTCAATGGCATCCACAACAAATCATTCTGAAAATCGATTATTTTACTCTGCATGGCACGGTTGACTGAAATTAAACAGGACAAATGTGAGCTTAAAAAAGATTTTGTAAAAAAAAAAAAGAAAAAAAAAAAGGTAACTTTCATTGAAGGAACAATTTTAATTATTAATTAACGTCTTAATACCTGGCTAGTATTAAGACATTGGCTGTTAATTTGTACTCATAAAATGCATATGTGACCATGGACTTATCACACAACAATTGCTAATTATATAAAGGAACTGATGGAAATAAAAGAAATAAGTGCTAGAGTAATGAGGGGGGGTGTTTTGTTTTGTTTTTTTGCAGAGAAAGAAGTGTTTCGACAGGTGGTTTGTCAAGCCCCCACACCTGTGCACACTTCATAAATGCACTGTAGTTTATTTAAGACATATGGAGTGATTGTAAGAAAGTATCTAGTGCAAAAACTGGTGTAAGTGCTGGTTAAAGATTGTTTTCAACAGGTGGTTTTGTTGTGTCTACTCACATGTGAGAGAGAGAGAGAGAGAGAGAGAGAGAGAGAGAGAGAGAATTTTGAGTTTATTTCTATATTAGCTTCTATGGCTATATTATTGTAAAAAAGAACAAGTTTACCACATTTTATAAATAACACTTCTATAATTATTAAAATATTCTAACAATATTCTTAGCAGCAATAAATACACAAGATAAAAATACGTAACAATACAACATTTTGAGTGATCTGTTGGTATAAAAAACGCATAAAAAAGGTCTCTGGGGAAGGTGGTAACATAAGCCAGCAAGTTGTTGGGAATAAAACTAAAGAGCATTGATAGTATAAACAAAGAAAGAGTATTAAATAAGGCTATTATGATTGTTAATGATGAGAGACATCCTTTCCCAATTGTTACCATCAGGTTGTCGATATTGTGTTCCCAGGTGTGTAAGAAATAGAACAAAATTATCTATTATACCTCGAGCAATTATGTTTTTTAATTCCTCCTCCCTCAGTTGATGGCTAGTAGACTGGATATTTATTTAGAGTAGCAGTTCCATGTTTTTAAATTATTTATTTATATATATACCAAATGTGCAAAATGTGAAATGCCAAATATGAAATGTCAGAAGTCTCTGTTAGTGTATGCTGCAAATTAAATTTCCATACGAGGACAAATAAAGTTAACTAACTGACTGACTAACTAACTAACTAACTAACTAACTAACTAACTAACTAACTAACTAACTAACTAACTAACTAACTAACTGACTGACTGACTAACTAACTAACTAACTAACTAACTAAAAAAAATAATAATAATATATAAAATAAAAATCTAAAACTTTTTTTTAAGGTTGACTTTTGATAATAATTGTACAATTTTAGAAAGATTCACATTTAAACATATTTTCATTTAGTCTCTCTCCTGATACAAATTGTTGTCTGATAATATAAAAAAGGGCATTCCGCAAAAATATGTTGAACAGTTTGCTTTCTGTTGCAATATTGACATTTTGGAGGTTCTTCTCCTTTGAGTAAATGTTCATGTGTGAGTCTTGTGTGTCCTATATGACATCTTCTATAAACAATCTCATAATATCTTTTTTTGAGCACTGATCCTATTCCGCTTGCTATTTGTTAAACATTTTTTATTAGTGGTTTTAAATTCGAAGGTGGGATTTTGCACTTCTTTATCTTTCCTGTTAGGGCTATTTTGGTAGCTTTGTCAGCTTATTCCTTTCCAAATAGCCCAGCATGTCCTGGAATCCAGCAGAAAATTATATTATGAAATTTTCTCTGTAGCTCATTCGCTTTGCTAAAAATTTCAATAATAATAGGATGCTCCAGTTTAAAAGAATTCAATGTTTGTAGACAAGACTTTAAGACAGAAAAAATAATAAAATTGTTAAACTCATCTGTGTGAGGCACGTCTGTCTATATGCTAAATACCTTGCAATGCATTAACAAGAAAAAACTTTATCAAAAAAGTATTGATATGTTTACAGTAGTCATTTACAAAATATCTTCATGGAACATTATCCTTACATATTATTCCAATGATTTTTGTAATAAAATAAATCTATAATTTTGAGCCATTCCATATATTTTTGATTACAGCCAACAATACACGTTTTTGTATTCCTGAGCCACATATTCTCCATAATCTTATTTTATATCCCTAATTTCACTTAATACATATATCGAACTACCTCCTTAATAACTTTTAAGCAGCAAATTAAGTAATGTAGAGGCAAAAATCATAGTTAACAGTTTGTTATTGGCAAGAATTGTACTGAAAGTTAAGTGTGACCAAAAATAAATCCTATAAAATGCATTTTTACTAAATTGCTTTTCTAAGTGGATGAATCTCTAGCTACATGAAGTGGATTTTGTTGTTGATGCAAGTTTAACATTAGTTAAAAAATTTAGTTGAAGGCAAAGCCCAGATAATGTTTCTGATCTGATGTCATAAAATGATGTTTTCACCTGAACGCTTGGTGTCATTTATTTATTTATTTGTTAATAGCAATCTTAATGCACAAAAGAAATTGGTACAAAATAACTGTTGGATCTAAGAGAATTGAGTACTAAAGTAAAGAGGAGAGAGTGTTTTGTAAGAGAGAAAAGTTTTTCTACAGGGGGTTTGTCAAGGTCACTCACCTGTGCATACGTCATAAATGCACAATGATATTTTTCAGAGATATGGAGTGATTGTAAGAGAATGTCTGGTGCAAAAACTGGTGCCAGTTAAAGTGTCAGAGAAATAAAAGAGTGTGTTTCTACAGGTGTTTATCAAGTCCACTCACCTGTGTGAGGCACTTTTAAAGTAGTCTATATGCCAAGTGTTTCGCAATGGACATTACTAATAAAAAATTTTTCAGAGTTCAGAGTTCTCAGATATATTTTCAGAGTATTTGATATATTTACAGTAGTGATTTACAAACATCTTCATGGAACATTATCTTTACATATTATTCCAATGATTTTTGTAATAAAGAAAAATCAATAATTTTGAGCCATTCAATGTTTTTTACTACAGTCAACAATACAAAGACTGGTTTTGTGGTCTCGGGTCACATATTCTACATTGATCTTATTTTTATTCCTAATTTCACCAAATACATATATCGAACTACCTCCTTAATAACTATTAAGCAGCAAATTAGGTAATTTATTGAGGCAAAAGTCATAGTTAACAGTTTGTAAATAGCAAGAAATGTGCCTGAAAATCCAAAAATAAATAGTCTAAAATGCATTTTAACTAAACTGTCTTTTTGATGTGGTACTGTTTTTCAAAGTGGATGAATCTCTAGCTAAATGAAGTGGATTTTTGTTGATGTAGCAAGTTTAACAATAGTTATAAGAGTTCTTCATTTTTATGTCATAAAACGATGTTTTGAATGCCGTGAAAAAATAAAATAATCTAAATAAAAAAAAATCAAAAATAAATAAACAAACAAATAAATAAATAATGCTTAAATATTATATTAAAACTTGGTAGTGTCCAAACTGCAACAACATCCAAAACACACAGAAAACAAAATACTCATCCTATTTGTGTAAATGTGGGACAAATTATACAAGCTAAATATGTATCCTGTCCTACATCTTTCCCACATATTTAAGTCAAGCTCACGCTCATACACACACGCACACACATACACATACATTCAGCATTCCTTTCCTGTTTTCTCTCATACTCACGTCACTAAGTATCTCCAGGTCTGGGCCCTGGAACAGAGGGCAGTTAAAAACATATCCTTTTACAAAACACACGCACACAAATATCACACACAAAAACACACTCCCTCGCAACAACAAACACTCTTAACTCTCATTCTTTCCACAAACTTTATCATCTATAAACACAATCAGCGTATCCATCTATCCCACCCTGCCATCCACTTCTCACTGAACATATCCCTCATGTGCAGTAACTGTCCACAGGCATATTTCTCCAGTTTGTGGCTCCTCCACTCCCCATCCCTCAACTGACCTTGGCCAGGCGGCCCATCTGGTCTTCTGCCAGAGAGCTGCTGGTCCGTCCTGGTGTACTGGTGGGCTCAGTTCCATCTCCCTCCACACCCGGCCACACCTTCAGATCATGCATGCCCTGCCGGAACATTCTGTTGGACAGAGCGGAGATTGAGAGAGACTGACAAAAGAGGTGTCAAGTTTGTCAAACCATCTGATCATAATCTGTTAACTACAATATGAATAACCCCTCACAGACAACTGTAGAATGCAGAGATTTTTATTCATTAGCATTATTAATTTTTCGAATGTTCATTATCACTGCTACGACTTCATGATTCAAGTTGCAAAGCACTGATAACTACGGACTGAAGTAAATAACATTTATATTGTGACAACTTTGTGTAATATAGGAAAAGAAGAACCATGCATCAAGCAAAATACTGCCAAAAAGAGAATAATATATTATACAGAAATCAAAGATAAACAGAGAATAGTAATAATAAAGAAGAAGAATATAGATAACAACAAATAACACAAAAGGTAAATTATATACAATTTATAAAAACTAAATAATCCAAAAACAATAAACCCCACAGGGAAAGAGAACAAAAGTGTCACTAAAAGAAAAGAAAATAACAAACCAAAAATCTAACTAACTCAGTAAAATACTTTTACCTAACTGAAAACAAAATAATGGAAAGCAAGTCTTCGGCGTTTAAACACTCTAACTTAACTACTTTTAACTTAACCAAACAGAAAAATACAAAGCCAGCCCTCACTCCTTTCAAAATGAATAATAAAAAGAAAATTAATGAAAATAAACAAGATAGCAATAACAACTTTTGACAAAGCAATATTAATGTGAGGCAAAACAAAAACAAAGAGCAAAACAGGAACGCAAAAGCCCCTCTGGCGTCCTCTGAAAATACTGGAACCCTAAAATCTGGAACACAATGATGTTAGCATGGAATATCTGTGACAGGACGCAGCTGAGATGGAGTCAGCTGACTGAAGAATTTAGGAAACTCTGCATGGCGTCCTAGAGCACAATATTATGTGTTTGCCAAACTAACTTCTCTAAAAGTATGGCAAGAAAGCCTTGGCAGAGCTAGAATCATTTTAATTTTGCACAAAAATATCTTGTCCTGTTTCCTCCAAAATCTCTCTATAAGGAAGTTTGTGAACATAATTGTTCTGTTTTGCTTATTATCTTTACAAATCGGCACCTTAGAATTATCCGCTTGTTGACGTGTTGGTGATGTATGTAATACTGTTTCCGGGTCCAAGCGGCTACTCATTTGAATTGAGAAAATTTGTTTATGACCACTTTTTATTCCTATCAAACATTTAAGACAATTTTATATAAAGTGTACACAATAATCTCTGGGCTTGCTGCATCACAAATACCAAAATTTTAACAATTTATAAAAAATTTATCACTTTCTGGCCATCGGATATTAGGCATGGACATATATATTGCGATCGTGATTTTCGAAAGTATTCGCTTTGTAAATGTTTAATATTACCATTTCACGAGTCTCCTCATACAGTTTGATAGAGCGATTTGACCTGGAAGCCGCTTCGCGTGACGTCACACTTAACAAGCGGATACGGTTCTATATAACATATTTGTTAAAATTGAGTTATTGACATGTTCACATCAAAAGACAACAAATTTACGTCATGGGATGTTTATTTTTTTTAAATTGTTTACATTTTAAGACTTTTTATAAAAAAAAAACTAATGTTAGACACATGCTGCTTGCTATATGGAATTCAAACACTTTGAAGCTTAATAACACAAACTCATTCAGAACGCAGACAGAACCTTACACTTCCAAGGTGACTAAATGCATTTACTGGTTCAACGTATAGTGTCAGTGTTGTTGTTATATATTTTAAAATATTTGTAAAAAGGACTCTCTTTAATCACTAAAGCTAAATCTATTTAAAAACACAGCACAATGACACACCACATTACATATTATTACAAATTAAACAAACAGTTTTTACTTGAATACATTTCAAACTGCGGTTTATTTTTGTGGTTTAGTTTTCAGTGGCCAATAGTTCTTCTCATCATGCACATTTAGCACTTAAGAAATATTGCAAAATATTATTATTGTTGAAGACGGTTGTGTTCTTTAGTATTTGTTGAATCTGTATTTTGATTGTTTATTAATTTATTAAATTGAATCAGAATCAGAAAGAGCTTTATTGCCAGGTATGTTCACACATACGAGGAATTTATTTTTGTGACAGAGCTTCTACAGTGCAACAGAATTACAGAGACAGAATTAAAAACAGACCATAAATATATTTTAAAAATAGAAGTAAACAGTGAATGCAAATATACAAATTGACAAATGTATATACAGGTATATTACTATAGACAACGTTATATGTGCATCTGTCATGGGCAAACTGAATGAATATATTCTATAAAATTTTTAATTTCTTTAATACTATTTGATTATATGCACCTTTACTAAATAAAAGCTGAATTCAAATTTGTAAACTAATAGAAAAAATCCTAATAAACATTTTACCACAATTTATTTGTCTTCATAAAGAAATATTTAAAACCAATCATGAAAGATGACAGATATGCACAATATCTTTTAATCAACAGATAAATAATTTAAACTTTAACTGCTTGCACGATGGTTAAGAAGGAACACATCTTTATTAATGATAAACAAATATTGTAAAATTCTTACCCATATTTTCCAAACAAGGTGACTGTAGTGCCCCCAACAGGTGTGGCGCGGCCAGGTCCATACACGTCCCACACGGTCAGAGTCACCTGGGCACTCTGAGGCAGGTCAGGATACTTCACGGGCAGCCGGAGCCATTCATTCCAGCTGAACAAGCAGAGACACAATAGTGTATATTATATCATATTTCTCACTTATTTCTCAAATATCTATTAAATATTTACCAGAGCCAACAATGTTAGATAATAAAAGACTAAAAAAATATATGAGCTATATATAAGCCATCCACTAACCACTACCCTTGATAAACATGAGTACAGTTGGCTGTAAATAAATTATCTATAAGCTTTTAATCTTTTAAATATGAACAAACCATTGCATGTTTCAGCATTTTTGCTATTTTCTTATAGCCACTTCCCATTTTTTGAAGCTCAACAATCTTTTGCTGCAAAAATCACAGCTATGTTTTTGTGTTTTCCCATTAAGATGAATGACAGGACATACAGGAGATTAAAGTTCAACTATTTTCCTTTCTCAGTCACCCAGATTTACTACAAAATTGGGAATATACTTTAAAAAATGTTTGGCTTATACGAATTCATAGGGTGGCAATAATTTTGGCACGCACACACACACATGTATATATATATATATATATATATATATATATATATATATATATATATATATATATAAATAGATAACAAAGACACTAGCTTGTTTGTTTTTAAACTGCTGTGTTTGCCATTTTTTTTCTCAATGAGAGCAGATTTCTTTTTTGTTAATGCTTAGAGCAAAAGATCACAAGATTAAACAATAAAGATTCTTCTTAAAAACCAAAAGTGCCAATATTGGTTTCAGGCAATTTAGTTATCTGTAAGAAGCATCTCTGATACTTGGTTTGGTTTCCTGCTTGGGCTCATCACTGGGTCACACATGCATAAATACAGAGATGAACCACAGATAAATGCACTCACTTCCAGCGAGTGCTGAAGGCCTTATAAGAGGTTCGTACAGGCAGGGCAAGTGGTTTTCCCTCAGCAAACACCTGACAGGTGACGTACAGATCAGAGCAGCTCTCCTGATAGAGTCCTGAGAATCGCAGCATGGGGTCTTCAAGCAGAGCTTTGTAGCTCTTCTGCTCTCGCTTTCCCTCCAGACTGCCTCTGCAAAAGCAAAAAAAGAAAACGCAGTAAAAGTTTTTGCTTCGTAAAGGGTTGGGCTAAATAATTTGAACAATGAATTTTCATCAATTTTCACCATAAACACTTCAAAGAAGAAGAAAAAATGATATGGTTTATTTGTCAAGGGTGTTGCCTTTTATATTTGACCAAAAAATACAGTGAAAATATTTTTTAAACGATATGTGATTTCAAAAATATTATGCTACCCCAAAATGTATGAATGGTATTAGAATTAGTAAAGTGGGTTTAAAGCGCATAAAAAAGCACACTAATTATCATAAAAACTCAAGAATATGTCACTTTTGTTGTTTTTATTCAGAGATACCCAAAGTAGGACCTGCGGGCCACAGTTGGCCCACGGTAACCTTGATTTGGCCTGCCATTACATCTGAGAAAAAAGGAGAATGATGGAAAGGTTGGGGCGAATGCCTTTAACAAAGATTATTTCTAATTTTAATGTAACCATTTTTGTTAGTTTTTTTAGTTGTTTGTTTGTTTGTTTTTAAGCTACAAAAAGCTAATTGAAATTAAATCTGTCAATTAAATCTTGTGCATGAATCAGATTTTTAAAAATGTAAATACTGTCAATTGAAGGGTTTTCAATATGCAAATCAAGGCAAAGGAAGGTCCATCTTGATTAGTGTATTAAGCATTGAACACCATTTTGCTATAAATGTTTTTATTGTAAGAAGTTGGGTATGAAGTGTAAAAAACTATTTTTTTTTATTTTAAATACTAATAAATAAGGTAATTACCATGGCGACTTTAATGTAATACTTTGGGATATTTATATATGCCAAAAAATTTAGATTTTGGCCCTTTATAAGAAAGAGTTTGGGCAGCCCAGATTTTAGTCAATCTAGGAGATTTATGAAAAGTGGAAAAAGTAGGCTACGGATAGACAACATTTTCCAAATAACTTTGCTTAATAAATTTGCATATTTCCATTAATATTTCAAGTCACTTAAGTATTAGTTTTATTTTTATAGCAACAGATCTTTAAGTTAAAACAGGTATCTTTTACGGAAAGTATCTGAAAAAAAACAAGTACTCTGAAAAGAAACTTAAACTAGCTTGGAGTTTCAAAGTGGAAAACCAATGTGCTAACATTGAACCAGACACAGACACACATAAAGGGTGTTTAAAGTACAACTTATAGATTAAAACTTTTTGGACAGACATACCGATCAAGGACGAACCTTTCTAGTGCACTTGTGCCAGAGCATACATGAAGAATGAATATAGTAATTTACAATAAATCGCTCAGTGTTTTTTACCATACTATAAGAAAATACATTATACTACATTATAGTTGTTTTTTCTAACTGGCTCTTATCAAAAACTACAGCATACAATGGCATTAACTATCATAAACTAAAGAAATGTGATAAGCATGTTGTAAACTTTAATTTTTACTATGGTAAACTGTTGTGTACTGTATCATTGAAATAGTTTTTAAAACTTAGCGCAGTATTAAAATTGTTTATATTAGTATAGTTGCTGTATTTCCACAATCCCTAGGGAATTATGACAACAAACTTCAGTACCTTAACAGTGGTTTCAAACACTGTTTCACTTCTACAGTCTATAAAATACTACAGTATTTTGTTCACATTTTTAATCAAGCTATCAAATATGGTTTGCCAGTACTAGTGAAGAAGCAAGTGTACTTCAGGCCTAATTTTGAAGATCGAAAAGTCAAATTATTCCGTTATTCCAAGTGCTGCAAGTGGTAACAGCCCTTCATGCAGTTTGGCTTTTACAGTCACTGTCCCATGATGATGAGTTCTTGTGCAAGTTTGCTTACTGTCATCCTGGGACTCCTCTGTCCTTCAACTCAATCCAGTGCAAACAGAGAAATTAAACAAATTCCATGATGCAGCAGGACAAACCATTTATGATCTTCATTTATGATCCACGCGCGGACAGAGACTCGTTAAGGTCGAGGGCAAAAGGAGAATGATGTCAATAGGCAGATGACAGTCCTAAAACACAAAAGCTCTCGCTGGACTCGTGTTAGCACTTTCTTCTTCTGACTCACTGTGTTGCTATGCTCGCTTTGGTAAACATCGCAAAAACAACGACATGATTGCACGAACAGAGGATTCCCCATATATAATTATAAACACTACACTGTAACAACATGCTGGGTCCCACACAACCGATTTGTGTCAGGACAACATAAAGGAATTAGGAGACATTTTAAAACACTTAATATGAAAAAAGCTTAACATGGCTTAATGTATCAACCAGAGAAACCCAAATCTCTGTCAAAGTTCACTTGTAATTTACCCTAACTACTGTGAAAAGAATGAGTCCCAATTGCATTGATAAAGTGAAAACATCCCGTTAAGAGGTTTTCTCTCCCTCATTAAAGTCTATTATAAGGAAAAAGCTTAACGTGGCTTAATGTACTTTAACAACAAATGGGGGAAGATACATTTCTATTAAATTTTAATTGTAATAAACACAAGCTAAAAATCAAAAGAATGAGCTCGTTTCCAACGCTAAAGTGAACTGTATTGTGTTAAGCGTTTTTCCCTAGGTTGTTGTCGGGATGTCAATGACATGCACAAGCACATTCCTTTGATAGCAAGGGTTAATCTCTCGTAAATAAAATTAGATTTTATTGACAGCCTTTTTAAAAATTTGGCTTCCCTCAATTATTGGTATGTTAAGCCTTTCCTTATTATAGACTTGAATGGAGAGAAAACACTTAACATGACATTGTTGATTTCATTCATGGACTTAGGGTCTGTTCTTTTAATAATGGTTAGTGTTATTCACAATTAAAGTTTGAAAGAAATTTGTTTTCCCTGGTCTGTGCTAAGGTATATTAAGTTGTTTCCTTATAATGGACTTCTATGGTGAGAATGCTTAAAGCAGGGGTGTCCAAACTCTGTCTTGGAGGCCTGTGTCCTGCATATTTTAGATCAAACCCCAATTAAACACACTTGAGCCAGTAAATCAAGCCCTTTTTAGGTATACTAGAAACTTTAAGGGAGGAGTGATAAAGGAAGTTGGAGCTAAACTATGCAGGACACCGGCCCTCCAGGACCAAGTTTGGACACCCCTGGCTTAAAGTCATACGTCTCAAACTGGACTCCTGGAAGGCTGCAGCTCTGCACAGTTTTGCTTCAACCAGCTGACCCACAGCTGACCCAACAAATGAAGGTGTTCAAGACTGTAGAGACTATTAAGCAGGTGTGAGCTGAAGGTGGTTGGAGCTAAACTATAGAGAGCTGCGGCCCTCCAGGAACTGAGTTTGAGACCACTGGTTAAAGTAATAATATTTACTTGATACACTAAAATAAAAGCTTGTTCTTTTAACAGCACAGTGTTTATCATGAGTATATTTTTATTGAAATCTGATTATCTCCGGATATTGTTAAGTTAAAAAGTTAAAGTTAAGTTAAAAACTTAAGTTAATTTGTTAAGTTAAAAACTTAAGTTAAGTTAAGCTGTTAAAATGGACTTAATTGGGGACAAAACACTTAACATGACATTGTTCGCTTCATCTAGAATCAGGGCTTGATCTTTTGATAGGAGTTAGTGTTAATCACAAGTAAAATTGTATAGATTTTTGGTGTGCCCCACTTTTTCAGGTAGCCATGTTGGAGCAACTGCAAGTTTAAGGAAGTGACATCTGCATTCAAATCTCAAAGCATAAATTGACAGAGAAAGTACATGTTAGCATTATATTAAAATATCTGCTTATATTTTCCAAAACAACTAACCACAGAGCTTTGGGACCAGAAAAATATCAATCTGTAAATGTTTTTTATATTTTAAATGAGGCAAATAAATATGCGCTATGGATGTGACCAAAAAAGTTAGCGATTTTACAGCATACAATGTACTTTGTAGAAATTCTGTGAATTAAACTGCACAACTCAAAAGAAATAATGGCAATTAAAAGGATAAGAGTTGGCTCATTATAGAACAAACATGATTGAGTTTATTTCATTTGACATTTTTTGCATTTGTGAAGAACAAGCTCCATTATGGATGTGACAGATGTGAAATTGACAATCAAATATATTAGTTTGAAAACATTACCAGAGACATTTTTGATTAGTTTTAAAGTACTGTTAAATACTTGCTTACACAAAAACGGTTTCGATATTTTGGCAAAAACTTTTTTTTTCATAGCAAGATTGACATTTCCATTGCATTCCGGGTTAAGTTTTTCTCTTTTTATTGCGGACTTCAATGGAGAAAAACGCATAATGTGATCATTTTCACTTACTAAAATTAGAGCTCATTCTTTTGATAGTAGTTAGTGTTAATCACAAGTAAAATTTTATAGAAATTTGGTTTCCCCCGTTTGTTGTTTAGGTACATTAAGCCATGTTAAGCTTTTTTCCTTATAATAGACTTTAATGAGAAAAAGTTTAACGATATGTTTTCACTTTATCTATGGAATTGGGACTCGTTCTTCTTACAGTAGTTAGAGTTAATTACAAGTAAAGTTTGACAGAAATTTGGGTTTTTCTGGTTGATGTCATAGACTGTAAAATATAGGTTGATGTTTAGGTACATTTAGCCACTTTAAGCTTTTTTAATTTTAAGCATTTTAGAATGTCCCGGAATGAATCTAACTTGGTAGTTTTACAAATTTAAGTGGATTGATCATAAAACTATTAAGTTGTCCTACAAAACCCCTCAAGAGATGCGTTTCAACTCATTTTAAATAAGTACGTTAGTTTAAATAAACAACAAAAGTCATTTTAAGTGTACATTATGTACTCTCTCCGCATATGAATTTTTGGAGATTTTATCTGCCGAAGTGAACAGTAGAAACGCAAAACATGTATTTTCCCCATAATAAACGATGAGGTGTTAGATCGATCGTCTCTGCTGAAAGTCTGACAGTTCTACAATCAAACAATGACTAAGGTCCAGAAACATACTTACATTTTCAGTTGAACGTTTATGTCCAAATCGCAACTGTACACATAGTTAAACTTGTCAGTGTCCATCTTCAATGATCGACGAAGTGTTATGAAACCGTAGTGAATAGGCAGAAAGGCATATAAAAAGAAAATTGCAAATTTGTCCGGCGGTGGGAGATGAATTGCAGGGCCTATAGCAAAGACCCTGCACTGGATCTACTGGAGCTTTTGCTTTTCGCAACAGCTTATAATCTGAAGCAACTTCAATTGATTACTAATAACCAATATGGCCGTACAAAAAAAAAACTTGCTGTCTTAATTTAAGACAATAATAAAGTTGTAATGTACATCTGACAGCGCATCATCGCGTCCGTTTTTGGAAACGAAAACATTGTAGCCAGGCTTAAACAATCGATGTCAAATCCGTTCGATCGCTGCAGCGGATTGTAAGGGCTGAGACGATTAAAACGGCTTCTTTGGTCTGTTGAATCTTAGCGGCTTCCTGTTTGGTTAAATAACGGAAAGTGAAAGCGGACACATTTCACAAAGCGTTTAAAAGTCCTGTGAATTGCACATTCGTTGTACTGAAAGTACTATTTGCATTGATTATTATGAGAGTAGACTGAACAATGGCGATTTTTCGTACAAGTTTCATCTGTTCAAATAATTTAAATCCCAACAGCGAGACTTGATTTATTCTGTCATGTGATTTTGTAGGTGCTGTTTGAAATATATTAAACACACACACACACACACACACACACACACACACACACACACACACACACACACACACACACACACACACACACACACACACACACACACACACACACACACACACACACACACGGGGAGAGAGAGAGAGAGAAAGAGAGATACAAAAATGCACATCTTATTCACTTTGTTGTATTTCTCTGGATTTGCCATTATTAGCCCTGTTCTTGTGTCCTTTTACACATGATAACACATATTGATGGCAAATCCAGATAACTTATAACTCTCAAGTGCTCTAATTTTTATCCAGAAAATATATTTATTTGTCTTCATCAGCTTTTCTACCCAGCAGATGGACAAGTCATTTTTTGTAAACTCTATCTGTCTTTTGGGTGCATTAACAAAATGTTCTCCCAGTATTTTCTCTAACCAATCAACATTTTATTTGTGTGTTTGTGTATATAGGAAACAAAATACGCTGCACTCCGTAAAAACATCATCTCTTTACACACAAAGTGTGTTTTTTGCCATCATGTGTGAGGGCAGAAAAGAAACAAGCCAGTAAAATGATTGAAAAAGCACAGTTTTTTCTGGAATTTAATTTACATCTGTTGGCAGCTTAGCACCTGATCACTTACATCTAAATCTTAGTGTAACCCTGGGTCCCCCCTGCACATTAGTGTGTGGTTATATAATACATGGTGATGAGTCAGACTGCACAACAGAACAGGACCGCAGTCCATTACACACTCCGCTCGGGACTCAGGAGCTGTTAAAGAGGATAAGGCTCATTGCCACCCCTCATGTGTTCCGAACACTCACAGAGGGGGCTTTGCCACATTCCTTTGGGTTGAAGCCAATGGGCAGCTGCACTCTTGGGTAATGAAGGTTTCCACTGGCTTGCTCTTAGCAGGCATTATATTATATCCAGAATTATATCCAGTTAATAATTGCACAAGTGATGGATTAAGTATTAGCTGATCTGATTGATCTGAGTTGGTTCTTAGCTTATTTTCTTAAATACAATTATTCAAAAGATTTGCTACCATGACCTAAATATATCCAGGCTGCGCAGGACAATTCCGCCTGTTACACAGTGAATCTGAAAACTATAAAATAATGAACTGTTCATTCCTGATTTAAACTCCTACGAAACCCACTACAGACACCAAACTGTGGAAGAGACTGAAATCATTGCTGTTCTCTAATTCTGATCACTGGTTACAGCTTATTTTAGCCTATTTCGTTTTACTAGCAACAATGAATGTTACATTATTTCTAGTATTTATAAATGGTTTCTTTATGATATCCACTGCACTTTATGGTGATCACTAAACCTGTCTAATGTGCTGTTAGTGTAGAGTATGTTCCTGGATTAACAGTCTAATCATCCAATCAAATTCAAGTTTAAGCGTACAGTTTGGGTTATGTGCATTGCTATCTGAATAATTTACAGTTGGAGTTAGGTTTAGGGGTAGGGATCACATTTTTGAAGATGTACATTTTAGAAGACATTTTTGATTTTTAGATGTTACAGGATCGCATTCTACTTGGCAAAATCACATCCATCCATTCTAATGTGCTGTTGGTCATCCACCTGCTGCCAGAACAGTGTTACCCTAGCAAAGCACTGACTCTAGAACCACCACCACCTTGTGCGGTCTGGTGCAATATGGTTGCCGTCAGGTCATCCTGGTGGATGCTGCACACTGGTGGTGAATGAGGAGATTCCCCCAATGTGTAAAGTGCTTTGAGTGTCCAGAAAAGCGCTATATAAATGTAAGGAATTATTATAGTTATTAACAGTGTTTAGGAGGTTGGTGTCACATGACTGGCTGATCTCAGTGTTTCCTAGAAGAACATTGCAGAGAGCATCGCACTAGCTTCACCAGCTTGCTATCATTACACAGAGCATTCTAATGCCATCACTTCCTTAGGTAAATTGCCCAAACATACATGGTTGTCTGCATAATGTTTAAAAACAGGAATCATCAGACCAGGAATAATTTTTTTACAATTCTAATGATCCCATTCCAGCAGTCACTTGCCCACTGTAGGCCATTAAAGACACTCTAATTAATTGAATAATAATAGTAATAATAATTCCTTACATTTATATATACTTTTATGGATACTCAAAGCGCTGTGCACATTGGGGGGAATCTCCTCATCCACTATCATGTAACATGGCTGCTGTCGAGCCATCCACATTGCACCAGACCGCACACCACACACTAGCTGATTGGTGGAGAGGAGACAGAGTGATGAAGCCAATTATGATATGAGGATGTTCATGAAGAACAGAGGCCAGTGAGCAAATCTGGCCAGGATACCAGGGATAAACCCCTACTCTTTTCGAATGACATCCTGGGATTTTTAACGACCACAGAGAGTCAGGACCTCGGTTTAATGTCTCATCTGAAAGATGGCACTCACTGAGCAAAGTCCCCATCAATATACTGGGGCGTTAGGACCCACACAGACTGCAGGTTGAGCGCCCCCTACTGGTCTCCATAACACCACTTCCGGGAGCCACCTAGCTTTCCTATGTGGTCTCCCATCCAGGTACTGACTAGGTGCAGCACTGCTTAGCTTCAGTAGGTGACCATGTGAGAGTTGCAGAGAGCTAGCTGTTGGCAAGTGACCATTTAATCACAACATAAAATGAGAAAGATGATCAACAAAAGCTCACACTTTATTTTAAAGTACAATTCTAACTTTTAACAAACTATAAATTAAGATATTTAGCTCAATAAGCTACTAATTTCTGCTTATGAATAGTTAGTAAGGCTGTAGTTGTCTCTACGGCAGGTGTTGGGTAAGGTTAGGGATGAAGAATAAGATCATGCTTGAACTAATAAACAGAAATATCTTAAAAACAGGCGGGTAATAAGCCGGTAGTTAATAGAGGGAATTTGTGCTTAAACTAAGGTGTTACACAACTAAAGATATTAACATTTTGCCATAATTGAGACTGAGACTGGCATTTGGAAAAGAAAAAGGTCCCAGAGGTAATCAAGTCCCCAGAACTGCGATGTACTTAATGCCAGAGTTCTGCGATTGAATCCAACATGACTTAACTTTTTAAAAAGAACACAAAATGATGAAAGTGTTGGCCAATTAAACTTCCAAACCGTCTTACTTTCCTAGAATTGCTTTACTTGTGCCTGCATGAGGATTAAGGAAACAGGTTACCAAAAGTTTACCATTAAATCAGGAAACATGCAGCCAAAAAAACAATTCATAACAACTTTTTTGGCTGCTTTTAACCATTTAAAAACAATAACCTAAGATTAACCGACAAGCTAAACAACAAGAACCGGTGCCCAGTGGCTTTTGGCTATCACAAAACATGTTCTTGCCAATGATTAAATACGCCACCAACTTTCAACCATGGTCAGAAATCCCGGCCAGAGCAGAGACCGTGAGTCATTTTGTCCAAAGTAGTAGTGGTACAACACGCAGTACACAGGGACGAGCTTTCAACACCTTTCAGACTACTGTGGGGTGACACAGGCGTGAATGCTACAAACAGACTTTGTGGTACCCCTGGGCCTCATTGGAAAACGCCTGTTTCTTCTATCGCACATTTTTCCACCTTGATAGCAGAGATGACGAGGGATGAGCTAATGCGCGAATGAGTATGTAATGTTTGGTTCTGGCTCAAAGAGCATTACCTTCTCGGCATCCGCTCAAACCTAGTCTCTCACGCTCGACACCTACCTAGGATCCTTCCTCAACAACAACAACAAAACACACTTCAGGAATATTACATCTTCATCTAGTCATAAACAAACGCCTGTGGCAGTTGTGCAATAAACGTCCAGTTCTGCCTTTATGAGCTTCCTCCTGCTCATGAACATCTTCAGCTGGACCATCATGAGGTCACCGCGGCCATGACGTCATTGGCATGAGCTCAGTCCAAAGATGCAGACGGGGGTCACACAGACTCGAGGACCACGCTTCTGATGGATGCCTGTGTTTGTGTGTTTGAAGATCACCTGGTAACCACCCGGTGGACGTCGAGAACCACCAGATGACCATCATCAGTGTTATTCAAGGATGCATAAACTGACATCTGACAAAAAAAAAATTGCCTGCATTTTTATCAGTTGCACTAAAAATAAAGGTCCCATGAACAAGAGGGAGTTTTCAGTTACACCATTGGAACTTTTTTTGGTTCATCAAAGAACATTTTAAGGACATTATACTTGTGAAGATTTGAACAATCTAAAGAAACAAACCATTTTCTACTGTATATGAAAACATTTGAGGACTGAAAAGGAACACCAACAATGTTAAAGGTTCTTCATGGAACGCTCAATACCAATAGGTACCAATGGATACCAATTAGGCAAGAACACGTTAAATTAATGAAATAAAGTTACAATTATATACAAGATATGTCTAAATAAAATCTCTTTTGATGAATTTAAGAAAAAATACTGCAGGTGCTTACATGGAAAGAACCTATATGAGGATATATGCGCATTTATGAAACCTATAAGCAGTATATATATGCACATGTATGATAATATGCTGCAAATTTATGTATATATGCCACATATAGGCACATTTAAGGTGCATATATGTGCATATACAGGCCATATAGGTCTCCTGCATTGCTTCTATATATCCACATATAAGCCCTATATGTACATACAAAATCTCCTATATACATTAGCTCATATCTCACTTTGGCAACTGTCATACATGATGTCTAGCTCATATTTTCTATTCTCAAGGCAATAACTAAGAACTAACTAAAAAAATGGATTTTAATGATTTTACTAATATATAGGTAAACATATAGGTGAACATATATTTGCATAGATGTACATTTAATATGGGAAAATATATTAAAAACCTATATCAAAATCATATTAAAACGTGTTTATAGGTTATGTCCGTGTGGATGAATACTGCAAAATAAATGAATAGTTATTAAGAACTGCAAACATTTCTGGTGATTATTATTATATATTTTATATAAGTCAGGTTCAAAATTGTTTTGTCAAACTTTGATAAGTCTTTCTTCATCACGCCATAATTCAGGACATACTGCAAAGACCCCCCAAAAATTGTAGAATTCAATTTTGTATATGATTATGCAAATTATGACAAACCTGTGTAAAAAAAAAAAAAAAAACTTCAAATAAATATGAGTAATGAAAAGCCCCAAAACTTAAAACTGACAGGTACATTGTTTTTGCCTATAAAATAGGGGTGTTTAAACTTGGTCCTGAAGAGCCCTGTCCCGCTAAGTTTAGCTCTAACTTGCTTCAACACACCTGTTAGGAAGTTTTTAGCATATCTAGAAAGAACTTGATTAGCTGGTTCAGGTGTACTTGATTATGATTGGAGCCAAACTCTCCAGGACAACGGCCCTCTAGGACAGAGTTTAGCACCCCTATTCTAAAGAGTCTCATCTAGTCAAAAAACCTCAAAACCATTTACAAAAAAATATTATGCAGAAAAAATACCCGAGATCCTTAGAGACTATGCAGCACCACTGATTCGATCCAAGACCAGCGACGAGATGATCCTAAAGTTTCCATAATCCTGGACCAGGCCGTGTCCTGAGCAGCTGCTGTGGTGGTCATGGAGGAGTGGAGAGTATGGGACTGATTACTTTGACGCTCTGGGGACAGACGAGTCTCGCTGACGTTTAGCTTCTCCAGCGCCTAGACTGCAGCTCTGCACAAGACGTTTGGCCATATGAGAAATGGCGATGCCCAACTAAGCCTGGTTTCTCTCAAGGTTTTTTAATTCTTCACTTTTTCTTTTTGCATGGTTCGAAACCTGTAGAGCTACGCATCGATGGATTTGCTCTTCAGTGTTTGAACTCTCAGTAGTGATTATTAAACCACACTGAACTGAGTTCAACTGAAATGAACTGACACTGCTTCAATTTACTATGATCTTCTATGTGAAGCTGCTTTGACAATTTACATTGTAAAAGCGCTCTAAAAAATAAAGGTGAATTGAATTGAATATGACATGACAGTTTGTGCAACACTGAGGACTGGAGAAATTGCTGCAAATATTTGAGCTTTCTATCACTCAAATAAATTACATTTTAAAATGTATTAAAATAAAAAGAAATAACAAGAATTTTAATAATATTTCACAATATTTACTAAGCGAACAAAATGCATCTCCGGTGAGCATAAGAAAATCCTTTTCAAACCAATATTCACCCAAAACCAAATCCATGCTATCCAAAATTGCTCTTCATCCTCTCTGTGTCAACTTTGCTCTCTCTCTTGCTCTCTTCCCCACCTCTCTTAGTCATCCCAGGATGTGTCAGAATTTCTATAGTTTTTCAGGGTCATGCCCAGTGGAGCGGAGAATGGCAATCACCAGAGAAAAAGAGAAAGTGGTGCCAAGCCACAGCTTTTTCCTTCACACACCCCCCTCAAACAGCCTAACTAACCTAACTAACACACCTCAGGTAGGGGGTAAACCACTCCCCACACCCTTCCCATGAACGCAAGGATGTATAAATTGAGGTGCGAAAGAGAAGAGAACATCAGAAGTCAATCGAACAACTGAGATGAATACCATTTCGAGACGCGATGCAGTGATGTTCTTCATGGCCTGCATGGTCTGGACGAGATGTTCAGCAGCACCAATGCAGTGCCACTTCAACTCTCAAGGTGAGTGTAAGTGTTTATTTAGTTAGTGCTCTTGTGGACCGTCCACTCTGATTCCGACTGTGTTTGACATCTCTCTCAACAGCTTTGTGCGAGTATGATGGGAAGCAGTACTCAATGGGGGAGAGCTGGATGGAGGAGGGATGTGTTCATTGCACCTGTCTGCACCCTGTCGGCGTGGGATGCTGCGAAACGTAAGAACTAAAAATACATCTAGCATTTATTCATCAGATTGATATTAAAGGGATAGTTTACACAAAACTTAAAGTTCTGTCAGCATGTACTCACCTTTCACAAACCTGTTTATCACAAAAGAAGAGAATTTGAAAAATGTTAAAAAGCAGTAACCACTGACGTCCATAGTATTTGTTTTTCCTCTTGTTGAAGTCAAAGATTACTAGTTTCTAACATTTTTCAAAATATCTTCTTTTGTTTTCAACAGAAAAAGGAAACCTAAACCGACTTAGAACCTCTTGAGCAGGGGTGTCCAAACTCAGTCCTGGAGGGCCTGTGTCCTGCATATTTTAGTTCCAACTACAATTAAACACACCTGAAGCAGCTAATCAAGCTCTTTCTAGGTATACTAGAAACTTCCAGGGAGGTGTGTTGAAGGACGTTTGAGCTAAACTATGCAGGACACCAACCCTCCAGGACCGAGTTTGGACACCTCTGCTTTAGAGGATGAGTAAATTTTTATTTTTGTGTGAAATATCCCTTAAATTGAAGAACCTAATGAATGAGAACAGAGTTTGAGGCACTTATTTTTAGCTAGTATCTATTCCTTAAAGCACTAAACATCTCCATTAGCCATTAGTACTGATCCTTTAGGGGCTAGTATCTTTTTTAAAAGCTACAAGTACTTATTCAATATTATTAGTTCCTATTAAATGTACACTAGTATTAGTATCTAATAATAATAATAGATTTATTTTTATACAGCGCCTTTAGCACTTTAGAAAATACAGAAAATACAGTAATCCAGAAGTAAAACAAGTCAGAAACATTGTAAATGGAAAAACAAATAAAAAATACAAACCTCACAAATAAGCGAGTCTTAAACAGTGAGTCTTCAGGGATACTTTAAATGCTTTAAAGGATTCTGTGCCTAATATTGTAGGGGATTGAGTTCCAGAGTTTTGGAGCAAGGAAGGAAAGAGCCCCATTACACATAGAGCACAGACGAATGGAGGGAACTGTTAGAAGACCAGAATCAGCGCAACAGAGATCACGCAATCACTTAAACAGTTAAATAAAAGAATAATAAACAAATTAAAAAACACACACAAAAAATAATTATAACTAATATGTGCTAATTATAATTGAAATGAACACTAGATTAAAATTGATATCTTATTGACAGATTGCCCTGAACTTCTATCAATAGAAATTTCTTACTATTAACAATAGAATAGTTGCTGGTCACTGCTGAAATTAGTATCCAGCAAATAAGTTCATATTAGTACCCAATAAGTACCAGTATCTAATGATGAAAAAGATTCTAGTCCCTAAAAATTAGTACTAGTGTGTTATTACTAGAAATAAGTACTATTAGCTTATGAATAGATGTGTATTCTAGATGTAAAAACAGCTTGCCATAGCGGCCTGCTTATTTTCTAAAAACAATTGATCTTAATTATTCTCCCAAAGAGTGTTCATTTATTTATTTATTTATTTCTAAGCCTAACATAAATGTCTACCAATAAACTAAGAAGAAATAAGTTGACATATTTAGTTGCAATTTATTATAGTCAGCAAAAGTTTTGAAAAGGTCCATTTAACCAAATTTATAAAACAAAGAGTTATAGTCCTTGCTTCTGAATGGCTGTTTAAAGTCCTTGTAAATGACTTCATAAACATATTTCGAATCTTTTAATAGCTGTAGTTCTATGTATTATGCATGTCAGCAAATCTTTGTATTCTTTAATGATGAAGGCATTGTCTATACCTCATTTTCTTTTACATTTCACACCACTTTTTTCCCCACCTTTAAAAAAGCATACAAAAAACTCTTCTACATATGACGTATCTTGCCCTTTGCTCTTTAAAATTCACTGTCTGTTTAGCTCAAATGTTAAAGAACTGTTCACTCACAGTGTCCATCGGCCTGTGGATTTTCCCCCATGGTGCGAGGTTCGAGTCGAGTCTCTGACGTGTCAGGTCACGCTAGTCATGACCGCCGACCCTCGCCTGCCCTGCGTTCCTGGAGAAGACAACAATGTTGACCCGAGACACGGAGCACTCAACATCAACCTGGGAGTCTAGCATGGAAGACGACTTTATTCACAAAACATGTCTGCATCTGAGATAATACTCCGACCTATAGCATCTGTATTCTGAAAGCATAACCATTGAAGTACTGGAAGCAAGAAACTGGTCTGACAAGTAGAAAGTAGGGAAGAAAAGCTGGCTTTTTTAATTTTCTAACATTGCATTAGAATGAAAAATAGCTCAGAAATGGTTATGCATTGTGTATTGATGTGCGTTTATTCTACCATGTATCTTTTTATTGAATCACTATATCTATCAGTGTATTAAAACTGCATTGCAGTGTCTTTCAATTCATTGCCTCAACAGTCATGATGTATTAAAGCTCTGAGAATAAAAGCAAGTAGAATTTGGTTTGACCATTACATTTGAACATGTTTTTACTTTTTAAAATGAAAACGTTTTGTTTCTTAATCATGTATGCACTATTGTAAATAATCAGCTACAGGCCTAGTAATATATACCATCTAATATTTTGAATGTTTACTCCTAATAAAAAATATGTAAAAAAAAAAATCTTTATTTTCATTGCTTTTTTTTAAATAATTTTTTTTTAAAGTGACAAGGGTTTCATTAAATCTTCAGCTGCAATAATAACTCTTTACAGACTTTATTCAGTTTTCTTTTGCATGTAGAGAAATGTACAAAATAGCTTGCAATAGAGGAACTGAAATATAATAGAAACCGTCTTTTGGAGCATACATTGCAATATTGACAATAAATACAGAACATTTGTTAACATTACAAGAGGTAAAGCAGACTCTTGGTCAAGTCTGAAATGTTAAAGTAGCTTAAATAAAGAATGATTTCACTGCACGGCACAAGGTAAAACCAGTCAAACGACACTGAAATTGGAATGGACTGCTCGAATGACACCACAACGCTTGTTAGTTTTAGGATCTCCCGCCTCAAACCCTAGCACAACTCAAATATTGATGCTGTTTGTCCCTGTGAACTGTGAAACATATGAAGCGAGCGTGGGATTGGTGGGAAGCACTTTGATTGGCAGGTCCCAGCTGAAGGTGTCCACATCCACGTGCTCGGCCCCGGTCCACACTGTGACCTCTGACTGATTCTGCAGGACCACTGGTGCCTCCACAGGCTCCCTCGCCGTGACAAACTCAAAATGCAGACGCCATCTTAACGTCACTGGGGAAGAAGTGAAAAACTCTGAATGAGAATGCTTGCTTTATTTATTCAACTGCAGTTTTAATATTAAGTCACATCCCTGGTTCACATATCTTTAATCTAACATTTAAAGCTCCAGGGTTACGCAAACCAGAATCATTAACGGGATACTTGTATTTGGCATCATTAACTGACCCTTTCATTAACCTTTATGACTTTCTTTGTTCTGTTGAACACTAAAGTAGATATTTTGAAAAATGTTAGAAACTGGTCACCATTGACTTTCATGGTATTTGTTTTTCCTACTATGGAAGTCAATAGTTACAGGTTTTTAGCTTTCTCAAAAATATATATTTTTTATTCAGTATAAGAAAGAAACCTAAAGGTTTTAAACCACTTGAGGGAGAGTACATTTTGATTTTATGATTTTATCACATGTGAGCTTTGAAAACACCAGTCATACAGTTGAAGTCAGAATTATTAAACCCAATGAATTAATAGCTGTCCTGTTTATTTTTTTCACCAAGATTCGGTTTAACAGAGAGGTTTTTTCAACACATTTCTGAACATAATAGTTTTAATAACTCATCTATAATAACTGATTTATTTTATCTTTGCCATGATGACAGTAAATAATATTTGACTAGATATTTTTCAAGACACTTTTATATAGCTTAAAGTGACATTAAAAGGCTTAACTAGGTTAATTAGATTAACTAGGCAGGATAGGGTAGTCAGGCAATTTACTGTCTAACAGTTGTTTGTTTTGTAGACTATAGAGAAAAGAATATAGCTTAAAGGGGCTAATAATTTTGACCTTAAAATGGTTTAAAAAAAATTAAATCTGCTTTTATTCTAGCCGAAATAAAACAAATTAGACTTTCTATAGTAAAATATTATCAGACATACTGTGAAAATGTCCTTGCTCTGTTAAACATAATTTGGGCAATATTTAAAAAGAAAAACATTTAAAAAGGGGCTAAAAATTCTCACTTCAACTGTGTCAATTCTCTGAAATTTAAAGACTTAAACATTATACAGAAGATAAGTAAACAAGCTTTCCGCTGATTTATCATTTGTTGGGACAATATTTGGCTAAAAAACAACTATTTAGAAAATCTGAGGTTTAAAAAAAATCTAAATACTGAGAAAGTAAAAAAAAAAACTTTAAATTTGCCAAAATGAAATATATGTAGAAATGCAGGTAAATAATGAAACATTGATTTATAATAAACTTAAAGTAGAATACTGACAAAAATCTTCATGGAACATTATATTTACTTTATATTTTTGGCCATTATTTTTTATATAAACTTGACCCATTTGATATAGTTTTTAAAAATCTTTTACAATATACATTACCAGTTAAAAGTTTGGGGTCATTTTTTTTAAGAAAATTATTCTGTTCATCAAGGTGGCATTTATTATATGTAAAAAAAAAAAAAAGAAGTAAAATTGTTAAATGTTTATTAAAATTTTAAATAACTGCCTTCTTATTTTATGTAGTTTCAAATTAAATTATTACTCCAGTCATTCTTGCTTTTACTACAATTACCATTGGTAATAATAATAATAATAATAATAGATAACACTTTAAATAATGGTCCATCAGTTAATGTATTTACTAGCATTAACAAACAATTAGTAACACAATAAAGTATGTTTTCATCTTTGTTAACATTAGTTAATGTTCATTCATTCATTTTCGTTTCGGCTTAGTCCCTTTATTAATCTAGGGTTGCCACAGTGGAATGAACCACCAACTTATCCAGAATTTCTTTATGCAGCAGATGCCCTTCCTGCCGCAACCCATCACTGGGAAACCCATACACACTCTTTCACACACACTCATACACTACAGACAATTTTTTAGCCTACCCAATTCACCTATACCGCATGTCTTTGGACTTGTGGGGAAACCGGAGCACCCGGAGGAAACCCATGCAAACGCAGGGAGAACATACAAACTGCACACAGGAACGCCAACTGACCCAGCCGAGGCTCGAACCAGCGACCTTCTTGCTGTGAGGTGACAGCACTACCTACCGCGCCACTGCGTCGCCATTAGATATTGTTATTCAAGTTAAATAATGTTCGTTCATGTGGATCAACTAATGTAAAATGAGCAAAATCTGGATTTGAAGAATGCATTCGTTAATATTGAACTATGATAAATAAATGCTTTACAATATTATTCATACTTAGATAATGCTATTAAATAAATTACCTAGCATTAACTAATGGACCATTTCTCTAAAGCATGGGTCACCAATCTCGGTCCAGGAGGGCCGGTGTCCCTGCAGGGTTTAGCTCCAACTTGCCTCAACACACCTGCCTGGATGTTTCAAGTATACCTAGCAAGACCTTGATTAGCTTGTTCAGGTGTGTTTGATTAGGGTTGGAGCTAAAACCTGCAGGACACCGGCCCTCCAGGAACAAGTTTGGTGACCACTGCTCTAAAGTGTTACCTAAAAATAGCAATAATAATAAAATAAAATAATAATAATAACAACAATAATAATTATCATTATTGTTATTAGAAGGATTTCTGTAGGATCATGTGACTCTGAAGACTGGAGTAATGAAGCTGACAATTCATCTTTAAAATCACTGGAATTAATTATTAAATTCAATGATTAACAGTTATTTTATAGTGCAATAACATTTCACAATTGTACTATTTGTACTGTATTTTTGATTAAATAAATGCAAGCTTGGTGAGCAAGATTAGCTTATTTTAAAACATTAAAAAATCCTACTGACCCCAAACTTTTGACTAGTATTGTATACTCATGTGACTGGCTTTGTGCTCCAGAGTCACATATTAATAGTATTTATTTTCAATTAACAAAAACAGTACCACCTAAAAAACTGTAATTAACACATATTCTGTACATTTGTAGATGATGAAGTTTTTGTTACCTATATCTGTGGTGAACCCTGGTGTGACGTTAAGAGGCACAGGAAGAGAGAAATGGCTGGATGCTGTGTGCAAGCAGGACTCTAGATGTCGGCCATGACCAGTGACACTGACTGCCTGGCCGGGTCGTCTCTGATACTGCTCCTGCACCTCCTCTTCACTTTGCAGACTTACTGAATACTGAGCAGACACAAGACATAAATGCACATGAACGTTTCTGGGCCACTTCATGAAGTATTTACAGTACTGTGCAAAAATTCAGATGAACTGTGGCAAAATTTTAACAAAACTTTAAAGCTGCAGTACTAGATAAAGTTTTAAGGGATAGTCCACCCAGAAATGCAGCATCATTAATACTCCCTCACATGGTTATCAAACTTTATGAGTTTCTTTCTTCTGTTCAACACAATATAATATATTAAATACTAAGAGTAAGTTTTATACATAACTATTTTATCATATTTTAAAGATCTGAAAGAATTACCCAGCTGTTAAATAATCTGTACACTACCTGACAGAAGTCTTGTCACGTATCTAAGTCTTAGGAACAACAAATAATAACCTGACTTCTAGTAGATCATTTAGTATCAGAAGTGGCTTATATGAAAGGCAAAAGCCTCTAGATTACGCTTATTTTAATTATCATAATTATTTAATTAGACAAGTAAACTCTGACTGTGCTTAAACAAAAGTCTTGTCACGTAACAGAAATAATGTGCATTAAAGAATATAAAGTCATGGTGTAGTAGAAAAAAACAAATTGTGTACAACTCCCATGAGCTTAGAAGACTGCATCCAAACATCTCTTCAGTGACTCAAATAACTTATTAATAAAGTCATCTGGAATGGCAAAGAAAGTGTTCTTGCAGGACTCCCAGTGTTCATCAACATTATTTGGATTCATCTTTAATGCCTCCTCCTTCATCTTACCCTAGACATGCTCAATAATGTTCATATCTGGTGACTGGGCTGGCCAATTCTGGAGCACCTTGACCTTCTTTGCTTTAAGGAACTTTGATGTGGAGGCTGAAGTATGAAAAGGAGCGCTATCCTGCTGAAGAATTTGCCCTCTACTGTAGTTTGTAATGTAATGGGCAGCACAATTGTCTTGATAGCTCAGACTATTGATGTTGCCATCCACTCAGATCTCTCAGATCTCGCACACCCCCATACTGAATGTAGCGCCAAATATGATTTTTCCTTCACCAAAATTGACCAATTTCTGTAAGAATCTTGGGTCCATGTGGGTTCCAGTAGGTCTTCTGCTCATTTTGTGATGATTGGGATGCAGTTCAACAGATGATTCATCAGAAAAATCTACCTTCTGCCACTTTTCCAAATGATCAACTTAAAGTAAAGTAGTTATTTGTTGCTCTTAAGACTGGGATCGACGACAAGACCACTTCATGGCGTTTTGTCTTAAATGTAATTTTTTTTTCTTCTTCTACTGTTATTTTATTTCATCATCACTGTTATGTTACAACATGCATGATTCCAGATTATTTAATTATTGTATTTGACCCAAATTATTGTGTTAACCCTTGGGAGGTTCAAGTCTTGGGGTGGGGCTTGGGTTAAAACTAAAATAGAAAGAAAGAAACTGTAATGTTTACTGTATTATATGTACATTTTCTTTTACTTCAATAATAATAATAATAATAATACTAAATATATTTTTTGAAAAAGAAAGGTAGCTGGTACCCATTAAGTAATTTATTATTATCATCATTATTATTATTATTATTATTACTACTACCACCACCATCATCATCATCATCAGAATATATTATCTTGTGATGAAAAGAAGAAAAGAAACTCCTAAAACTTTTTACTCAAAAAAACATATTTTGGGTGAACTATCCCTTTAAGGTACTTTTATTACAAAACAAAATGCTGTAAAGTAAGTATGTTTTAGAATAATGCCACAAACTGATTTTAACTAGCAATAAATTTTTATAAATTAAATTAAATTAAATCAACATTTGGTGTGACCAGCCTTCGTGTTTAAAGCAGATTTTGTCTTTGGTGCACTTAATTTATTAGTGCATAATTGAAGGCAGCTTTGCAGGAAAGTTTCTTGAAGTGTTGGAGATGTTTCCACAGTTCTTCAGGATTTAGTCGGTTTCATTTTTTTCTTCATGTCTTTCAAGTGGATCAGATCTCTGTTTAGAGCACTGTCTGCTGTCAGACTCCTTGTGCAAACAGAAATCTAACTGAATTATTACAATTGATCAACTTTTTAAATTATTTTTTTGGAAATGTAAACATATTTCCTATGGACACACTACATCAAAAGATAAAAAAATAAAAATTTGACTTAAAATAAGACTTAAAAGTATTTTGTTGGTGAAAGAACTAGTGGTCAAAGACTAATTCCAGGATAAAAAGACTTATATAGAATTTTTTTAATAAGACCTATTATAATTATACAAGTTTAAGATACTTATACAAGTTTCTTGACACCACATCAGCATATAAAAAATGATTTCTGAAGGATCTTAAGACTGGAGTAAAATAGCATTGTCATCACAGGAATAACTTCAATGTAGGTATTTTAAACTGCAATAATATTTACATAAATATTTAGTCTTTAATGTATTTTTGATTAAACAAATGAAAGGTTTTTACACTTCTTTCAATATCATTTAAAAATCTATTTTTTTCAAAAATCTCACCGACCTGTATACATGGAATATCTCCTTCTGAGAATGTGAAAGTGCCGATAACATCTTCTCCAAGCCTGTACACGGTCTTAAAGATGCAGAACTTAGCCACCTTCCCCCGCACGTTTGTGATGTTGAACATATCTGTGAAAGACAGACATGTGCTCTCTACCACATTCACAGAATTCAAAACAAGAGGGCAACATGATAACTGACATAAACCCATATTCCTACACACATGGGCACCGGCGTGAGGTAGTGATCATTAGCATGTCCAGTGCTCTTTCTAGTGGTCTTGTATCTCTCCTGCTTCCTTCCTCCTCCTCAAGGAAAGGGTTTGAAGGAGCTACTTCTTCATCCTGATGGAACGGAGGCTCTGGCATGCCTGCAGAGGAACATCAAACGTCATCAAACGCTGGTCTGGTGCATCGTTCTTGACCGACATCACACTGTTTTTTTTATGTCTATTTCTGTCACCTATTGGAGTTTCTGATCACTTTTGTCTTGCTTATTTGGAGACGAACCAAGCTTTTTGGTGTACAATATATTGTGATAATGAATTATATTGCTGTCGTTTTTAAATCAGTCATTGCATAATGATAACATAAGAGTAGAATAATATGACAGCACCAGCAAAACGTTTTGCCATAATACTAATTTGATAAATGTCAAAATATATATAGATGTAATAATTAAAAAACTTGTAAACTTTTTTACCTGAAAGGTCATGGCAAGTGAGTGACACAGTGCAGCCATCTAGTGGCTTAATTTTACATTTCAGGAGAAAATCAAGGATTTTCTTAGAGTCTGTTTTCCAGTAGATGACAGCAAACATTGGATTGAATGCTGGCTATTGGCAAAACAGCAAAAATGTGCGCATTGCAGGAGTACATGTAAAGTATTTGACCGCCCCGAACGGAGCTTGATTCTGATCTTTATTGATCAGGGTTCATACACATTTTTACTACTAAAATTTCATAACTTTTTAAAGACTTTTAAGTACATTTTCATGACGTAATGTTTCTTGTAATGTCTACATATACAGTTGAAGTCAGAATTATTAGCCCTCCTGAATTATTAGCGCCACTGTTTATTTTTTTCTCCAATTTTTTTTTAATGGAGGGAAGATTGTTTCAGCACATTTCTAAGCATAATAGTTTTAAAACCTACTTCTAATAACTGATTTATTTTATCTTTGACATGATGACGGAAAATAATATTTTACTTGGTATTTTTCAAGACACTTCTATACAGCTTAAAGTGACATTTAAATGCTTAACTAGGTTAATAAGGTGAACTAGGCAGGTTAGGGTAATTAGGCAATTTATTGTATAACGATGGTTTGTTCTGTAGATTATCGTAAACAAAAATTACCTTAAAGGGCTAATAATTTTGTCCCAAAAATAGTTTTTCAAAAATTCAAAACTGCTTTTATTTTAGTCGAAATGAAACAAATAAGACTTTTTCTAGAAGAAAAAATATTACCAGACATACTGTGAAAATTTCCTTGCTCTGTCAAACATCATTTGGGAAATATTTAAAAAAGAAAAAGAAAATCAAAAGGGGGCTAATAATTCTGACTTCAACTGTACATGGTAAATAATAAGAAAAACAGTTACGTTCAAATTTATTACAGCATATCATAAAACACGCAACAATCTATATTTTGTTTAAATTTGTTTTTATATCCATGTAAAATTCATTTAGGTAATGCTTACACAACACTAACAATGTAAGGGCAAGTTTTTGGCCAAGGACAGAAAAGAATTAAAGACAACTAACCTATATACAAGTTAGGGCTGCACAATATATCATTTCAGCATCGATATCGCAATGTGTTCATTGCAGGATATGCAATGTTGGGATTATAGTTTAATATAGAGTTAATTCATTATGGAGTAAAAGTTTATCATCTGCATGCATTTTTAAAGAGATAGTTTACCCAAAAATATTACTTACAATTTTTTATTACACCTTTCACTTGTTTCAAACATTTATGAGTTGTCTTTTTTTTTTTTTTAAACGAACACAAAGAGAAAATAATTTAATAACTCCTTTAGTACTGAAACAAGTGAAGTGTAAGTAAATACTGATTACATTTTAATCTTTGAGTAAAATGTCCCTTTAAGGCCTGTGACTGTGTAAACATTTCAATATTTCAAATTTCAAAACATCCGGTCACAAGAAATTTAATAAAGATTAAATAATATACAATGAAGACTTTGCCGTGTTGATTATCCAGTATCTGTATCTGAATAGTGAATACCTGAAAACTATAATTCACTTTTATCTTTACTATCTTTTATTTATCTATGCTTGTAATTTATTTGTCATATATTATTGGAGATTTACTCCCCTACAAAATCACCTCAATCAATCCAAATAAACCTGTTAAATCATATGATGAAATTGTATTTACATCGCAACATATATCACAGAAATGCAAAATATGGTAGTGTCAGATTTTTCCAACATCGCTCAGCCCTAATTTAAGTAAACAGATATTTGTTAAACTAATTTCCATGACTTTTCCAGGCCTGGAAAATGCCATGTCAAAATCCCATGACTTTTTCAGGTTTTCCATGACCGTATGAACCCTGTCCTAAACTGCACTGTATAAAGTGCTCTAAAAATAAAAGTGGCTGAACATCTAAAACAAGTAAAAGTCCGTGATTACTAATGGCACTGTGATGACACCATCGTCATAAGCATATTTGTCACTCATGGTTTATTAATTCCACAACCATTCAATCTTATAATAATAGGTGGTTTACCAAGGTAATCATATTGGTCTGATTATGTGATAACATGAGGGCCTTCTATATGCCATTCCAAAAAAAAATCTTAAGAAAATATTAATGCATCTCTAATCTAGTTTGCTGAAAATTAAGCTCATCTTTAAATGGACAAGGCTGAAAGGGAAATCGTATACAAAGGCAGCAAAGAGGCTGTGTGTGTAACCTACCATGAAGCACTAGGACTCTGAAAGGGACTCGCAGTAATTTGATAGGCGAGTTGACTCGCTGACACCCAATCGTGAGTTTGTACACGTATTTCACTGCCTGACCCCGAAAACTAGGCGGACCGTCAGTGGGCACGACCTCGCTGTAGGAATCTGAAAGAGGCAGAAATAATGGTGATAATCTCAGTTTGTTATGCATGCGTGGTTGTCTGCTGTAGCTCAGAATGACATTAGACAAGCATAGTTTGCCACTGCATGACTGAATAGCAGACTTTTGGCTCTGTACCTGTTTTTAGTGTAACTTTATCTGGGTCATGAGGAATCATGAAGAAAATTTATGTTGAATAAAGGCCTCACTTAGAGTAACTGATGTTGTGAAAGTGTGAACAACATCATAAAAATGAGTGAATCTGTGTGTGGTTTACATTCAGTTTCTTACATGTCTTGCTCTCTCCAGGGTCCAAGCGAAGATCACAGAATAAAATCTTTGGTGGTGTGTCCAGGACACACTGCCCTCGTTCACCTGAATCAATGAAAAAAAAAACAACTAAGAAATCATGAAATCTCTCCTCATGCTCATGATCTAAATCCCTTTCCAAAATCAAGAGGTTTGTTGTAAATAAAGAGATTACAGAAAGCAAGAAAATAAATAAAGCTGAAACCAGTCTGATTGTCGTCTAATCCTTAACACAAGCAAACTTTCTCCCAGTCTCACTGTATTTGGCTTACACTGTGATATGAAAGCCACAATTCAACAACAACATATTGGCAGACAAGATGACAAATTCCCAACAAATGACACAAACAGGAAGTCTGTGACCACTAAAATAATTACACTATTTGACTTTCACATGATTATTTTCAGCAGAAGGCATCGACTTAAAGTTTATATCAGCAGACGAGTGTTAAACTATGCATTTTCAACCTTTTTTGAACCTTTTTTTTATTCTAGCCATCAGTTTTACCTACTTTCTGTTCATGAAATACATGCTAAACAACATCCTTAAATATATTTTTTATAAAAGAAATATTATATTTCATTGTGTGAATTTGCATACTCTGTTTAATGCAAGCAAAACATTTTCATCAAATTATATCTCATTAGTGGATTGAAACAATAAACTGAGATCTTATGACACAAAACATTTGATCTTCGGTAGAAACATTCATTCATTTACTTTTCGGCTTAGTCCCCTTATTAATCTGGGGTCGCCACAGCGGAATGAACCGCCAACTTACCCAGCATTTGTTTTACGCAGCGGATGCCCTGACAGCTGCAACCCATCACTGGGAAACATCCATACACACTCATTCACACACATACAATACGGCCAATTTAGCTCACCCAATTTACCTATACCACGTCACATGCAAACTCCACACAGAAATGCCAACTGACCCAGCCGAGACTCAAACCAGTGGCCTTCTTGCTGTGAGGCGACAGCGCTACCCACTGTGCAGCCCCGGTAGAAACATTAAACATTATTTCTAACCTTTTATCCACAGCCCTGTCAAATAGTCCTAAGCACATAAAGAACAGAATGGAGTCAGAATTATTGCAGCATGATAACATATGGTAAATAAAATATTTGTAAAAATCAGTTTTCCCAATTGAGTAGCAAACAAAAATTCTATTTATCTTTAATTCTAAAGCGTTTTTACAAAGTAGATTGTGTGAAAACATGAATGAAGTTCTAGTAAACTGAAACTGCTTTAGTCCAGTTTTTACAGTTGAAGTTCAGTCCAGTGTAATGTAAATGTCACAGCTGAAAGCCCACCGAACACTGAAGATCAAATCCATTGCCCAGGATAAGCACTTATAGCATTCTGATGAACAATACGACAAATGCATTTCTCTCTAATTTAAATAAGCACTAATCGTCAGGTCACATGAGAGTCTGAACCTGCACATACATCATTACGCAACAGAAAACTAGAGCTTAGGGTCATTTTCCAAAGCTGTGGCTTAGCAATGGCAAAGTCGAAAATAACAATCAGTAAAAAATTATAATTTCACAAGACTTCAATGTATCACTAGGAGCCAAGGACTAGTTTGATGTAGTAATAAGAATTTTGTCTGTATATGTATGTATATATATATAAATATAAATATAAATATATACATACATACATACATACATACATACATACATACATACATACATACATACATACATACATACATACATACATACATACATACATACATACATACAAACAAACAAACAATATGAGCGTTATGAGTGTGACATTTGCAGTAAAAATTTAAAACATCAATTCACATAGAAAGTATATGTTAACATTTTATTGAAATATCTGTTTCAATATATTCTTTCATATTTTCCAGAATAACTGACCACAGAATTAAGGGAAATGAAAAATATCAATCTATAAACATGTTTTGTACCTAAAATGAGGAAAACAAACATGCGTTATGTGAATTAAACTGCACAACTCAAAAGAAACAATGATAATCAAACGGATGAGAGTTGGCTCTCTATAAAACAAAGATGATTGGTTTTATTTGTATCATTTATGAGGAAAAAGTGTCATTATGGATGTGACCTCTCTCCAATATGGATGTGACGGTTGTAAAATTGCCACTTGTGTGACTTTGGTAAATCAAATAGAATAGTTTGAAAACATTGACAGATGCATTTCTAAGTATTTCCAAAGTGCTTTAAAATACTTGATTGCCCAAAAAACCCAGAAATGGCTTCCGTATTTTGGTGAAAACATTTTTTTTTCATGGCCAGGTTGACATTTATTTATATATACATATACATATATATATATATATATATATATATATATATATATATATATATATACATACATACATACATACATACATACATACATATATATATATATATATATATACACATACACACTCTTTATAATTCTTAATTTGCCTGTAACCATTGACTTGAATTTTGGAAATCACCAATATTTCACCAAGGCTACAACAAGTTAGTCTGTACTGATAAGTTTACTTTTCACCTCTGCTTGGTATCAGCACGGTGTCACTCTCAGCTTGCACGTCCTGCTTGGTGCCCTGAGTGGGTAGAGCCACGCGGCTCTCGCTGGCATGAAACTGGCAGTGGATCTGAGCACTGGACCATGCCAACATCTCACTGTGAAAGATTGACAGATTCATTCAGAATGGACAAGACATTAACTGAAAAATGAAAAGTGAAGATAGACACAACTGGGTTTAAATCACCAAAGCAATGAACAAAAAAAAGCCTTACTATTCAATTATTACGGAGCTTATTACCTGCTGGCAGATGTAGAGAGGTGTGACATTGGGTTTGTGAAGGTAACAAGACATTCTAAAACCTCTCCGGCCAAAAACACAGGCCCCCGTGCCATAGATGCCACCACCTCAATCATCTAAAGTAAACAGAGAGGGAAAATATGATATGATGTGTGTTTTAGTGGGGTTTTTCTCAAAATACGAGACCTGACATGACCAGTAAACTAGCATAGGCCGTTTAAGATGTTAGCAAAGGTAATATGAACAATCTACTATTCAACAGATAAACTCTGAAGATGAGCTTAGTTTTAGGACGTTTGAACTTTTTGTCTTCACAGATGTGGCTATGCATAAAAGAACATAAATATCATAGTTAACATGGCATTGACTGAAACAATCAGACAAAGATAAGACTAAACATAGATCAACTAATTTCAGCTACATTTAAAGAGCTGGCGTCGCACAGCTATGCGTGCTTACTAACGTACATTAGCAGGAAGTCCAAACCTTTTGTTTCCTTTACAATAACGTTACCTCGAAAGTGTTTGCGGCGAAGGACCAACAAAGTCTTCGGTTTTATATGTCGTGTTCCTGATTAAAGAAATTAAAAGAAACCGGCGACAATCCATCAACTTGAAAACAAAACAACCGGAGACGGATTTCTCTGGGTCATTATGCGGTTTCCCTGAGTTTTTTCTCAAGCGTTGTTGCTACATTCTTGAACGGATAATCAAACGTTACTTCAACATGACAGTTGCCTTATAAAATCATTGTTATGCATGTCGTTTTGTTTTAGTAAGTGCAAAATAACTTAATGAAAATATAAGAAGTCGTCATTTAAAATAAACTCCGGTATAGCGATGTTCATACGATGAATCAAATTACACGAGTCGATTCATTTCTACGAATCGTAGAATGTTTTGGACTCCTCTGGTAATAAGCTGGGTAAGGTTTGATCAGGTTCCTGGAAATGAGCTGTTCAAAAGAACCGATTTGCTAAAACGAGTCCAGACGACTTGTCATTCGTGGCAAATGTGACGTAAGGTCCGATCTAAAATCACAGCGGGGGTGTTCCGTTGTTCTCACAACAAACTGTTAATAAACCAGTAATGTTTAATCTTTTAAATAGTGAAGTAAATTTCATATGAGATACAACAGACAACAAATAATATTTGTGTTTTTGTGGAAAAACACTGAGACGACGACTCTCTATTTAAGACGACTCCCCCTAGTGTGTTCTAAGTGGTTTAATCCATCAGAAGGCCCTACTGTACTGGAAATTGATCCTTGGCTTTGAACAATTCATCAGTTAGAGATCGTGATGTGCAGTTTTGTATAAGAATACGTGGTTTGTATTTAAAGGAACTTCTGAATGCTGTTTAAATGCTTACAACTCTACAGTTTAGGATTTTCGCTTCACGTCTAAATTTTTTCGCAAGATCCAACCGCAACAAGGTGGAGGAGCAGCCACAGGAGCACCGGATGATGATGGAGCTGTTAACATAAAGACATGCAGGCGAGAGTCAAAACAAGTGCAGCCCGTCACTGACACACACACATCCCGGGTTCTGCTGGAGAGACAAGGGCAGGTAAGAGGGATCTACATGTGATCATAGCATACAATACTAATTATGCAGGAAAAACCTAAAAAGTAAACTAAACAACTAACTTGCTGAAGCCTCAAGTGGTGCTATATTTCCTAAATAGGTATAAAACAAGCTTTCACTTTTTAAAATTAAAGTCAAAGGATAGTGTGAAGAAAAAAAGAGAAATTGTTGGCTTTTATCTCAGAAGGCAGGTCTACTAAATTATATAAAACTAGATTTGTGACTGAGTTTGGGGTGTGTGCAACCCTGATCAAAGCTAAGGGACAAATTCAATGTAAAACATTGTGTTTTTCAATGTAAAACACTTTTCCATATTACAGAATTAAATAGACAAAATAAATTGTAAGTTAAAAACATTTGTAATTTAAAACTACACGGGTGTTAAAGGTTAAAACTACGAAACATCCTATTTTGTAATTAAAAGCATTTAAACAAACCAATGAAATACATTTGAATGGGATTTTAAAAATACTAAAGTCTGTAATCTGAGTAATAGTAACAAAAAGTTGGATGTAATATTTTTTGTCTTTCACAGTTGTAATTTTTATTTGTATTTTTTGTTAAAGGTGAATGGTAATAATAGATAATAAATACTATCAAAATTGTATTAATTAATAAGATATATAGTAATTGTTTTCATAATTAAAATGGCTAAGTAAGTATTGTTATTTTATAGTAAAACTAAATTGAACGTTAATGTAGAAAATAATTGTAATTGTTTATTGCAAGTCAAGTTGTGGTAAAGACTCTGAGTGTACAGATGTGTTACTTTTATTAAGGTCAGGTGATTTTACTGTAGATTCAGAAATAAATTATAGTTACAGTTTGCCAAGAGTGGGGTGAAACGAAGGAAAAAGCATGGTACTGTTAGTTAATTCAAAGGAAAAGCATCAGGTTACATCTACACAGCTCGCGGTTGTTACAGACTGAACTCTGTTACTCCATCACCCTGGTGACAGGTGAACTTTATGTAGATTAATCTGCATTAAGATCAGACATGTGATCTTAACTCCTGCTTGCACAACTCAGTAGGTTAAACGCTGTGAATTGCTGTAGAATTAAAACAATAAGCAATTCGGAGTAACACTCTTATTATTTTTGTCTTTTTTCGACAGGAGCCCATTTTTTGTGCTGTTTTAGACTGGTGATCAGAGGTCTTCGAAATATGGATTTAAATGACAGCAAGTCTCTGGCCGAGCTGATGAGCCGATATGCGTCTTCAGAAACTGGATTCGGTGTCCCCAAGGATGGCTGGCGCATATGCCTGGCGCACGAGTTCAAAGAGAAGCGCAAACCGTTTCAAGCCAAAGATGTGTCATTGTCCAACATGCTCGAGCATGTTTCTTTAGGTGTCAGGTATGTTTAACATGATGTGCTGCAAGTTAACAGAGGAGCCACTGATTCATTCATGTTTTCCCATGCTGCATCTACAGTCAGCGAAAGTTGAGAAAAGAGAGATTTTTAAATAATGCAATATTTATGATTTATGGTTAATATAATAATATTAATAATATTAATAGTATTAATAATGATATAAAAAATGTGTCATGTGTTCAGACATGTTAGTATTAATTTTTAGAAAACAATATCAAATATTTATCTTCAGAAGAGTTAAAATATTTGTATTAGGCAGAATTAGGCAGAAACCCTTTATTTATTCTGATTAAAGATGTTCTGATGAATGGATTGATTGATTGATTGATTGATTGATTGATTGATTGATTGAAAAATGAACACAATGTTTGCGGCTCTTAACCATTGAAGACAGTGTTTTCATTCCCTTCTGCTAAACCATTTTCCAGTAGGTTCTATTTCATCAACTAGTGTTGTATGATTACTAATAACACCTTCAGCTCTTTGTGTTTCTTGCTTCTTGCATACTAGTTAAACCAGAAGTCTGGTTCAGGTGGATCAGTTGTGAGTTTTTCCTGTGTAGGCAGGTAGCAGGAACTCTTACTGCAATTGCATTTACCTCAATCAGGTGTGGTTGTGTTTCCTCTCTAACTAGTTAAACTGTTACACCGTACCTAATAAATTTCCTCTCCTTTTTGACCTTTGGACATTCCTGCTGTGACTAAGCAGCTTGATCACCGTTGGCCTGAGCTTATATACTGGATTTTGTTGTTGTAATTATTCAAAACTAGAGCTGCACAATATAAATAAATTCAGCCTTGATATCGCCACGTGTGTGTCTGCAATAGTCACATCGCAGGATGTGCAGTGTTGAATTGGGATTATAGTTGATCAACAATTGCGAATGCATGTGATTTGTGGAGTCACTGCAAAGTTTAAAAGTAACAGAGTTAAACTCTATCATTTACATATGTTTTAAAGGCATTTCAAGAGATTGTGAACTATCCAGGCTGAAAAAAAAGTACATTTTGTAACTTTAATGAAGAATAATTTTACTGAATTATTAAAACATTGAAGTGTTGTTTTTCATCATTCAATTTCTGCCTGAATGCTGTTTGACACTTCGGAAAACCATAAAGCACTGTTTATTTCACTTCTTAGTTGCTCTATTGTAATACTTTTTGCTTGCAATTTGTTTATTTTATTTTTATACATGATTTACATCCTTACCAAATCGCCCCAATTAATCTAAATTAATGATTTCTTTCCAAAAAGAGCTATTCAGGTCATCTTGTGAAATTGTATCTCAATGTATATTGCAGAAAAACAAATTTTACTTCTTTCCTGCAACAACAAGCTTTTGCTGGATGGAAATTTTCTATTGTGGCTAGTTAATCCATTACATTATCAGTCAATATTGGCCCTGTGTGGTGTTTTTTTCTTTTCTTTACGTTAATGATTGACAGAAAACTGCCATGAGCATTATAAATGTATATTGTTCGTTCTCATTTACACAAACAGTGCTGTGTGATGTGAATGCTGTATTTACAGCATGTTGCTCAACCTTCATCTGCTTGAGTGATTGATCGCAGCTCATTCTAGCATGACTCAATTTTAAGCCACGGCTGGTATCCACAATAATCTGTCATGCACAGTTAGAAATTTAAATCCTTCTTTGTTGTTGGTGAATGTTTATTTTTCTAAAGTAATAATTTATTGTTTTATAATTATTAAACTATTTTACTATTTAAAAACAACTTGTCAAGTGTTCAGTGAAACAGAAATATGTCAGCAACAAAGAAAACCATTAAACTAATAATGATTAAATAAACCAAGAGAACACATATATATATATATATATATATATATATATATATATAAACTTTGATTGGGAGACAATCAAACTGACTTTCTATCCAGAATATAGACAGTTAGCAGGATTGTCCAGCCTTTCCCATAATGCCCTTTTATATGTGTGTGAATCAGGCTGTGTTTTTGTGCATGTTTGTGCTGAGGGCAACAAGACTGAAAACAGCTGTGTGTGCATTATAACGGCTGAATGACCCACACAGTAAAGAAAGAGTTGAATGGAGTGGTTTTACATCCACTAAAGGGAAGTGGTTAAAGCATTTTATTGACAAAATGCAAACTACTGTTCATTGTGGGAAACGTGTTATTTTACTATGCCAAAAAATACACAGGTAAAAAAGCTTACAAGAGACGGCTGCAGAATAATCAGCTATAAATATTTCGTTGATTTGATTAGCAGACATTGTCCTACACATTTCTCAATAAACATGTCATCACAAATGAAGCGCTTTATACTCTCTAAGCATCAATATGACTTAATGTGCTTTGAAAACATACCATCAATATGATTGTCATATTCATGTCTAACATTTGTTGTTGAGCTACAAAGACCAATAAACCAATAAGCCAAGGTGTGATTTATTTTGAACAAAACGGCCTGTAATCCAACTTTATCCATCTGAATTGATATTGATAAAGGGATCGATATCAACTCCAGTCTGTATGGCAGAGAGAAAATCAGTTTATTGAATTCCTCCTTGTTTTCTGTGTGTCTGAGCAGGTACCTTAAATGGTGGTACCGAAAGACCCAGGTTGAGAAGAAGGCTCCTTTCATTGATATGTTTCGGGCTGTGCCACTGAGACAGATTTATGGTGAGATAAAAAGAGTGTGATCAGAGCTCTTGAAATGAAACGGTGTAATTAAGTATGTGTTGTTTTTTTCAGGCGTTCCTCTTGGTGGCATTGGCGGAGGGAGCATCACTCGTGGATGGAGAGGAGAGTTCTGCCGCTGGCAACTAAATCCTGGAATGTACCACTACAAAACCGTTATTGCTAATCAGGTAATGGACTGCTAGTGATCTGATGAAATGCAGATGAAGTCTGTAGTACTACCATTCAAAATTTATTCAGCACTATTCAAATAGCAGAATTCGTAAAAGACTTTTGTAAAGTTACAGAAATTTAGTTATCTAAGAGCTGTAATAAGAAGAAAAGCAAGCTATTTTTTGACACAATGAGATTGTTAACACAAGATACCGTATAGGACACACAAGACTCCCTTATGGACAAAGGAGAAGAACCCCCAAAGAAACGTTAATATTGCAACAGAAACCAAACTGTTAAACATAGACAATTCTAAGAGATGTAAACAAAAACAACGGTTCTAATGTATTTCCTGTTTTAGATTTTGAATTTAGATTATTGTTAATTTGTTTTAATGACAGTTGGGTTAACATTAGTTATTACGGAATCACATCTTGTTACAGTTCTGAAATTGTTTGATGACAAGCAGGAACTGTTCATGGAACAATGTTATTGCGATATTGAAATGGTCCATACTTGTTTTTTATTATTGCTGATATGAAAATAAAAAATAAATATATCTAACATAATGTTGTTCATTGAACTTTGAATTCCTGAAATAACCAAAACTTTATGTAATGACAATAATTGAAAAATAAATATTTCTTTAGCAGAATGAAAGGAAACATTGTAAAATGTGAGAATGATTACTGAATGATAATGTGACACTAAAGACTAGTGAAAATACAGGTTCAGAAATAAATTGTGCAGAATTTAATATATCGAAATGTACAGTACTTGTAACTATATTAGGCTTTAAAATGCATGATTAGATTACAGTTACTTTATCAGTCATTACTTAAATAAATATGTTTATGATTTAATTATCCATAATAATTCTCTATTTCTTAATACATTTTTCTTTTGGAAAAAAAAAAAAACACAATCTGACAAAGACTTCCAGTTTTGTGGCATCACACTCGCTGACTAATAACTTTGATTAATTAGTTAAGGGGTTAAATTGAGGCCAACAGCCATACAGTAATCAACAATCTACCTCAATAAAATATCAATTCATCTTAATTTTATTTATTAACTCTATTTACAGATTTGGTTTAATTATCTTCCTTACAATAGCATGTAGGGCTGCATAATATTGGACAAAACTGACATTGCAATATTTTGTTTTTCTACGATATATAAGGGAAATATTTGTAAGGGAGTACATCTACAAATAAAATATTAAACCAATGACAAACATTGAGAAATACAGTAAAGCAACGATGCTGTACAACTAAAATATACATTGCCTTTTGATTTTCTGAAAGTCTAGCAATATTCAGATGCACAAATTTAATAATCCAATGTCAAATGATAATGTGTCTATATACATAAATACAATTAATCTTTCTTAAATACGTAAAAAAATGTAATGTTTCTCTTGTAAAAATGTTTTAATGACTCCACAAAACATCAGTGTTTTGAAATGTGGCTCCTGGTCAATTATTATACCGATTCAACATTCACCGATGTGACTTGCAGATGTGCACATTGTGATATCGATGCCAAAACAATATACTGTGAAGCCCTAATATTAGAAGATTTGATATATTTGCTTTCTTTTTGTATTTATTAATAACTAGCTCTAATCAAAAAGTCTCCTTATATTACATAAAGTCATTATTCTAACTGCAATGTTTGTCAATTCATTTGTAATAATCAATATCACATTACATTTAGCATGTAATCTTCTAGCACTGTGTATACTAAAGATATTATTAGTGTTCAGGTTGCTCCTTCTCCCAGCTGAAGTGTGTTTTAATCTCCTAGTTTACAGTGTGTCTGCGAAGGGATGGCCAGACTGTGTACCAGCAGGTTTTGTCTACAGAACGACCTTCGACTTTACAGGGCTGGAACTGGGGTTATTGTGGTGAACATGCCTTTTACCATGGCCTTTTCCCACGAGCCTGGACAGTCTACAACCTGCCCGGCCAGAACGTCACTCTCACCTGCAGACAGGTGTCGCCTGTTATCCCTCACGACTACAAGGTGACCAGCCTTTTACACAGTTTCTCATTGATTTTTTAAAAAAAATGTTTTATTTCTTTTATTTATGTATGTTTTTTTATGTTATTTATGAGTCAAATATAAGTATTTGTTTATATTTATAGGGTTTGATTTGAAATTTCAAAAAAAATATTTGGCGTTTTTTTTTTATTTTTTTTTTTATACTAATTTATTTATTTATTTACTTTTATTTGTTGATTTATTTATTTTAGAAAAGGACAGTTTGTCAAAATAACAAGTGTTTTCATGAGAAAGAAAATAAATATTAAACATCAAATATTGAAACTGTTGTTGTCTTGTGTAGAAATTAACATAAACATGCCATGATTTTTTATATTTTTGTAAATATTTTTGCTTAGTTTTACATCAACTACTGATGATATTTCTTCCATATTTAAATAATATGTTGTCATTTAGATTATAAAATGATAATTGTTTTAGAACATATTGTTAATTTGTTGTTGTTATTGTTAATTTTAAATGTCACAAAATAACAATGTTTTAACTTCAAAAGAATTTTCTTTCTGTTTTTTTAGACTAGGTTTGTTTTTTGCTTTGAAATACCTGACACAAAACAAAACAGCAAAATCCATAAACCATTGTGCTACAAACCACACAATATAGCAGGACCAGTAAGAAGTTTGGTGAAAAGAAAACACCCATGAATGTGCAGGACATTACATCGTTCCGAATCTCAAAATGTTACATACAGCAAGGTTTATATATGGTGACCAAGCACAAATAAATGTATTAGTTGTGGAGTGGCCAAGACATGTTAGATGTTGCAGAGGAATAGTCTCTTGAATAATTGAATGCCATCATTTCACTTATCTATGACATCAAAATGCTGACTTCATCAAAGAAAATGTGCTTTTTTAAAAACTTTTCTGAATAACCTTAATTTTTAATTACAGCAAATGAACGCCTTATGTTTTGTGTCTAAATATTGTTTTGGGGGGAAATGCTCTGAAAGACATTATGTGAAATTTAGAAACTACCAGACTGTTTTAAAACAAAACAAGTACAAACATTTTACTCAGTCCAATACCTATAAATCCAGTCAAACTGAGAGTTTTTAAGTGCTCCCTTAATATGTAGCCTACATATAAATTATATCTTAATTCACCAGATTTTCTGTTTTTTTTGTTTCTGTTTCAGGACTCCAGTCTTCCTGTGGCTGTGTTTGTGTGGGACATTGAGAATAAGAATGATTATGCGCTTGACATTTCTATTATGTTCACCATGGTCAACGGGTCCGGCCAAAAAGATGACAAGAGTGGGGGCCACTGGAATGAACCATTTCACCTTGAGAAAGAGGGAGAATCCGTGTCTGGGGTTTTACTACACCACCAGACGCCTGCAAACCCTTACACACTGTGCATAGCTGCGAGACAGAAGGTAAAGCATCAGTGTAAATCTAGAAGAGGCCGGTTAAGCTTGTAGCAAGTAAATGAAAACAGCTCCTGTGTTATGAGAAGCACAAAGACAAAAGCACTCTGCCAAACAGGTTTGACTGTCAGTCACTGAGCTCCTGTTTTTTTGTAGAAATAAGAACAATATAAGGATGGCTGACTGCTGTGCTTCACCAATTTGAAATTAGCTAAGATCAGCTAATGTCAAAAAAAGCAACAAATCTTTTATTGACAAACAAGACTTTAAAAGCAGCTTAAACCTTGAGTTGACTTAGACTTAACTTTCTGACTTTTCTCCTCAAATCAGTTCTATTCAGTATTTTGCAGTTTTGACATTTGTTAAAATAATTTCACATAAGGTCAAATTTCACTATTCTTTGTTTCTCTGAATTTTCTCTGAGATACAAACTTTGAACTGTGAAGTAAGAGCTTGCAGTTCTGACTTTCTTTTGAAGATTGTGACTTAATTATTTTTTTTAATTAGGAATGTTTAGAAAATTAGAAAAGTCTGTACATAATTCTCATAACTAATTTTTCCATCTCAAGTTTTGTCACAGCTGCAATTTAGTAAGTCAAATGCTTTCAATTCATTTATTTCTTTCTCAAAAGTCCAATTTTGAAATAAAAATGAAAACTTTTAGTAAACAAATATTATATAATCTAAGATTATAATTAAGTTTGTCAAACTTTGACAAACTTAACACAAATGTGTCAAACTTAGAATACGCTCAACTTATAAAGTGTGTATTCAGTATTGTTTTATTATTATTTTTTTAAATCTCACAATTCTGTTTATATCTTGCAATCTCACTTGTGTCTTTTTGGTATGTGATGTTTGAGATTGTTCATGTTTACTTTCGGAGAGCAGCATTTACAGCGGATCTTTCAGTCCATAATATTGTTGGGTTGTTAACCCAAACATATTTTTGTTGCATGTTAGCAGACCACTGTAATCCACACGTGAGTGCAGCTGCACTCTCATAGTGGGGAATTGAAAACACAACCTTTGTTGCAGCACATTTATAAACACAACACTGATGACCCTTGTCTCCAAACAACTCTTCTTATTTCATTTGTTTTAATTACGCTTGGCAACACAACGTGGCGTCTCTCTGCCGTCTGAACACTGTCTTTGAAGCTATATTATGCATATTCATAAAGTTGCACCTCATACACAATAGAGCGCACTGATTGGTTCGAACTAAGTCTTTCTTATGAATTAATGATGAAAATTCAAAGACGGCATGTTGTAAATGCCAGTACAGACATCCTGTCTCTACGCTGGAATTTACAGAAGGATCTCATGGCCATGATGTAGCTTCAAATTTTCTTTTTAAACCGGAAAAATGAATAAGCTCGAATAATCGAAAAAACAACCAATTTTTAATTGTTAGCTAAATATATTTGTCCTAATAGTGTTTTTAGCTATGTGGGAAACGTATATGACTGTCAGCATGTCAAAAAATGTGTTTTGGTGTTTCGTGATTCTTTATTTTACATTTATCAAAATGTTATTTTTCTATGCTGTGTTTTTATTGATTATTGTTAGTGCCATTTTAATATTTTTATTCTCAATTAAGTGGAATGCAGTGACCAGGCAGTACCTGTTAAAATTTACCTGTTTTTTTTTGTCATTTCAGTGCTTGACCCAATATCTGGCTGTTTTTCTAATTATTATAGATCATGGAAATCCAGCATTTTATCTAGTGAAAATCAGTGAATTAGGCATTTGTCCAGGAGTGGAAACCCTGATTTCTACTTTAAGTTCCACTGAAAATAGAAATGCAGATTAAGAACAACATTACTTTATGTAATTGATGACAGAATTAACATTTTAAGTCTGAGTGATCTTTTTTTTTTTTGTACTTTCCCTTTTCATTTCAGTCTGGCCAGGAGATCAGTCACCAGACTGCGTTCAGTCCAAAGGGAACGTGCAGTGCTGTGTGGTGTGACCTTATGACTGACGGGCGACTTGACTCGCCCACAAACTCCAGTCCACCCACAGAGAAGGGGGAAGAAGTGGCAGCAGCTCTGGTGGTCAGCTGCTCTGTGTCTGCTAACAGTCGCAACAGTGTGGACTTCAGCTTGGCCTGGGACATGCCTAAAATCACATTTGGCTCCAAAGAGAGAACATATGTGAGGTATGTGTATATGGTGTATATGATGAATCCCTTTCTGTCCTGTGTGTTTTTTTTTCAGTTGTCTGTTTTAGGGCTGCCCGGTATTGGGGAAAAAAAAAAGACATTTCAATATTTATTTTTAATGCTGTTTTATTTAATTGATCTGTTTATTAAACTTTTGCAGATAGTTTTACAGAAAAAATTAAACAAATATACTTGTCAACACTTGGCCCATAAACAAAATGAAATTTCAATTGTACAAAAAAAAAGGGAAAATACATAAAAATAAAAATTTTTTTAAAAACCATAGTTATTGTCAATAGTTAGTGTCAGTTATACATAAAATATATATTGGGCCGTTTATGTTTAGAAATAACCCATGTACAAAGTTCACGTTCATCAACAAAGTAAATTTATAAACTTAATCCACAGATACATATTCAATATACTTAATTAAATTCTCTCTGCAATTGAAAACCCCTAAAGGCCACATCATACACCCAGCGCAGTAAGGCGCAAGACGTGAAAGCTGGTCTAAAGTCCAGTGCAGAGCGAGTTAGTTATGCACCTCTGCAGGTCCAAACGCTTACACTTAGCTTAATACACATAGGATGTACAACAATGCACAAATATCTTTTACACATGAAAAAAAAAACAATTATTTAAATATATAAACCACTGCCTTCATGCCTTCATCTCGGGGGGCTTTTTTCAGTTTATTCATGACAATTTGCATTTGTATATTATTATTATTATTATTTATTATATGCATTTTTATGCATATAATAAATAATTATATGCATATCATATGCATTTATTTACATTTGCTTTATTTAAACAAGTTTAGATTTGTTACCTGTCGGGTTCTTTCAGATGTATAAATCACCATAAGGGGCATAAGAACAGGCCGTGTGTTTGGATATTACAAATTAAATCCAAATAATTATATCCAAATTTTCTGACCACAATTCATTATTATTGTTCATTTATTTGTTTGCTGGAAATAAGAACTGGATTTAGAAATAGTTTTGAAACAAATCTTTAAATGAAATTAAATATTTAGGCTAATGGATGTGGTGTGAGTGGAGTGAGTTTTCACTATTTTCTTTATCCACGAAAGTAAAGTTGTAAAGTCAAGAAAAAGTAGAGGCCGAATGGAGGAGGCACGTTCTTTATCCTTACACAGCATATGTTCTATTTGTTTTCTCACTAGTGAAGCATTTAGTTTTTCCACTTACAAAGTCTGCCATGTAAATATCTAATGCACCAGGGCGTGACACAACTGACTCTTAAAGGGAATGGGATATGAGACTCTGATTGGTTTAATGTACGTTATGCTCAAAACACACCCATAACTCATTAAGAGAATAAGCACAACCCTGTTAGACCATGCGCCGTGGCACAAACCGTATGTTCCTGTCCTTAAAATAGCAAGGGTTGATTCAGACACGCCCTTTAGACTTTGCGCCTAGAACTTTAAAATGGAGCCCTAAGGCTTAGATTGACCGAAAAAGTCTAGAATTGCCATTTCCTGTAAACCTAATTTTTTAAATGAATGAAGCTCATTGCATCTCGCAACGAGTTGTCAAAATTCAGATAAAATCTTTGTTTCCATAGTAAAAAAATGCATCGTCTTGCTAACTGTGTCGAAAATGCAAAAGCATTTGCAGTACTTTTTCTGCTATTTTATATTGTGACATGAATATAGCTTCACAAGATGACTTGAGTACGTGTATTTGGAAATTATACATAATTTTGCTTTGATTTGGGATGCTTTTGTAGATTAGTGTACCTGCCTAAAATATACAGAATTATCCAAAAATATACAAAATAAACCTCAGAGGAAAGCAGTAAAACAAAGATTAAAATAAAACAAACAGCACTTTATGGTTTTTAATTGGAGTTTAACAGTACTGAGGTACAGAAATTCAATAATCAAATGTAAATCAACGATTCATAGAGTCTTCATTATATAAATAAACACAGTCATTCTTTTTAAAGTGGCAAACTTTATAATTTCTTGTTCCCAAATGGTTTATATTCACTTGAAATGTTGATCACAGGTTTTAAAATCACATAAAGATAAAAGCAAGTCTTTCACATTATTACATTAGGGTTCAACTTTGCAATTACTCCACAAATCATGTTTTCTGAACTGTGCTTCCTGCTTAATTATAATGACCCTAGGCTGGTTGTTGTGGATGAGAGGAACACTTGCATTTGAAAAGCATATGATCAAATTCAATAATTCAAACAGCAATAAGTTGTGCATGGGATTTTTGCGATGAATTAGACTGTAATGTGTGCATTTTTTATGCATTTCTTTTTGTACATTAGTTTTTTTTAACATTATCTGGTGACACACTTCTTGCTCTTTTATCTGCTCTCTCATCTTTTTTCTTTCTCTTTGTATGCAGTATGGATCAGGTTACTCTGGTTAGAGTACTCTTGTTTCTTGTTTCAGTGTGTTTGTGTGTGTAAATTGGATGTCACAGAGATGCTGTTTGATTATCATGCAAAAGAATGTTCAACTAAAGCCCAGATATGTTAGATTAGCAAGGTTTTATTAAATTTGGCAGTAAAGATTTTTACATTTGTTACAAAAGACAAAAGTAAACTATTAATATGTCAAAACCATACAGTGACTTATTAAAGTATAATAGTGTTGGTTATGGTAAAGAGCAGTGCCACTGTTTTAACACTGACAGTATTAATTTAATACATATCAATAATTTGAGTATTAATATGTCTTCAATGGCAAATCAGGATATTATAATGATTTCTAAAAGATTGTGTAACGCTAAAGACTGATAGTTGAGACGATTAAAAAATTTAGATTTCAGATTTAATACATTTAACATGTATAAAAGGAGAAAACTCTTAGAAATATGATTTCAAATGGATGTTTTTGCTCTTTCTAAAATGTAAAAAATAAATAAAACTTTAAAAAATGGTTTAAACTTATTCAAGTTTTTTTTCCCAGTGATGGGTTGCGGCTGGAAGGGCATCAGCTTCATAAAAACATGCTGGATAAGTTGGCGGTTCATTCTGCTGTGGCGACCTCAGATTAATAAAGGGACTAAGCTGAAAAAAAAATGAATGAATGAATTATTAAAGTTTTCTTGCATAAATGAGCTGAATGTGGTTAAAAACACGTAATTTCTTAAAAAAGGACCGACACATTGCTGTGCTTCATCCATGATTCTTGATTTAATAGGAAACAGCACTTTTAGGGTTTCAAGAGATTTGTTTAGAAGACTGTGGTGGAGACTTATTATTTACAAGTTCCAGGAAAGGAAGAGATTCATCATCGCTTATAGAGTGAGGAAAATACTGAAGGGCCACAATCTGTGCTCCTTACAGATTCATAGAAGAGCAGCAATGATCATTTATTTAATGTCAGAGAATCCTAGAGTCAATGATGCATAACTACAAATTACAAAAAAAGTCATTCATTTTTTTTTCCATTACAATAATGAGAGTGTGACTTTATTGCATTACATTAATGGGAATTTGGGGAAACGGGCTTAATTGTTGGATAAAGGTTTTAATGGTCCTAGTAATGACCTTTTTTATGTCTGTACAAAATGTAATTGATGCTATGAAACAGTAACAGCGTTTATGGTGTTTGTTCTAGGAGATACACACGCTATTATGGTACCAAAGGAGATGCGGCCCCGTCTATTTCCCACTACGCGCTCACACACTACAGTAAATGGGAGGAGAGCATTGAAGAGTGGCAGAGGCCGATTCTGCAGGACAGGTGAAACCAAGTACTATTTCTCTGTGACATATGTCAACGTATCTGTACAGAAATTGATTCTGTATTGATTCTGAGATTGTAAAAATGCATTAAAATTCTTTCTAGAATCGATTGTGAGTTTCGTTTTTAACCGCAGATGACACTCTAGGCTAGTTTTTAACCATACTGTTAAACACTCACGAGGAAAAGTGCTTGTTCGATCTGCTGAGTCATGTAAGCTGGCTTTTCTGTCAGGAGATTAGTGTAAACAGCTCACAATGAACACTCGTGTAATTTGCACAAATTTTTCCTGACTTTATTATTAAAAAATGTATTTTTAAGTGGTATTTATAAGGAATTGGATGCAAGCAGAGTACCGCTGTTTTTAAGGCATAAAAAAAACTAGGCTCAGTCGGCACCAATAACTTATTGGTTAGTGCGCCGACACATAACACTGAGGTGCTCACGGACAAAAGTTTTAGTCCCTGATGGATGTTATTTGCCATTTCTATACTGTACTGTCCTATAAAAATAAAGGCTAAATCCCCTCTAAAAATGATTATGAAAAAAAAACTAAGTTCAGATTTGATTTAAGAGTGAATAGTGATGCATTTCCACAATCTCAGGATCCATGCGCAATTGTTTTCCCCACAGCTCTACACAATGAGTCCTATCAGTTAATCAGGTTGCCTAACTGATTTGTGTGACTTTTACTCATTCACAAAAGACTGTAAGTGAGCAGTCATGCTTCCGGTAAATTGATTTGACTGCAGGAGAGACATAGATGCATCTATTATGTGCATAGACAAAAGCAGCCCTTATATGTTATTTCTCAACAGTCTTCTTCATAACGTGTGCACTGCATACAGAGTAAATACTGTGTGCTTTGAATAGTATTGCTGCAAGTCATAAGCACCATGCTAAGCCTGTTCTACACCTTCGTTTTGTTTTAACATAAAGCAGCTATTTTTTCAATGGTTAGGCTGATTTGATTTTTGGTGTTTTGCCAATTTGGGATTAACAGTATTGGCTGGTTTGTTCATTTCATGTTTTTTTTAAACTAGTTGTGTTTATATACAATATATTTGAGTATATGTTATTTGGGGGATTCCAATCAGTCAATGGCATTGTAAAGATGCAGCATATTACAATCAGTTTCTCTCATAATAGCTGAAAGGGTCGTTCCTTTGGCCTTTATCAGGACATCCAGATATTGGAGGGTTTCAGTCATTTTAGGAAGCCTCACCATCTTACAAACTTAAATTGGTTCATCAAATAAATACAGAAAGTACCAGCATATGCCAACCATGTTTTATATATAGGTAAGGGTCAGGTTAGGGTAATCAGGCAAACTATTGTATAACGATGGTATTTTCTGAAGACTATCGAAAAAAAATTGCTTAAAGGGGCTAATAATTTTGACCTTAAAATGGTTTATAACAAAATTAATAACTGTTTTTTTTCTAGCCGAGATAAAATAAATAAGAAATATTATTAAATAAAAAAATTAAATAAAAAAATAATATTAAATAAAAAAATATTATCAGACATACTGTGAAAATTTCCTTGCTAGTTACTCCAAAAATAAAAATAAATCTTTAATGTCCTAATGAAAATCAAAGTCACATACATCTTCAAAAATTTTAATTTTTAGATAAACTATTCCTTCACATGATATTGTCCCACAGAATACATTTAGGCTACATTTACACTGCATGGTTCAAGTCACTCAATTTAAATTATTTAAAAATTCAACATTGTCAAACATTCATTACTCAAGATGCTCTTAAACCATGTGTTGTTGTAGGTCTCTTCCAGCGTGGTATAAATCTGCTCTGTTTAATGAGCTCTATTTTGTTGTGGACGGTGGAACAATATGGGTGGAGCTTCCGGAAGATGCTGATATCAGCGGTGGGCTTCGTCCTGAGGATGGAGGGCTTCCAGCACAGCCTGAAGTTGTCAAAGATTTTGGTCGTTTTGCTTACCTAGAGGGTAAGAGTGTAGGGATGTGAGATTTCACATTGCCTTCTTATGCAAACTTAAGTCAGGATTTGTTAAGATCAAGTCTTTGATACGATTTTATTTAGGTACTTTATATAACTTAATTGTGCCATTTAACAAATTAATCATGACAACTATATATATATATATATATATATATATATATATATATATATATATATATATATATATATATATATATATATTATATCTTATTGACAAAATAAAATAGTCTATTGTTTCATATTATGTTACATTTCATGATGTCACAAAATGCATTGTTTACAAGATTGTTTTTCATCATTTGCCTGACCAATCTGCATGCTGGGAGAAACATGAAATAACAGGCTCTAGTTGCAAGCTCCAAATATTTTTATATGTTGACTTTAATTTATCAATATTTTTTATTGGGCCTGGAATAGTTATTTTAAATGTGTTTTATGTTTCATTAATTTTATCTATTTTATTTTCTTCCTTTATTTTTTTATTTTTCAGATTTAAGCATGTACTTTTAAAATGTCAAAAATAAATGGTCTTTTCAATGTTGGCCATTATAACTAATTAAATATAACATGATGCATAATTGCTTATATATAGTGTGATATGATATTTTTGTCATATTCTCCAGCCTTATTTTTAGATATTTATTTATGTATGCACACGGCTAAGATTAAGCTGGATGTTAAGTTACTTGAGCAATTACTTTGACTAGTCTGTTAATTGTCAAAACTACACTTCTAATTTTGGTTAGAGATTTTTAATCTTTTAAAAATATTTTTAATTTCACTTTTATTTCAAATATTAAAAACGTGTATTTCATTGTTTTATTTGACTCTGGTTTTTTATTAGACAGATTTAGATCTCAGTTCATTGTAAATTTAAGTGTGCTTCTAAATAAAAAATTAAAATAATAATAACTATACATTCTCTACCTCTCACTGATCTCAGGTCAAGAGTACAGGATGTATAACACATATGATGTCCATTTCTATGCTTCATTCGCTCTCATCATGCTCTGGCCAAAGCTGGCTCTGAGTCTACAGTATGATATCGGTGAGCTTAAGCTTTATCAATTCATTTTGAATAGACTTGTAACACGTTTTGTATCTGTTTGTGTAGTTAAACAAATTTTTCCTCTTTGTCTTTTTCCCAGCGGGTAGTGTTGTTCAGCATGACCCCATGGAGAGGCTGAATCTAATGAATGGCAGATATTCGCCAGTCAAGACTCGAGGTGTTGTACCACACGACATCGGAGACCCGGGTGAGTTGGGCCCAATACCATACCAACCATGCATATTACAGAAATTGAAAAGTGTGTTTTTGTAAAACTGATCACAAGTGGACCACACTAAGAACAGGTTTTAAAAGGTGTGAAATTTTTTTAAGTATATTCGCTTCCAGAGGTGGTCGAAAGCACATTTGACTCAACTTTTTTTTCTTTTTCTTTTTTTTTTTGTGTAAATGCAAGTTTGGGTGTAATGAGTTGCAAAGTATTTTATTACTATAATTAAATTACTTTTCCTTTGAAAAATAAAGTGATTACTTTTCATTTTTAGGGAATTTGATTACAGTTACTTATAATGTTCTTCCCTTTTCATCCTCCACTTTTTTGCATTTGCAACCATTCACTTAGTATTTGTTTTTTCGACTATAGAAATCATTGGTGAAAGGTTTTCAGCTTTCTTCAAATGATCTTCTTTTGTGTATAACAGAAGAACAAAACTCCTAAAAGTTCAAAAGCACTCAAAGAAGAGTAAATAGTCAGCAAAGTTACATTTTTGAGTGAACTATCCCTTTAGGTACTGTACAAAAATTCAACCGTTCTGTATAAATTATTTCAGAGTAGCAGATATTGTTTATTTTTGATGTTTATTCCCCCCCCCCCAATTTCCGTTTAACAGAGAGATTTCTTCAGCACATTTCTAAACATAATAATAATTTTAATAACTCATTTCTAATAACTGATTTATTTTTTCTTTGCCATGATGACAGTAAATAATATTTGACTAGATCTTTTTCAAGACACTTCAATACAGCTTAAAGTACCAATTAAAGGCTTAACTAGGTTAATTAGGTTAACTAGGCTGGTTAGGGTAATTAGGCAAGTTATTATATAATGATGGTTTGTTCTTAAGACTGTCGATAAATAATATAGCTTTAAGTGGCTAATAATTTTGACTTTAAAATGTTTTTTTCTTTTATTAAAAACTGCTTTTATTCTAGCTGAAATAAAACAAATAAGACTTTCTCTAGAAGAAAAAAAAATATTATCAGACATACTGTGAAAATCATTTGGGAAATATTTAAAAAAGAAAATAAAATTCAAAGGGGGTCTAATAATTCTGACTTCAACTGTATGTATACAAATATTTGGAAAAAAAAAACAGTTTTGTGTTGTTTTGGTTTTATGCATGTGCATGTTTACATTGTTTTGCATTTTTGGATGAGATTAATTGTGATTAATCTTTTCCCAGCACTAGTTTTAAAACACATTTTTAAGTGTTAATAAAAAAACAACAACTTTTGACTCAAATATGAAGCGTTTAGCGTTTAATTTCTATGCGATGAGATTTATAGGGATTTTCAGCATTATATAATCAAGTAATGAAATTGCTAATTAATTAATTCAGTTACTTTTTAGGCAAAATCATTAGAAAATGTATGATTAGTAACTATTATTTAACCACTTTTTTTAAAGTAACTTACCACAAACTGTGCAAATGCTATATTATATTGATATTGTAGTGTGGTTGACTGAGCTCAAATTGTCAGTAAAGTCATCTTATCTGCACCTACTGACCTAATACTTCAACATTATAGGATGTGTGCTACACTATACAGAAATTAAACTTAGCCTTTTTTCCTTGTGTTATTTAACATAATGCTAGATTTGAATGAGCTCATCAGTGCATTGTTCATGTCCTAGTAAAACCTACTCTTTTATTTCCATCAGACGATGAGCCATGGGTTCGTGTCAACGCTTATTTGATCCATGACACGGCTGACTGGAAGGACTTGAACCTGAAGTTTGTGCTGCAGGTGTACAGGGACTATCATCTGACCCAGGACCAGCAGTATCTGAAGGACATGTGGCCCGTGTGCCAGGTGGAGATTTATTAAAGCTTCTTTATATGTTAACGTGGAGAGAGATGTCAAGTGTTTGATTGAAACATCTCCTCTCATATTCTGGCTCATTCAGACCGTGATGGAAAACGAGTTGAAGTTTGATAAGGACGGCGATGGCCTGATAGAAAACTCTGGATATGCAGACCAGACCTATGATGGATGGAAGGTGACTGGACCCAGGTCTGAGCTTATTTTATATCATTTCATTTCAGTTTCTTTGTTTGTTTGTTTCTTTCTTTTACCCAAATTTTTTTACTTTCTTTTCTTGTTTGTTCTTTTTTCTTGTTCTTTCTTCCTTCTTTTTCTTGTTTGTTTTTTGTTCTTTCTGTTTTTGTGTTCTGTTTTTCATTTTTTTCTTTTTCTTTTTTGTTGTTTTTCTTGTTTCATTTTTCTTAATTTTTTCTTTCATTTCTTTCTTTCTTTTTGCAGTTTTCTTTCTTTTTTCTTTCTTTATCTGTTTTTTCTTTCTGCCTTTTCTTTTTCTTTCTCTTTCTATTTTTTCTTTTTTCTTTTTTCCTTATTTTTCCTTATTTTCTTCTCTTTTTTCTGTCTTTTTGTTTTTTTGTTTTTTTATTATTTTTCTTACTTTTTTTCCTTTCATTGTTTCATTCTTTTCTGTTCTTTCTTTTTTCTTTTCTTTCTTTGTATTTTCTCTTTTTTCTTTCTTGTTCCTTTTTTTCTTCATTTTTAAGTTATTTTTTCTATTCTTTCTTTTTTCCGTCATTTCTTTTTTTCTTTTCTTTTTTACTTTCTTTCTTATTTTCTGACTTTTCTTTCTTTTTCTTTTCTTTTTTTTCTTCCTTTTTTCTCTTTTTTCATTCTTGTTTGTTTCATTATTTTTTCTTTCTTTTCTTGTTTATTGTTTGTTGTTCTGTCTTTTTTCTTTTTTGTTGTTTTTCTTGTTCTTTATTTCTATTTCTTGTTTGCTTTCTCTTTTTTTTCTTTTTTATTGGCAGATGGAAGAGCTCCAATTGGGCCTTATTTTTATTATTATTATTTTTTTTTGTTAATACATATATTTTTTAATTTAGATTCATTGATTCCTTTTCCTTCAGCTTAGTCCTTTACTTATCAGGGGTCGCCACTTGGGAATGAATCGCCTATTTAAGTTTTTATACCATTTCATTTTTCTCAAAATCTGTACAAATCATACATGTATATTATATAATATATACATACATGCATATAATATATGCAAATATATTGTCGATCAGATTATTATTATTATTTTTATTTTATGGCAGATGGAAAGTGACTGTGCTCTGATTGCGTTTTATGTCTTATTTTATTCATTTAATTTATTTATTGTTCTAAATCTGTCATTTAAATTGTTTTAATATATATATTTAAACCCTTTGTTTCTGCTCTGCCAGTGCGTACTGTGGTGGTCTGTGGCTGGCGTCTGTGTGCATGATGTGTAAAATGGCACGTGTGCTAAATTGCGAGTCTGTTTATCAACGCTACAGAGATATTTTGGAGAGAGGAAGTGCAGCCTTTGACAAACTCCTCTGGAATGGTGAGTGTCAGCACAGTGCTACATAAATTTAAACCAGCAGTAGTTTTCCTTATTAAAAAAAACTGCACATGACTATGCACATGCTAATCTTTTTAAGCCTCTTATGGACTCTTAGTATAACCATTCAATCTTTCATTAGATCCATTTCTTAGAAGAGAAGATTTCTTGAAGTATAGAAATCTACTGTTCCTTTCATTCATCTTTTTCCCCCCTTTGTGGAATGTCTGTTCCCGATAGGCAAGTACTATAATTATGACAGCAGTGGGCGGAGTCTGTCTAACAGTGTGATGTCAGATCAGTGCGCAGGCCATTGGTTCCTCAGGGCATCTGGACTGGGAGATGATGAATACCAGGTCAGTCAGAGAAGTGCTTAATGAACACGCTTTATTATCGTCAGCAGCTGCCTGTATACTTAACACTTCATTTGCATTCAACGCCTTAACATAGTGTCACAAATAATTTTCTTTCTGAAATATGTTTATTGGATTTTGTTTGAACTTCAGAACAAACTTTAGAAAAAAAAAGAACACACTTATTCTGAAATATTGAAACATCAGGAGTAAAACAAATGATTAAATAAATTATTAAATTAATTAATAATAACAATGTTGAATACATATTTATGTATTACCTTTTTACAGCTTTTAACAACAAATAATAATAATAGAGACTAATATTTAAACTATTCATGCTCTAAAAAGGCAGTAAAACAACAAGGATTTGAAATATTACTAATTGTTTTCTGCTTTATATTATAACATGTAATTCACTTTAATGATAGCAAAGCTGAATACTAAGCAGCTATTATTCTGGTCTTCACTGTCATATGATCATTCAGAAATTATTCTAATATGCTCATTTGGTGTTCAAGAAACATTTATTAATATCATTATCATCACTGTTGTAAATGAATGTGCTGCCAAATGAAGTGTGAAAATAGGGATGCAGCTTTTTTTAGGATTCTTTGATGAACAAAGTTTGAAAAACAACATCTTTTATGACATACATGCAAGTACTGTACACAACACTACAGTTACATATGGTTTAAATGGTCTAAATTGTGATTAAATATTGCAATTTTAAAGATTTTCAATTGGGACATTTGATGTTATTTATGGTTATGGTTTATGGTTATCTATAGTGTAGCATTGTTTTTATTTAGGGTAAAACAGATTTATGAAAGAAATGAGGGTTATTATTATTATTACTTTTATAATTATTATTATTATTATTATTGAAGAATCTGAGGATAAGGATCTGAGCAAACTTATAGAAGCTAGTAGCAAACTTATGTGTGTGTTGTTTCAAGAAAGCAACCGTTCATTTGTGTTGTGTTATTTTTATTTGTTATATTCATTTTTTATTCTTTTAATTATTTTATTTAATCATATGCTATTAGTCATTTATGGAATTATCAATATATCATTTTATTGATCATTAGTTAATTATTTGATTATTATTTGTCATTTTTATGCGTTTATATTTTATGATTATTATTTTCCAATAATTATTGCTTCATTATTTGATTTTTCTATATTGTTATAATCTTATGACTGTGGGGATTCAAGCGACACTTGTTTTCATGAGTAAGGGGTAAGAGGATGTCTATATTGTCTCTGGACAATGTTGTGAAGCAGTATTTTTCCATTGCTGTCGCTTGTGGTATAATCACAGTTGTTGGGTTTTATCCTGGTCATTGAATCATACGCAACTAAGATAATTCAATAATTAATAATAATAATCTGCTCTTTCATTATCATCACTACTTCATCTCCTGCTTCTGCTCCTTTCTGGTTTTCTCAGTCAACTCCTATATTTATAGGAGACTGTTAATTTAGTTAAACACTGGTTAACAAGTTTGGGTATTGGAAACTCTGCTGACTTGTTGTCCAAATAATAAGAGAAACGGAGGTATTCTGACAAGATCTGGCATCCAGGGCTGGATCCTTTTTATCTGGAGTGGAGATGGTGATCTAACATTATTATTATCATTACATTTACATTTAGTCTTTTAGCAGACATTAAGTCACTTAGCATGGTTATTATTACATTGACATTTAGTCATTTATAATCCCAAAAAAGAAAGGAAAACTAAAATTAGAAATACTAAAATGTCCATAATTATTGACAAGTTTAGAACTGCCGAACGTAAAATGTAAAACTGTAAATTACTTTTGACCAAAAAATTACTTTGAACATAGCTGTGGTTATTTTGTGACCAAAATACTAATATTTCAGGTCAGGGTCTTTGTTTTAATTTAATTCATGTTTATTTATATAGCGATTTTATATTGTAGATTGTGTAAAAGCAGCTTAACATAGAAAGTCTAGTAAAGTGAAATAGTGTCAGTCCAGTTTTAGAGTTGAAGTTCAGTTTAATTTTCACTGCTGGAAATACAAACACTGAAGAGTAAATCGATCAGTGCACAGCTCCACAAGTCCCAAACCAAGCAAGCCAACTGACAAAGTTTGTTTTAGAGGAAGAGTAAAGGATCCTAAAGGGAAACTAACACCAATTATTTTCTACATCTAGGCATTTCCAAAGGAGAAGATCTGCAGTGCGCTGAAGTCAGTGTTTGACCTGAACGTGATGAGTTTTGCTGGTGGGCAGATGGGGGCAGTGAACGGCATGAGGCCAGAAGGTGTTCCTGACCGCTCCAGCGTTCAATCAGACGAGGTGTGGGTGGGTGTGGTCTATGGACTGGCAGCTACAATGATACATGAAGTAAGTCAAACACCAGATCATATCATCAGGTTCCAGATGTCGTTAATAATTTAATGATCTCTCAATAAGAGATTGGAGACCCAGACAGAAATCAGAATTGGAGGTTTCGGTTTTAAACACATGATCAGCAATCAGTAATTTTTGTTATTGTTGTTTTCATTCAGCTGATCTCTGTCCAGTTTTGCAAAAAAAAACATCCTGCAGTGATTATATAGTACAAACTATGTAAACAGTGTTAAAAGCAATGACTGTAAAAAATATGGACGACGCGACAGCCCTTTTTCCCATTGAACGCCTTGAGGGCAAAACGCCTGCTTGACGGGCACAAACTGTCGCAAAAGACTGCTGAAATTGGAGCCAGACATGCGCAGAAGGATTGTCTGATGGAGCCAGAGGAGGAGCCGCGAAAATGAGCAGAGTCGAGCTTCCAATCAAACGCTTTATGTAAAATCAACTACGCCCCCCGAACTTCTCAGCATGCGTTTGCTGTCATATCAACACAAATGGATGTAATAACGTTAACAAATATGAGGGTTTTATATATTCAATCGCGCCAGCTCCAGGCCGCAGCGCATAACTTACTCGCGGCGTCGCGGGCTGATTCCGGCTCGCATGCGGCAGCGCCTGCTCGCTCGGCCGCCGCATCTGGCTCGATTGACTCGGGCTGGAATTGGGTAGTGAGTCCAGGCATCCGGAGTAGGTCCAGCAGAGGTAACATTAGTCAGTCTGAGCTCTAAGAGATAAGTCTCCGGCAGGCGAGAATCTAGCCGGAACTGTGTTTTGCTATCTGGGTGGCTAGGCGTGTATCAGCAAACTAATAAAGCCCGAAAAAAGCCCTGAACTTAGCGAATAAACAGTGTTCCACCAGGATCATGTATGTCAGAAACTATAGTTTACTGCTGAACTCATTTTGTCATGGTAAAATAACACAGAAATCGAATAATAACATTTCAGTCTACTTCAGTCTCCTGCCGAAGCTCAGACGCCGCGCTTTGAGAAACTGTCAATCACAGCTGTCAATCACGATGACACGCCCAGCATTAAATTACTGCTAAAAACAAACTGTTTACAAAAATGAAGATCTGCACCTATTTCAGCACAATAACCAGTGCCTTAATCGACCAGAACTACCTTTCGGGACATTTTATTGCAAGTGTAATATTTTTTTTTATTTGGGCTCAAGTCTCCTTCATTAACACGGAGGAGGCGGGCTTTATGACTTGTACTGCAGCCAGCCCCCAGGGGGCGATCTAACGGCCGAAACCTTCACTCAAACGTAGGCTTGCGGCACACTTGGTTAAAAGTGGCCAGAAATGATGAACTGTACTGGAAATAACTGTACACCCTTGAATAAAACAAGATATAAGAACTATAGCACATTTAAAGGTGCCATAGAATGCATTGGTACATTGTTTAAACTGTTCTCAGAGTCTATAAAATCTCCAGAAAACGTTTCACAAGCCCATTTATAACCCAAGGAGTTGACCCTTAGAGTTGTATTTTGGATTGTACTTTGGGTTTAACGTCTATGAAGACACAGGGTGGAAACAGATCCACCTCTGCATAAACAGATGAGTTTTAAGTTTATTGGCATAATTTTACTCCTGATTAATCACAGTAAGAGCTGAGTGGTGTGAAACATGCATTAACTTATATTCATCAGTGTAAATGTGTTTGTTGCCTCATTACAAACTCACATATGTGTCTTTTGCCTCAGTACAAAAGTACACTGCAAAATTTCACAATATACAGTACAGAATTAACAGCAGATACATTTAAATAGACCTTATGCCTCTTTGAGATAGTGCTGAATGAATTGTAATCTGTCTTTTTTGAATTTTGTGTCAACAAAATTGTAATGAGTTGAGATACAGCATGTCTGGTTGTATTACCTGTGAGCTCTAGACGAAGACTGTTTCTGTTTTCAAAATAGGAGTCCCACGTACACAGGAAATCGGTGTTAAACTAAGTGAAAAACAAACAATTGTTGTCTCACTATGAAACGTTATTGCCAATTAAATGTTGCCAGGACATGCATGGTAATGATGCCATGTGGAACATCACAGTTGGTGTTTTGTTCAGACTGTCCTGTTTTTCTCTAGGATTTTACAGAACTACTAATGATATGGTATATAATGTTCATGTACTAAGTTCTTATTATTCAGCTATGCCTAGGAATATGCAGATTTTTATTCAGTATTTATTCAGTATTTAACAATTACTGACCTTCATTCATTCGTCATGTTTTCAACATAATATAAAAGGAGCTTATGGATAGACTGTTTGTGTTTAGGCAGTTTTCCTTATCGCTTTTATTTAGTTTCACAAGTTTCAAACAGTCAATCAATTGAGCAGGATTTTAATTGGAAACCTATAATGAATCTCTGTTCTTGATGTTTTACAAAAGGGGATTCGTTGAATATATGTATGCATTTGTTGGTTTTATTGCATTTGTTGATTATTTGTTTATATTTGAATGCCAAAGTCAAATAATTATATTTTACTTTATATCCTTAAACTATACACAATTGTACAATTTAAATTATGATAATTATACAATTATATATTTTAAATAATGATGATGATGATGATGATGAAGAAACCTTTATTTGTCACATACACTTTTACATGTAGCGAAATTGGAGCTCCCCTGACCATACACAAACATCACACATTTCAGGGGAAAACATGTCACACGAGAGGTAGCTTTTAGAAAAAGGAAATAAGATACATTTGGGAAGAGGGAGGCGAAAAAAAAAATCCCCTCTCAGGCTTTACTTCATGTAGGGCAGTGTAAGATCAGGGGGGGAAAGCCCCAACAGCAAGCACATAAACACATAAACATACTGTAACATCGCAACAGGGCATGGGAACAGGGGATGTAGATATAATCCGGTGAAGGTGGCAGCCAGGGGGCGCTGGTCATAGATCCGCCTATCCACACCGGTGTGGGATGCGGGGGAAGGAGCAGTAATTTAGATCATCTCATCTTGTTCCCCGGGGGAAGTCGTTTGTCTCCAGCTAAGGCTGTCTGGTAGTTGAATCACAGGGAAGCCGAAAGAGAAGAACGCTTTCAAATTTGGGTGAATAGCTGCCAATTTAGCAGATATGTAATGTCTTTCACTGGTCTCCGGGTTTGTTCAAATGTTGTTCAAAACCTCTAGTTTCTCCCCAATGTTTTGCTATTTGCAGTCCATAACCACAGTTTGGTATGATGTAACAACTTTGCTAACCAACGTTTCAATCCAGCTGGCTAGCTTGGTGGTGTTTTGAGCCGCACTGACCCCTTTTATCAGTTGTCGATACCCCAAGGCTCCGCCTAAGCTCATCAGCAGAAACCCTGTTATCAAAGTTCCAAATAGATAGAGATTTTCCATATCCTCCAGTGACAGAGCAGCCAGGCTTAGGACGCGCCACTTCTCCCAATCGTCCATCATGTATCCAGCTACAAATGTCCCAGCAGGGCAGTTGGGTTCCCCTGAACCCAGACTTCTTAAGTAGATAGTTATAGGAATAGTTTTAAGAAACCAATTTATCATAATCTTAATTATGTGTGTATTTGTACTTTTTTGTTTCTTTTCTCTTGTTTTACACTTTATGTAGCACTTTGAATGTATTTATTAAAATAATATAAATTTTACATTAATTTTGAACAAAATGAGAAAATTTTTGGAAATCAAAGTTGTCCAATTTGCTTGTCACTTTTTAAAATTGGGAATGAAAAATCAGACTAATTCTTATTTTCTCAGGGTATGGTGGAGGAGGGCCTGCGCACTGCAGAGGGCTGTTATCGAGCTGTATGGGAGCGAATGGGAATGGCCTTCCAGACACCCGAAGCCTACTGCGAGAAGGGCATCTACCGTTCTCTGGCTTACATGAGGCCTCTGAGCATATGGGCAATGCAGCTGGCACTCAACAATCGGCCAAACCACGACACAACCACTGATAAAACCTGAGCTGAATCCTTAAAAATCTGCCCAAGGGAACTTTGCACTGGCGAGCAATCCATGTAAATTCTTGATTTTTGCATTTTGAACTTTAAAAGACGGCTAAATGATTTGTGCGATGTTGGTTCAGATAGAACCTTCATCACGGGTTGTTTTGAAAAGCTGACTCTTCTACTGAAGATGTGCATAAGCTTTATTACAGTTTTGCATGTAGCAGCTGTGATATTTTGATGATTGGAAGTGTGTAAATTTTCTTTGTAGGGGTGGAGGGTTATCAATCCTCGAGAATTGAGTAGTTTGAAGGAAGGTTCACATTAAAAATGACAAATTGCGCATCATTTACTCACCAAACCCTATATGAGTTTTTTTTTTTTTTTTTTTCAGTTGAACAAAATATGTTGTGCCGGAGATTGTTGGAAGTTGGTAGCCATTGACTTCCATAATAGCTTTATGGAGGTCAATGGCTACCAGCTTTCAACATGCTTCAAATTATCTTTTTTTTATCTTATGCAGAGGAAATTTGGTTTTAAACAAATGGAGGCTGAGTAAATTATGACAGAATTTTCATTTTTGGGTGAACTGGCCCTTAAAAGGATGATTCTGTTGAACATTCCCTGCATATTTTGCATTATTTCCGTTATGGGGATTTTTCTAGAATATTTGAAATCTTTTTTTTGTTGTTGTTGAAGTATTTGTCCTCGTGTATAAAGCATCATAAAGCATCTTTCTGAAGCTTGGACAAGTCAGTACTGTACATTTTAGATTACAATCATATATATATATATATAATTTAATAAATTGGAATGTATGTTTACTGCATTAAGTTTTTTTTTTTTTCTCTCTCATTTTCATTTAGTACTGAGGTAACTAAACCTAATAAAAATCACACTTGCGCTGTTTTGATATAACAAAAACACTATTAACTTTGAAATAAAATTAATAAAAGAACAGGTTGTCCACTGGGTCTTAAAGTCTTAAAATGCTCCTAAAATATGAAGTCAAAATTTTAGGCCTTAAAATGTCTTAAATTCACTGAAATATTGTGTTAGGTCTTAAATCATTTTAAACATGTTTTAAACATGTCTTGAATCCATCTCAAAGGCTTTTTTGAAAAATATTTTGTTATATTTTATATGTTTTATGTTTTATATATATATTTATTATATATTTAATATTTTTTCTAAATATATATTTTTATATTTATTGCAAAGAGATACAATTCAAAACAGCTTTTAGACATATTTACAGCAAATTCTCTTAATTAATCAGGGAAAGAAAACAAAAAGCAACACATCCCAGCTCAAGATCTTCCTTTAATACAAAACTATTAACAGAACTAAGACCTTATCTATAAAAAAACTTCCTAGACTTGGAAATCCTTGTTAAAATGCATTTATTTAGCTTTGTTATGAATGTGTGTATGATTTGTCTGGGGAATGAAGCCGTAGGTTTATATTATAAAACTATTTTTTGAGTAGGAAATCATTCAGTTATATCCACTACAGCATAAATATTTTATAAACACCTGATTATCAGCACTGATCATCGTTAAATTGCATGGAAAGCACAATCATCACTAATGCTATTGTACATTATCAGCCACTAGAGGTCTATCTTGAGCTTCAGTGTGTGTGTTTTATCAGTTTACCACACACACACGCAGATGTAGATCAGTAACTCTGCTTCAGGTCTGAGTGCTTCATCTCTCTGGAGTGCGAGAGAAGCGGCTAAAGTGCACACGGTGTTTTTTGTGGGCCGGGCCGTACAGAGCTTGGGTTTATTTTAAACACTCCTGTTAAAAATATATGAGAGTGCTGATATTTAATTGATGGCTGCACAGACTGCACAAGGTAAGTCCTGCTCTAGCACGACTAGTCAGAAAGTGGAAGAACTACTGTATCACTACTTACACGATTAAAAAGTCATAAAACGGCATTATAATGTCATATTAGCATTATTTAACGCCGTATATTAGCATCTGCGCCTAATCAAGTCCTTTCCTGGTAGCAAAATGTTGTGACTGAGAACTAACACAAAACTGAAAATTCTGTAATTTTCTCAGCGTTTACTTGTTCCAAACCTTTGTGTTTCTGTCTTCTGTTAAACAAAAAAAGATATTTTGGGAACATTGTGCAAACCGGTAACCATTGCCGTACATAATTTTTGTTTTCCCTACTATGGAAGTCAATAGTTACCAGTTTTTAGCTTCAAAATAGCATCTTTTGAGTAAATAAATAAACTCATAATAGATAGAAGTTACTCAAGGGCGAGTAAATAGGGAATTTTCCTTTTGGATGAACTGTCCCTTTAACGTTCAATTGATAAATGGCAAATTGATAAGCGTTTGTTTAACAAATACAACCATTTGTTTACCATTTGATTAGTGTGGCAAATAATGAATAAACTGTGGTTTTAATGTAATTAGTTAATTCAATTCATATTAATCTAAAATTTTAATAAAAGAAGAGAACATTCAGTTTTATAATTTTGCAAATATTAGCTACATAAATCTTACTTTTGAATTCTGAAATTTGAACTTTTTAAATAAATAAATAAAAAAATGCTCATTAACCTATCCAAATAAAGATTTTGATATGATATGATTTTGATACAAACTGATATTATTTTGCAAGAAAAATATTCATATTTAAAGCTTTCCAAACAGTTTTGTGTAACTTTCACTAACTGTAATATGCTTTTTCACAAGATATTGCACATAGTGTATGTGCCATTGAGAAGCTGAGGCAACTTTTTAACATTTTAAATATGGATACATTACTTACAAAACTGCATTGATCCCCTAAAGGAGACCTTTATTCACCCCAGAGGCACTTTTTATTATGGATGGATGTGCTTTATTGGACTACTGAATAAAAACACCAGCCGATGACATTATAGAGTTTGAAAGAGCCAGAAATTTTTTAAAAATCAACTCAGATTGGATTAAATGAAAGAACAAATTCATATCGGATGTCTTGGAAGTGAGTAAATAATATTCTTTACACATCTAATTGTCAACTAATTTTGAACTCTTTTAGAAATTGTCTCTTTTAAAACAAACATTCTATAATGCTATTGGAATTATATTTTTTAATGTTAAAAGGCCTTTCTCCATTTTTAACTTCTGCAAACAAATGGGCTATTTGCACAGCTAGATGTCATTTTAGTCAATGATGAACTTCCGGTTTGAGCTTTATATGACTATTTTTAATTTTATAAGGTTCCTTTTACAGCATATATATTTAATGTAAATATAAACAGTTAAATAGACTTCAGCATTGGTTGCGTAAAAAGATACGAACGTCCATTTAAACGTCATTAGCGGCAGGTTAGCACAGAAATTCCATTAAAAATACTGGGCTAAAATTAATTTCCATATTTTAAAGACATGGCACAGAAAATTATAATTTAATGCAGTGCCTCTTGTTTGGTCTGATACTAACTTCATATCGGATCTCAGCCAGGCAGTGAAGATCGCTGTTTTTTTTTTTCTTTTTTAAGGAAATCAGATCTTAGATGTGGCAATTTTGTATTGGATGACAATTAATCAGAAGCCCTGGTGCTGGCTGACTGAAATTAAAAGTCTGTGTGCAAATACCCCAATGGGAATGTTCATTTTGAATTTTCTCTAAATATTCTGTAACACTGTAATGTTAGATGAGTGAATGCCCGCCTTTGGATGTTTACATGATTAAAACTGAATACTTTTGCATTCTGCAGTGTAGCGCTGTTATGCAAATTTGCCCAACATTTTTAAAGAAAAGAACTCAATCACAAATTACTAATAAATAAATCTTTTGATGAAGTATGGGAGGGTTCACTAAATAATATAATCTAAAAATAATACTATCACATTAGTAGTATGAAAACTATCTTTAAGCATCTAAAAACAGTATTTAGTAGGTGAATTCCCAGCTGATAAAAATATGCTATTAAGTCATTATGTCAACAGTACTGATGAATGTCCTCTGAAGGATGAAAATGGCCAGGCTTTTGATTATGCAACATTTATTCATTCATTTTCTTTTCGGCTTAGTCCCTTTATTCATTAGGGGTTGCTACAGCGGAATGAACCGCCAACTTATCCAGCATATTCTTTACGCAGTCCAGCTGCAACCCATCACTGGGAAACACCCTAACACTCCGGACAATTTAGCTTACCCAATTCAACTATAGCACATGTCTTTGGACTTGTGTGGGAAACCGAAGAACCCGGAGGAAACACACACCAACACGGGGAGAATATGCAAACTCCACACAGAAATGCTAACTGACCCAGCCGCGGCTTGAACCAGCGACCCTCTTGCTGTGAGGCAACAGTGCTACCCACTGCGCCACCCCGATTATGCAACATTCCGATTTATATTTTTGAAAACAGATAATGTTACATTTGAAATATCTTTAGCTGCTCAAGCAGCAACGTTTCAAAAATAAAATAGATGAACATCCAGCTAAGATATTTTAGAACACAATGTTTTTGTGCTAACATTTTGAAAGTGTTAACACTTTAAAATAATGGTCCATCTGCAGTGGTGTAAGGTAACAAATTACAAATACTCAAATTACTGTAATTGAGTAGTTTTTCTCAGGAATTGAAATTTACCAAGTAGTTTTAAAAATGTGTACTTTTACTTTCTCTTGAGTACATTTTTAGTGCAGTATCGGTACTTTTACTCCACCACTTTCCTTTAACCTGCAGTCACTACTTTATTTTTTCTTTTCTATGGGGATTAGAAACATCAGTTCTGTGATTCCTGTCCAATCAGATCGCACAGAGAAGGTAAATTGCATCATAAAGAACTACCTCAAGACGTGGGATTTATAATTGCAGCAAAATGTTTAGTAGCATTAAAATTGTCCAAAAAGATGTTCAAAATCTTTACACGCATTGACTGTTTAGATGCATGTCACTGATCAGAAGATGACAGGTGTTTACTGTATGATGATTGAAATGGCCTTAAATACCCAGCAGGCACAAGACGTCAACATGACGCCAGATTGACATTGTACCCTAATCTCATGGGGTGTTGCAGTTTGTTTGGAAAAAAAAAAATCGGGTTGACATCAGAACTCAACGCCAGGCCAACGTCAATGTCTAAAGTCCAACCTAAAATCAACCAAGTATCAAGGTCTAATGATTTTACAGCTTGACGTTATGTGAACGTTACCACTATGATGTCTATCAGATGTTGGATTTTGGTTGCCATACCTGATAAATAAATGTCAGTTTTTGACATCAATATGAAGTTGGATTTTGGTCTATTTATAACCTAAAATCAACCAAATATCAATTTCATTTGACGTCGTTATTGGACATCAAAATATTGTTGTCCTTTGACACTGGCTAAACATTGGTCACCTGACATCACAACCTAAATCTAACCTAATATTAACATCTTATGATGTTGTGTGTCTGCTGGGCAAAAACTAGATGCACTACAGAATGTTATGTTCACATGCATCCACAAATTAGATGTAAATGTATCAGTTTTTTCAAGCATAATACTCACTACTCGGGACGATTGTTTTTGTTTACATCCTTCAAAATGTTTTTTTGCCTGTACTTGAGTTTTGGAGTTTTGGAGTTTTGGAGTTCATACATCCGACCGCTTGTATTAAAGGACAAAATTGTATTCCAAATAATAGATAAATCTAAATATATTTATACATTTTTCTTGTGCTGTGAAGTAAAATATAAAACTGTATATGGAAAGCATTGTCAATGCACCGTGATGCACCGAGATATCAAATTAAACCGAATCGATGGCATGATATTCGTAACCGAACCGTGAGACCAGTGTAGGTTCACACCTCTAGTTCCAACATATTTCCTGTTTTACATTTTTATTCTCTATAGCTTTCGAGAATCCAACAAAAGCCACATATTGATGAATATTGTCATGATAGCTGTTTAACATTAAGTTATGATTGAACTGCCTCTTGTTACTGTTATGAAATAGTTCCAATGGCCTCACCATATTGAAATGGTCTATAACATAAAAACATTCCTTAATAAAATGAATGTTATAAGCATAAAAAAGACACCTTTAGGATTTTGTGAAACATATTCAGGATGAGACTGAACCTCAGCTTCAACCCAATCCTTCTCCTGTTCTATCCTGCATCAGAGATTAATGAAGCACAAAGAACATTCGGGTAGCATGAAAATGAAAAAGATAAGCTCTAAACACTTCATTGTGCTGCTGCGCTCGCTTTGGCTTGAAGACGCGTGCCTTCACTTCCGGGCCCTGCAGAGATAAGTTGGCCACGTCTGGATTTATCTAAATGGAAAGCGAGAGCAGTGTGGATGAAAAGCCGGCGTACAGTAAGTGCCCATTATTAACATTTTCTGCTTCCAAAACAGAAACTTGAGTTGTAGCCATAATTGAATTCAGGACGCTGCAAAAAATATACGTATACTGTAAAATAAGATATGATCAGAAGGTCATTATGACTGAACATTTTGTATGTTAATTTCACTTGATAAATTGAGTTAAACAGGTTTCAACTTGGTTTGTTACTTTACATTACGCCAGTGTTTCCCAACTCAGTTCCTGGAGGCACACCAACAGTACATATTTTGGATGTCTTCTAATCTGACCTAATAACTTCAGGTTTTGGAGTCTCTTCTGATGTTCTGCTGAGTTGATGCTTCAGATGTGTTTGATTAGGAAGAGGTTGAAAATGTGTTGGTGTGCCTTCAGGAACAGGGTTGGAAAACACTGCATTAAACTGACTCAAAAAATGATGTTGAAACATCATTTTATTACATTAAATATGACTTATATTGACTTGTTATGAGCTTAATTTAATTCAACTCTAATATTTAATGCCTGTGTGAAGCGGAAGTTGCTGAGACTTTTATTTCAGTATGTTAATGTACTTCCAACTGAAACTGAATATTGAGTTGGGGGCGGGGCTTTATTGTTGCAGATCATTTCCTCAAAGCAAACTAATGGTAAAACCCCAGTCAGATCACATGGTTTTTATTGTCGGTTACGAAAGTAACTATGTCAGATTATGCGATTATTTTATTAAATTTTTTTCCATTTTTTCTTTCTTAATAAAATCTTGACTGGGCGTGTGTAACAAATGTGCCAAACTACATGTTCCCTCACGATCAGTCATTTTGTGAAGTCTACGACGAGTATTATTTCCCAAAGCAGTCACAAGTGTTGCTATAACAATATTTCATATCTTAATTTCAGTTTTTTTATTTCAACCTTTATAAACACTGATGCTTACTGACAACTAATATTTACATTATGTAAAGGCATTCATTACGACATGGATAGGATCAAACTTATGATACTTTTTTAATATTAAGATATTTTTTTTTATCTAAATGTATAGTTTCCTGCCATGGGTTTCTTATTAACCAATCCCTCAACTCCCTTATTTTCTTTAAAATCTAAACGTGTATTTTCCTGCCATAGGTTTCTTATTAAACAATCCCTTTGCCTGAACTTGCCACAAGTAAGACGGAGAAAATGAAAGCACATCAGCACCAAGGAAAAATCAGATGCTTAAGACATAATCTTTAAAATAATTACATATTTAAATATATAGATGAGCAAATATATAACTGAGATCTGTGAAATTGGGGTACAATCACAATTTTAATCATTTATTAAATTTTTATTTTCCACCTGTATAGTTCAGTAGGGGAGGGACACAAACAAAAATATAATTAATTTTTATTGGAAAAAAAATATTTTTAAAAACAAATTTTGTTTCTGTTATTTTTATCTTAATTTTTATGTATCTTTTGTTGGTCAGTTATGTATAAACAAGAAAAACAAATAACATTTGAGGTAAAGCACTTCAAAACAAGTCCGCTATATGCGCCAAAACACAAATTGCTGTGAGATTGTGTTGGTTTGTTAATTAAATAATCTAGCCTATATAAAATTAAAGTGAAATATTCAGTTTTACACAATTTATGACAAATTTGAAAAAGCAGGAAATGCTTTTACAATGTATTCGCAGCATTGAACACCTGTGGCCCACCCATTAGTAAATATTATACAGCCTATTTTTTGATTACATGACTGGTGCATTAGCGACAGCACCCTCTGATATAACTGTGAAATTAGTTGAAGAGAAGTTCACCGAGAAGTTGTCGTGAACTATGCTACATTACACGAGAAGAAACAATAGAATCTTGTGTCACGACACCCATTTGTCATTTACGAATCCCCACAATACCCTACGTCAAGGAAATCGTGCCGAAAACAAGACAAACTCGTGGGATCTGTCCGGGGATTAAGAGAGGCATAGTTAAGATTTTTATGGCTGAAGCAGTCAAACTTACATCATCAGAGTAGCAAAGTAGAAGCAGATGATGAGACTAGCTATGTTTCCATCCACCTATTTTTATGTGCATTTTCGATATGCGCATAATAAAACAGTTGATGGAAATGCCATGATGTACATACATTTTGAAAATGTTGAGGATAAAAAAAATGAGTAGGATAAACTTTTTATTCGATAAGAAAAGATAAGCTTAAACTTCGATGGAAACACGTTTACTAAACAAATTCCAGTATGCGCATTAAAATTCTGTGATGATAAAAATGTGTGTGAATGGATAAACCAGCAGGCTGAGTATATTGTAAACCATCTGAAATGCTGTTTAGGTCATTCTAAAACGCCTTAACCCTTTTAGTATTAGTGTTATTATATTATTAATGACCTCCAGAATCAAGAGCGGCTGGGTCCTGCGTCTTAAGCCTTCAAACACCACCGCGTGTTCACTGCGTGTCAGGATTGCCAGTCATTTATTAAATAAAGAAAAGATTCACTCAGCTTCTCTTATCGCAGCAAATTCCATTTTAAATTTTGTTGATATTTGGCGCCAGTTATTCAGGAAGTGACAATTTTGCTCTGTTTGACTAAAAAAATATGGAAACTGTTCTACATGCTTCAAAGCAGAGGAAGAGGGACGATTTAGAAGGTAAAATGTCTTTTCTGATCTTTATTTGAGTCATTCTTTTATCAGTGTTGGCAAATCAGAACAGTCTACAGTCTTGCTAGGAACAAAAAAAGGAGGAATGGGAGAGAGAAAAGGAGAGAGAGCAGAGACTGCACGCTGTACATAAAATAACAAACTTAATGAAAGATTTGATACGAGCAGGAGAGAGAGACCATATAGCCATTATAATACCACAATGTCATTTTGACATAAAAAGAGAGATGCACACATCGAGAATCCATATCTTTGGGAAAGGCATGCCACGGAGAGAGGGTAGGTTGTGGACGCTGACTAACTCAGACAGGATAGAGGTGGAGCAGAGCCACCACATGCACCTGCTTTGGCTAGATTGGGGTGGGTGAAGGTATGGAGGAGGAGGAGGCAGAGGAGTGAGAGTTCAGAGCTTCACACTGATGGATCTTTGCATAGCACAATCTCCAGTTCTGTGCGGAACAGCTTTCCTCCATCAGACAGCGCCATGATGCTCTTCTTTGAGCTGGACAGGCTGTGAGGGTCAACGGCCTGAAGGAGGACACACAGAAATGTCTGTTAGTATGCAGATTAGTCAGATTTATTGCTGAAATGCAGCATCGGTGCATCCTTATTTAGATTTTTACACCACTTCTCCAAAGATTGAGAGTGGTCATATTTTTTTCAGATTTTAAAAGAAGTTTCTTATAGAACTCCTATTTTGGGTTTTTGAAAATTACATTCCATTTACTGTGTAACACAGCTCTAAGTGAAGTGAAATAACCAGCTAAGGCTTAAATCTAAAAGTTAACCGTGTTTAAAACTATTGATTTATCTATAAAAGAGTCGACCCAGAGTGGTTCAAATGATTTGTGGGCGGTAACGAGTCTTTAGCCGTGACATTGATACAGAACTCAAGCTCCGCCCATTTCTTGCACATTCAGAGTCAGTGATTGAAGTTTATTTTTGCAAAAATACCTTATTATTATAGCCCCAGCCTTGTGTGCTGTTCCCATAATTTTTCTGACGAGTGCTTCAGCAATCTAAATGCTTACAATGGGAGATTTGTCGGCCAATTGTTAAAAGAAGGATCAGAAAAGACTATTGTTGTATGGGACTTTGTCAGAGCTTGACAGAAACTTTACAGTACAGTTCATGGATCAGTTTCTTCCTCCAGTTCACAAGTCTAAGTAAGTGCAAGTAAAATGGTTGCCTCCTTGTTTTCTCTAGCTTGCAAATTAATTATTTTATTGTGTTTTATTACTTGCAATCGTTCCACACGGCTTGTACTGTATCTAGTTAACTTTATTTTCACAAATCACGTCTAAAACCACGTTGAAAGCGTGCTGCTTTGTTTATGGATTTAAATACGTTTGTGAGCTTGCAATCTTCTGCTAGTTGTTGTTGCTCTGGCCACAGTCAGCTGTTCCTACATGCATGCGGTAGTCAAGTATGAGAATAGTTTAGCTTTTGCCACGGTGTGGATTAATACTGAATGTATGTCACTGTTTTACCTATGGTTAAGAATACAGCAATATGCTGGTGTTAAACTACATTGCTTTAATGCACTCCTGCATTGGGCCCACACATACACTTTGCACTATGACTACTTCAATATTGATTAGCCGTGGTGGGCCTTTTTCTTGCGCTGAATGCAGTCGACCAATCACAACAGACTGGGTCATTGGATCAATCAGCACAGATTAGCATCGCACTAAGGAATGGTTTGGGAACAATTAATCGCTGAACGGGTCATATGGGAGTCGTTGGGATAATTAGGTCAAAATAAATGCATAATATAAGACAATAAAAGTGTTTTTTGACCTTGCATGCATATCAGCCTGTTGTCTACCTTTTTTAACGTATGATAGGGGCTCTTTAAATTTACCAAAGCTGAAATGGAAAAAATGCAGTAAAAAGTTCAATATTGTGAAATATTATTTAAAAAGCTGTCAGTTTTGATGTAGTGTAGCCTATCTTTATTGTATAAAGCTATCAAAGCAAAAACAATCTTCATACCCCCAATAATCTGAACAGTATGCCTATACGTCAATTAATGTAAATATAACCTGATCAGGTTTGTATCAAAATCTGACTCCAAGGGCAAATCTGCGCCCTCATAGCTGTTTATCATAAACTTTTCATCGGTTATTTTCCTGCGATTGACAGCAAGCACGAAAACAGAAGCGTTGATGCTACATGTGTTCAAAATAATCTAAAACACCAAAAAGGATAACTTTATGCCACATTTTCTAAAAATACAACAAAAAAAAATACTAATACTACTAATACTTCCCTTCTTAGACTTTACAGACCTGAAACTTGCTTATAGCACTTATTCATTGTTGCTCTTGGTTGTGTAAATTGCTTCCTTGTCCTCATTTGTAAGTCGCTTTGGATAAAAGCGTCTGCTAAATGTAAATGTAAATGTAATACATTCTGTATCTAGCTTTTCCCTTGTACGGTGGCTCTGAACTGTCAAAACACCACTAAAAAAAAGGCTTTTTACGGACATGACATATTTGTACACGTAAGTTACATTACTGTAACACGCTTTATTTAAGAACATATGAGCTGGTTTTAGTCCTTAGCTCTTTCATTTTTATTTTGTTTAAAATATATTTAACTTGCTTGTTGATTAAATCCCATTTTGTTATTTAACCTTTTTAATTTTATGCAACAGTCAAGTTGTATGTTCAGTTGCTATGAAGAAAATGAAATAATGTATTTTTTACATGCTGATTTATGTGAAATCGTGAATCTAGGTCTATATAATCACCTTGCCGTTTTGAAAGCATAGCTTTTTTGCTTTGAGTATAGACTATTCAGGGGAATAGCTGAGTTTCAGCTTTTATGAACTTTGCTGTATAAAAATATAACATTTTGAAATATTTATAATTATCGGCCTATATATATCGGCTATCGGCCTCCAAGTCTGAAGAATTATCGGTTATCGGTATCGGCCAAAAAATCCATATCGGTGCATCCCTACTTTGTTTAACTTTTCAACATCAAAAGTTGTTCCATCATAGATGCAAATCAAAACTGTAAAAAAAATAGCAACACATTAATTAAGGGAAACTGTTAAATAGCTGTGTATTTTGTTACTGTGTTGCTTCAGATGCAGCTTTTTTTGCTACATATTTTAAAGCTGTAATACAGCACGAAATTCATCTCCAAGTTACCATTTTATGTTTATGGTAGAGGTCTCTCAGCAGGGCATCCAGTTCATGTTCATCAATATAACCATTGCCATCCTGTTGAGGGAAAAACAAAAGCAGATTTAGAGAATAAAATTAATATAATAATAATAATAATAATAATAATTTTAGAAGAGATTTTTATTTTCAAAATTCCAGACAAAAATCACGGACATCCAATAGACCAATCTAAGTTATGTATGTTTGCTGTTGGGGGATATGAGAAACTTTTAAAATAGTGTGTTTGTTTTTTATGCGTTCATGTGTGTTTCCAATTTCCAAAGACATGCGGTATAGCTGAATTGGATAAAATAAAATTGACTGTAGGGTATGAGTGTGTGTGTGAATAAAAAAAGAGTGTATGAGTGTTTCCCAGCACCGAGGATTCATGAGTTTAATGTACTCTCAGTACTGGGTTGTTATAAAACAAATGCCAGAGTAATTGGCGGTTCATTTAAACTCACAATAAAAGACAAAATTAACAAGTACACAAACTTGGAAAATACTCATTATCTGACCTTGTCGTAATAGTTGAAGATTGCTTCAAATTCTTCAGCAGACAGTTTGAAGTTCTAGTGATGAAGAAAAAAGAGAAAAAAAGAGAGTTGTTTATTCTTGGTGTACTGTATGTGATTTATTGTATTAATCAACTTATCTTTAGATTTGATTTTCATAACTAGAGGATAATCCTCCTAATCCTTTGGATTACAACAGAATAATGCAGCGACACTTACTGTAGCATCATTCCCCTCCCCCAGAAAGAGAATGCACACCATTCATAAACATGCCAATGTAATATATAATAAACAACGCAATGCGGTCATGCCAGAAATGCCACATAAAAGTCATTTAGAAATGGCTTTGTGTAATACACAGAGATTATTCATCTTGATTCATCTCATTAGTATTCCACTAATGATAATAATATTCGGTTAATATATAAATTGCATCGCTCTATGTATTTTATTAATTATATTTACAGTCATTATTTTATGCTGCTGTACAGCTTGTGTATATTAAAATGCCTTCGGATTTCCTCAAAGAATAGGCCAAATTCTTCCTGTATATAGTTTTCCCCTAAATATACTGTACATTTATACTAATCATATCCTAATGACCTATGAAAATGATGAATTTAAAATGTATTTAAAGTGAAGGGAAATCACATAAAAAACAATCTAAACAATTAAAAATTCATTAAATGTCTGTATATGGCTACTCTTTCATGAATATTTCAAACTTGTCTCATTTCTTTGATCGCCATAATGCTTTGAAGCTGAATTTGTTGTTGATATTTTCAGTGGTGTTGTTGAGGAAAAAACAGAGAAAGAGAGAGTGAGCATCCAGTGAATGTGGGGAGACTGGGTCAGATGAATATGTCTCCGGGTTCAAAAATAATCTATGGAGATTATCGTAACTACAGTAGGATTGAAGTAATCCCTATCGACCCATGTTCTCTGTGACAGAAAGCAGCCACCAATCTGCCATCAGGTTCACTCTGAGACACAGACCAGACCTATAAACACACATGCCTAATGAGCAGACACACATTCGCCTGCAGTCATGTGTGTTTCTATACGATTTCAGCAGAAAACATGCATCTTTTAATGGAGATTTTAAAAAAGCCATATTGCATATCTTAGCTGTTTCTCTTTAGCTCAGACTGTACTGGGATTCTACTGTAAGTGCAAACACTGCCAGCTTATTCATTTTGCTTCCAGTGCATCACATTTATTGTGCCAATTCTGTCCCTAAACACCTTGGGCCAGATTCAAAACCTCTTTTGTTGGGACTTACAAAAAAAATTGCTTTCAAAATTGAAACCTGGTTTTATTTGAAATAATACCAAACAAAAATAGTTATTATAGCTAAATCAAACATAGTTTTGCAACACTAACCATAGTTAAAATACCATGTTATGTTTAGTAAAACTGTGGTCAGTTTCTGAGAGAACAAATGAATCATCAAACTCCCCTCTCGCCTTGCAAATGAGGGTCTTATGAGCTCAGGGCTCTCTCCCGGGACAGCATGCCAAACAAGCTTTAGAATCAATCATCAGCTAAGTGTGAACTCTTGAAGTACCCTTTTTTGCAATAATAACCCTTGAAGTAAAAACTCGTGAGAGCAAGGCATGTGAAATGAGTAATTTTGTCATATTTTCATGTGTAAAACATAACATGCTCACCTTTTTACATATGAAAATATCCCCAGATGTTCCCTTGTTTCAAGTGCTACTTTAACATCTAATGTTTGTGTTGCATTAATGTGATCATTGTGTCCTTACGCAAAAATGTCACATCATCTATACTATATAGTCACTTTTGAAACACACATATGAAACGCATCATTTTTCCAAATTAAAATATTCAGAAACCTTCTGTTTCAATCAGCCTTTCACATGTTCCATATGTGTTTTAAAGGGCACCTATTTCCCCCTTTTTCAAGATTTAAGATAAGACTTTTGTGTCTTCAGAATGTGTCTGTAAAGCTTCAGCTCGAACACCCATCAGATTATTTATCATACTTTTTACAATGTTAGAATTTTTAGCTCTGACCACAATATAGCTGTTTATGTCGCCTGTGCCTTTAATGCTAGTTCTCCCCACCTACCTTTCCCACGTGCCTGTCAGAAGAAAAAAAAAACAATGTGCCTCAATCTCTGGCTGCATGAGATAAACAGCACAGTGACAGACATGAAGGATGCAGATCTCGCGTAGCTTTTGTGAGAAATACTACTGTAAGAACTTTACCAATAATTATTAGTTGTGGAGTTAATTCAAGCCTTTCTGCTACGATGAGTCACACACAATGTTGTTACAAAGTTCCGGAAAACAGATATACACACACAGCTAAGCGTTTAACTTTTGCAACTTTGCGCGTTTAACTTTGTTTTGGCAAATGTGACAGAATACACGTTAATATCCACTGCTGTATGGATATCCGTTATGTTAACGTACAAAATTTACCCGATTTAATGTCCACAAACCGGGATTGAAGCGTCTTCTTTTATAATTGTACTGACACACTGCTGTGGTGAAAAAGATGGTAAAATCGCTGTAATTCACTACAAACATGCAGTGTTTTAAAAACATTTTGAACTTGTAAAACTGATTTCTAATCACATTTAATGATGATTGATGATCCCAGCGAGCTCAACTGATCTTTTAATCAAGGTTACTTTGCACAAGTCCTGGTTTGTTGATATGATTATACACTGTAAATCCTAATGTTGTCTTTACTTAAACAATTAAGGGAAGTTGACTGAACATTACTTATAATTTTAATTAACTTAAGTTAATTTAACTTATATACAATGAAAATGCATAACTTTAGATTACAAGTATAGTAAGCTAAAAATCACAATCATTTGAAAAAAAAAAAGGTTGTTTTTAATGTAGTCTTGACTGTTAAATTTTAATATGTGCAACCTTTTATTGCAAGGTCTTAAAGGTTTTAAAGCAGAAAACAAGGCTTTATGTATAATTATTCACCATAATGGGAATAAATGGCTACTTATTTTTTTTGTAAACAATTTTTTCATAGTATATAATTACACACACAGACACACACAATGAACTGAACAATTTAAGTATAATCTACCAAACCGGCAAGTTAAATAAACTTAAATATGCAAGTTTTGGGAGACTCCATTACTCAATTAAATTGAGGCAACAAGTTTACTCAATTAATTTTGTTCAGTCAACTCACTAGGGTTTTTCAGTGTACGCGTTACTACAAAGACATGTTAATACGCAGCTGTCAATCAATTCGGTGGGCAGGGAACCTGCACTCCTACGTCACATTGCGGTGGGCCTCAAAATGGGAGGGATTTTGATCCTACTTTAACGTCAGGAAATTAAGAAAAAGAGACTTATTATCTTTAAATCACTCCAGTATGACTGTAGACACACTATGCCTACTCACAGTTCTGTCCAAACAGCTCTCAAAAGATGAATTTCATCATAGGTGCCCTTTAAATGCCACTTAAACATGTTTAGCTCATGTGACATTCATGTGGTTTTTGTTTAAAAGGATTATAGTTCACACTATACATGCCCTGGAAATCAAACCCATGATTTTAGTATTTTTGTTCATGTTTAAGTACATTATTGTCGACTTATGTAACGTTGTGAAGTCTGATCTTACCTGAAACTTGAGCAGAAAATTCTCTTCCACAGGAAGCAGTCTAAAAGACACAAGTTTCACATGTAAAACGATACTGCATTAATACAATCTGACTTCAGCTCACTCGAAGGGATTCTCACCTGGCCATCTCAGACAGTCCCAGTTTCCCGTCGCCATTCAGGTCGAACATTTTAAGCTGCAGAAAAGAGGCACAAATGAGCAAGCGGTTGTGAATGCGTGTGAGCTGTATGTGCAATTGTTTACTCACTATGGTCTGCGTATACTCATTCAGTTTCTTGTCATCATAATGTCTGTTGGCTTTCTTCAGCAGATCTGACAGGAAGCCCTAGGGAGAAGAAATGATTTTATTTAGCCATGGATCTATAATAGCTACAGTGTAGGAAGCTGTGTGACCTATTGAGTTATACCTTCAGTTCATTGGATTCAATGTATCCGCTGCGATCGGTATCATATTTTCTCCATGCCTGGAAAAATGAAACGCAGTCATTAAAACAGACACATCTATACTTCCTGCATGCATGTATAGATTTTGTTTTTGACAGGCAAAGGTGAAACGTACAAGATTTCCATTAAACAGATAAATAAAAAATATTCATACTTGTACGTGATTACATAGCTGCTATTCTGATTAAACTGGTGAATTCGGTATTACACTGGGATTACTGGCGAGCTGATCTGATGTGAAGGAAATCCCACCTGCCCTCATTTACCACAGTGTGTGTTACTGCAGTATATGTGTATATTGCTCTTTAATGGACGGCAAACGCTTTCGTCATTTCTCGTCATTTTTTTCGAAATATATCATTTCTCTCAGATGTTCAACAGAACGAAAATGTTTTTTATTATTTACAAAATTACCTTGTTGTACAAATGAATCTCCATTAACCCAGTTACACACACACACACACACACACACACACACACACACACACACCGAGTTCTTTTATGCAATGCAAGACATTCATAATGGATAACTCACAGCAAACTGAATTTTCTAGCTCTCTTAGACTTTCTTTCACTCAGATGCACACAAAGCAGCGCAGTCATTGAAGAATATTTCATGTTTACAGCAAGACATTTATCTGTAAAGAGTAATATGTTGCAAGTACACATAAAACACATAAGTACAATAACTTTTGGTGCAATATATCATACAACAAAAATAGGCCAGTCAAAATATCTAATTTTTGCTGTGCGATATGTTGCACCAAAAGATTATTAATATTAAAAATATTACTTTCATTTTAAGACCCTTCTATGGCACTCGAAAATGACAATATATTAGCATCATAAGGCAAGTACACTCTTTCAAAGAACACATAATACTTTTAAGAATATTTAATCAAATTGTATTATTTATCTATTTAATTATTAGGCACTGGAATCAGAATGTAAAAACATATATCCTAAGGAAATGTTAACAAAAAAGTGCAAGTTTGTTTTTTACCATACTGACACTGACAGACGCTGCACAATCAGATAAAACTAATAGATAAAGCTAATATTGGTTTATATGTAGGTGTGATATATATGAGCAATATCACACTAGTAGCAGTGCAATGTGACTGTATATCGGCACTGGTTGGGCACTAAGGCAAACGCGCCAAGGCACACCTCCCAGTGTGCATTTATACAAGAGTTCGACGGCATAGTAGTGTATATAAAAAAGAAAATCAAACACGGAGAGTCTAAAAACCCTTTTGTAAGAGGAACTACTTTCTTCCACCATTCATTCACATCTGCAGCTGCAGACGTCAGAACAGCAGAATCCGTTACTAATTTGACAAAACAGGTGATTTTGCTCGCATTTTAAGATTATAAGGCTGATATGCCATCAGTCTACAGAGATTTCTCCCTATAGTATTACAGTCTATTACAGTCTACAGTGTAACCAACACACCACATATTCCAGATATGCAAGTTCCACACTCAGTACACTACAATTATATGTTTCAATTACAGCACTACAACGTACAAGAGAGAGAGAGAGACTTTAAAGGTCACTTACTTGTTTAATAATCATTTGATCAGTTGTAGTTAGAAATTATGCTGCTTTCTCTTCTAAGGGCCTAATATGCGATCTCTGTCGCCATCTTGTGGATGGACAACATCAACCGTCTTTGCTCTGCTCAATGACCAGCCTGATCTCACGAGAAAACGTAAGTATTTTACGTTTTGCCAGTTTAGTGGCTAATTCGTACGAATTTGTACGAGTTCAGTCGTACGAAATGGTACGATTTTAAAAAGGAGGCGTGGCACCTGACCCCAGCCCTAACCCCAACCGTCATTGGGGATAAGCAAATCGTACTAAATTGTACGAATTAAATCGTACGAATTCATACGAATTAGCCACTAAATGAAAAAGTTACGAATTGCCGTCAGATTGTGTTGCAATGACAGGCTAATAACACCGTTTCGCAGAAATTATAAATATTTTGAAATAGGCACAATCCTAATAAATAAACTGAGTAGTTGCAATCTAAACAACTACATTCTCTCATTCTAAACAACTACACTCTCTTATGTTGCGCAAAAGCTGCAATATTTGTCAAACTGTCGAGTGTCCTGTGCTTGTTGCTGTATGTGGGTGGAGTAATACACAAGGGTGACGAATGCTGTTACTGGCAGAATATCGCACGGCTATTAACAGATCAAATTCAAGAACCAGACAGATCTGTTATACAAATATATATATATATTGCATCAAGGTCGAGTCCATGTGTTGTGCGATAAATCGGTACATTGAATGTGACTACACTGAATGAATGTGGTGGTTGATAATCGCATCAGTAAGAGACAGACAGTAGACAGCGAAACATTGTTTCCATGTGTAACATACCGTCATAAACTCTGCACTGGATCCCACAAACTGTCTGAAGCACAATAGAAAATTCTCCTCTGTCGGCAGGATCTGGGCCAGCTACAAAAACAAAGAGTATTCTCGTTATCATTGAATAATCATATTATCTTTATTGGATTATTTGTGTATTTTATTTAATTTCTTTTTTTTGTTTTTGTTTTGTTTCCTTTTTGAATACTTTCTTTAAAATATTTAAAACTAATACTGAACAAAGTATACTGAAATGGTTATATTCAAAACATTCAATATAAAAATAAAATACATATTTGCATGCATTGCAAGACATTACATACATTTGATTTTATTTTCAGCATAGTTAATGTTTTTATTTACTATATGTTTTTGTGTATATCGGAATAGCTCTTGCTGCATTACATCAAGGTATAACATTAAACAGTATCTTGATTACATGCAATTTTCAATTCATGTAATATTTATTTGCTGAATATATTTTTCACAGAAAGACAGATAAACAGATGGACACATAATAGATAGATAGACAGACAGACAGACAGATAGACAGACAGACACAGACACAGGTGGACGGACGGATGGATGGATAGATGCATAGAACAATAGACGGACGGACGGAATTATGTAAATAAACTGTATAGTAAATAAATCACACTAGTAATTAAATACATTAAATGTAATGAAGATGATTTTCTTTATTCCTCATCCACTATAGGTTTAGACCCCAGAAGATAATTCCATTGAACAGGATTTCAGCACCATGGACAGCCGCTCAGAGGAGCACAAAGCTCTTATCCAAAGCAGCCCTTTTACTACACCATCAACCAAGAGCTTCTGTTTGAGTTTTTGGTGTGTGTGTGTGTGTGTGTGTGTGTGTGTGTGTGTGTGTGTGTGTGTGTGTGTGTGTGTGTGTGTAAAGCCTCTCTCTCTGGCTTAAGAAGAGAGAGCCCGCGAGAGCTGGACAGAGATGAGAGACCATTTCATGCTCTTGGTTATCTTTTTCCGCCTCAACAGAGGAGTTTGTCATTGCTGAACTACTGAGGGGACACTAAACCATACCAAACCCAAAAGTAAGCAAAGCTCTAAAACCATCGCTCTATGACGAGTTCCACCTCTGAATGCACTGGGACTGGAGGATCACCCTTCGTCTATGTGGAGAAAAACACTTTAATCCATCTGATCTTTCGTTCGATCATCTGAGGATGTGTAAAGTATTCTTACATATAGGGAAAATATACTTTCATGATCATGGAGCTTATTTAAATCTGAAAAACATATAGATTATAAAGACAGACAGTAAAGTTAAATTTACTGCATTCAAGGCTGTCGCTGAGACTGACACATCACTGCACATGTTATGTAATTATGGGCTAACCACCAAAAATGCATAGGCATCCTTTCTAATGACACCCCCCGCCCCCCACCCCACACACACACACCCCTTTTAAACAATATTTGTGGCAACCCCTTTTTCCATCATATGCTTAATTCTGAAAAACGTTACCTGCACAGCCCCACCAAGTGGTCAGGGGATATAAAATACAATGGCTGTATTTGCCTTATTTCTGAACCAAAATCACAAATGATCATCTTTGCATTAGAGCAGTATACAGTCACATTTTTATTGAAAGTTTTCCATGTCAGCCGTTTTTAATTGTGTTATATTTTATGAATGAATTTGTGTATTGAGAGGTGCATCACAAATCGCATACTTGTGCATTTTTCTACACCCTTTCGTAGTATAAATAGTGTAAGTAGTGCATCTGAAAACTCTGTAAAGAATGAGTACACTTTAAATGATGATGCACTTATTCAACCGGTAATATGAAGTGTGGAATGTTGGACACTTCACGCACGCAACGACCGCAGCTTTGCACACATAGCAGAAAGGGCGGAGCTTTCAGCACTGATGTTGGATTACTTTATTTATTTTGGATTGTGAAAGCTAAATTCTCCTATGAGAGTGATTATAGCTCCTCCTGATGGTGAATGCAGTTACTCATGGCAGATTTTATTTGGTTCTTTGGTCATTTAATTCACTAATTTGGCAACCGCCAAACGTCATCTGGAAAATGATTTGAATGTTCGCTAGTAAACTGTTAGTGTTCCATTTGGGATGACACTACATTCATGTACTATGCTGTTGAGTGTGTAAGTGCAAAGTGTGCCATTTGGAACGTAGCTATTTGAAACGGGGTTTGCATTTATAGCAGTGTTTCTCAACCATGTTCTTGAAGGACCAACAGCTCTGCACATTTTTCATGTCTCCTTAACCAAACACGCCTGATTCAGAGCATCAGCTCATTGGCAGAGACTGAAAGACCTGTAATGGGTGTGACAAAGGAGACATCCAAAACATGCAGTGCTGGTGGTCCTTCAGGAACATGGTTGAGAAACACTGATCTAAAGATGCTAGGTGGCGCTATCTGGTGGCCAAAAGTTAAAATGAAATTTGCAGACGTCATAATAATTCTTTTTTGATCAGTTTTGCCCATAGTTATAACAACTAGTCCTAATAGATCATGAAGAGAATATCTATGCCAATTAGCCACAATTTGCCTCTCTGCTATTTTTATTTATTTATTATTTTTTTATTTTTAAAGCTCCTCTTTTACCGCTGATATCAGTGTGACCTCACACTGACCACAGCACATCAGTTTGGTGACATGGCCACTAATTGGTTACAAATCTACAAACTAACAATTCATGCTATTAGCGATCACACTCATTATTGATCAGCCATTTTAACTTCAATTACAAAAGTCTTCAGTTACTCATATTGTGATTGGATTCTTGATTACTGGTAGCAGCTATTAAATATTGGATCTCTTTAATGGCAAGGTAACATTTTCAGCCCCATCAAGCTGCAGTTACACTGGACTTTTCTCCCTATAGACCATTTCAATGTGCTAATGTCAATGGCCCTTGAACATTTTTTGCTTGTTATCATGCTATTTCATTATTGTAAAAAGAGAATTCAATCATATCTTCACATTAAAACAGCTGTCATAACATTATTTAGCAATATGTGTACCTTTTTGGATTCTCAGAAGTTTAAAAAATAAAATGTAAAACATTACAAATACATTAGGACCATTGTTATTGTTTACATTCCTCAAAAAGGTCTATAGACTTTCATTCATATGCAAGCGAATGCGTCAGACCGGAAACGCAAGCTCGTGTGACAAATTTCGCAGGGTTGTTGCTAGATCAGATACAGTTGCAACAGGAAGTTAATGAGAATTATTTATATAACTTTTTAAATTTCCCATTTATTGTATTTTATTAATGTCTACCCCAAACCTTAACCCAACCGTCACAGTACTGTAAAAATATTAATTACTGTTATACAGTGTCATAAAAAAATATTGATGTAAATTGATGTGCCTATCGCACTTTCGGCCGGCCACATGTTCGATCTAGACTTTACCGTTTTGCAGGGTTGCAAAGTTCAAGCTTGGTGAACTCAGACATGCAAAATGGCATCACGTGACTGCGTGAGATCAATCGAAGATCAAAACATGACCTCTCTGGACAGAAATTTTACGTTTACAGCAGTCACACTATAGTTTGAGTCATTCAATGGTACGAAAAGGGGCAGGATTAAACAAGATGATTAGACATTTTAAAAAGTGAGTGATTGGTCCTTATTTTAAATTTGTAAACATGACCTCTCTGGACAGAAATTTAAAGCATAGACCAATCATTCGCTTTTTAAATGTCTAATCATCTTGTTTAATCCTGCCCTTTTTCGCATTGCCATACAACAGGATTTCGCACACACAAACTCTATTGTGACTGGGGCATCACTCCAATATTCAGAGTTACATCATTAATTTGATATGATAATTTGGCTTTCTTATTATGAATATCGAAAACAGCTGCGCTGCTTAATATTTCTGTGGAAATTGTGATTTTTTTTTTTTTAAGATGACAAGTTTAAAAGGACAGCATTTAAGTGACAACAGCGTTTATTTATCTGAATGTATCTCCTCCTTTTCTGTATTGGATTTAGTTTGTTTTCATTTGTTTGCACAATATAATAAATGTGTTTCCTGGAAAAGTAAGTCCAGTCACCTCTCTTTTTGCTTCTGCTCCTCTGCTAAAAGATAGTAAAATCAAATGATCATCACTCATTCTAGTAAACACAAAAAACCTACTCTGAATGATAGAACGTCATAATACTGGTATCTTTTAGACAACGTTGAGCAGAAACCCCCAAAAAGCAGCAAATCAGAAGATGACAGATACAATGATCTCAACATAACTAATCTGAGGCTTAAGCTTAGATTCACATACCGCACACAGAAGAACAGATCACTGACTTGCACAGGCTTTGAATAAGGCTCTGAATGAGCTGCTGAAATCGTGCCAGTTTTCTAAATAAAGTGACATGTTGAAGGTTTGGTACCAGGTTAAAAAACAGTGGATATAAAAACTCTTCTGAATGATCATATCATGTAATAACAACTAGGATTTTGTTCATAAGTCGTTGAAAATATCTAATACTGCTAGATTTGAAAGATGCTGATCATTTGTAACCAATTCCCTTCTGCATTAAATGCATATTCCCTCAACTAAGCTTTAATCTGATAGACGGAGATGCTCTTCTCATCCTTTCAAAACCATTTTACCATCACTAATCTATACAGGAGTACCAAACAGGAAAATACAACTGAAAGACAGCAACTTAAAGGGGTAGTTCACCAAAAAATGCCAATTTCCTCCAAATTTACCCTGAGTTCATTTATTCTGCTCAGTGCAAAAAGAGATATTTTGAAGAATGTTGTGTACTTATAGCTATTGACTTCTATAGCAGGAAAAACGGTTTTACTTTACAGTAAACAAGATGTATTAATAATGATGTATTAATATGTAAACTAAACATTATTATGACTTAATGTTAAGGCATGCGTTAATCACGAACTAAGTTTAACTACAACATGAGTCAAAAGAGTAAATAATGGCTACCTTAATTACTCATTAGTAAATATTGTTAATTAATGTATTAATTAACATTAAAGTTTAAGCTTAATGTAACCAACATGAACCCATGAGCTGTTAATGTATAATTATGGCTTGACTTTACTTGGAGGGACACATTTTTATTAACACATCCTTAATTCCTTATAAAAAAGTGAAAATGAGTAAATAATGACAGAATTTTCAGTGTTTGGTAAACTATCCCAGCTTCATAACTAGATCAGGTTGACATTAATTGGAAGGAAGCAGCTCATATGCTTCCAGCATAACACATTTTATCCATTCGCTCATGCCATCACCATGATGGATGTCACCCACCGTTCTCTCCCTCCCCCTCATCCATCTCTCCCTCCACCCCTCCCTTCATCACTCCATCATCCCCTTCTCAATGCCACCTTCTGCCCTCTCCTTCAAGCCCCTAATCTGGCCTCATTGTCCTCTTTATATTGATTCCTGGTGTTGCGTTAATCTCGATGGGTGGTTTTGCAGAACTATCAAACCGTTGCTATTTCTTCACTTTGATAGGCAAATAAAAAGTGTATATTTACCTCTGACATCTCGATCTTCCCATCACCGTTCTCATCGAATTTCTGCATAAACTCTTTCATCCTGTCTTTAAATGAAGCATTTGAAGGATCCTGAAAAGCAAAACCAAACATGTCTGACATGTAAACAGCAGCTCGATTGAGATTGAACTGAATTTTCTTTAAGAAAACAGTCGCTGAATAAAAAATAACAAGAAATTGGATTGCCATTAGAAAACATCAGCCAGATGGTATCTGCTTAGATGGCATGCCTGTGCATTAGGCTAGATTAAACTAAGCATCTCGTTCTGCGTGGCTTAATAACTGGTTGTGACATTCAGATCATCACTTATCGAGTACAACCGCATCTGAGGTTTTGCGCATAATTAATCGACGCACAAAATTCATGACTCACCGCAGTTTTCCGTGCAATCTCCAGCTCACGGATGAAATTTTCCAGTTCCTTCCCTTCAATGCAGCCATTGCCTAGGATGAAATTCACTGAAGTTCATTTATTTGATTATGTATTCAAACTAAACATCCAAGACACGCACATGTGATTCAGCTCATGTTATCTGATGTAACTTGACAATCAGCATCTCTTTATGAATTAATTAAGGCTCTAATCATCACTTCATCTTGTTGATTCAAACTGCTGACGGACAAATTGCAAATTATAGATTAATTCAATCAGATAAAAAGAGGCATTTTCTTTGGAGACAATGCCTGCTATGTGTAGGAAAGTTCTTATTATACAGTTGGAGTCAGAATTACTAAACCTACTGAATTATTAGCCCCCCTGTTTTCTGTTTAATGGAGAGAAGATTTTTTTCTACACATTTCTAAACATTAATAGTTTTAATAACTCATTTCTAATAACTGATTTGTTTTATCTTTGCCATGATGACAGTACATAATATTTGACTAGATATTTTTACAAGACACTTCCTTTGACATTTGAAGGCTTAACTAGGTTAATTGGGCAGGTTAGGGTAATTAGGGAAGTTATTTTATTGCAATATTTTGTTCTGTAGACTACCGAAAAAAATATATAGCATAAAGGGGCTAGTAATTTTGACCTTAAAATGGTTTTTAAAAAATTTATAACTGCTTTTATTCTAGCCGAAATAAAACAAATAAGACTTTCTCTAGAAGAAAAAATATTATCAGACATACTGTGAAAATTTCCTTGCTCTGTTAAACATCATTTGGGAAATATAAACTTTTTTTTAAAGAGGAGCTAATTCTGACTTTAACTAACATTATCTTTCTTAATCTAGTTAATGTTTAATGTAAATAGTTTAACTTGTATGAAAACCAAAATGGATGGCTATATATTTCCAATTTGCCATTTTGATCTGAGCCTAAATGGTTTGCTTATCCCTGATCTCCAATCCTAAATTGACCATTTTGCTGGTTTCTGGACATAATTAGCATAAAACCAGAAAATTTGCTTTGATTGGTTAAGCTGTTCTTTTTTAACAAAAAAAATATTAAACGTAAAGTATCTTAATTGATTACTGAAGCCTATAACATTTTGTGCGAATGGCATTCCTCATGTCTAAACCAGCCTAAGATGGTTTGACTCTGCTTGATCCTGGACACTTTTTTCAGCAGAAGACCCTCACCAGCTGGCTGAACATCTAATCCAGCTGAGTGCCAGCTTGAGAGACCAGAATGACCAGATGAAGACCAGACTGGGAGGCCAGCTTAAGCTAAAAACAGCTAAACATCCTGGGCTGGTTTAAGTCAACATGTTTTTTTTTCTCCCCCGGCAAGACAGCCTCTCTCTCTTTTAGCCCCGCCTATCGCTTTTCATCTTCATAGTCTCTCAAATGCTGACACACAAATCAATTTGAAGGAAAGATTCAATTCCAGAGTGAAATCAATAACGCCAACAATGCCTGTGGGGCGTAATTTACTGAGCTGCGAAAATGCGTGGCTATCTGAGAGAAGTTAACAGGGCGATAGCAGGCAATCATCCCATTGGCGCTTTTTCAATTTTCCTGAATTATTTAAAAATATGCTTGTGCGAAAAACTGCACTGCACATTGCATGAGGAGTCCGCTTGAGTTAGCGTCGCGCTGGATCAGTGTTGCCAGATCTCGCAAAACAAGACATCGGTTCTGAGCCAATTATTCTAAACGCGTTACTGTAATGTGTCATGTTGGGAAAACAAAATATGAAATTGTTTTAATGGACAAATAATCCCTCACCTCCCCCAAAAGACAATGAAATATTCTCAGTATATTTATTATGGAAAAGCAGCTTATAATACGCGGATGTGGCAACATTCCTTTAGATGCGCACTTGCATTTACAACTTTTTTCTTTTATAAACGCGCAACTCGCCGTTGGAAAAAAAACATTAATACATAAAGTCATGCAAATGTGACAGAAAAAAACATACAATTTCACATACCAGCAGTTTATCTCTCAAACAAACTTGAAAAAAATTAACTAAAGTAAAAAAAATAATAATAATTAGGCATATTAAAGACGATATAACCTGATGTAGTATCATATTTCTCCATCGTTGACTTTTTGTTTGATTATCACTACATTATTAGTTGTTTGTTATAATTATTTTGTATTGTATTTAATCTTAAAAGGAACACAATATTCAATTTCTTTTCAGCGTAGTCCTTTTATTAATCAGGGGTTGCCACAGCGGAATGAACCACCATTGAACACAATATGTTTCTAGTCAATTAGTCAATTGTTTCTAGTTTAATTACCTGCAGGCTGACATGAAATGCACTACACAAAGCTAACAGCCTCCGATGTAGAAATAAACTAAGAGCGCTTTTCGTCCCGGGACGTTTCAACTCACCGTCAGCATCAAATTTATTCCAGATGTCCAGAAACTGAGAGGCAGTGAGTTCCGCCAAATGCAGAGAAATGGGCTCTGGTGCTTTATTCGCCATACCTATGGTGTTTCCTCAGCCTTCTGTGATTTTGTTCCTCAAAGAAAGAAATGTCCCGTCTTTAAAGCACTCCTCTCTGGAAGGTCTCTGGTAATAGCCCGACAGAACAGCAGTTTTTAACCCCCACCGCAACTGCTGAAGCCTGCAGTTCACAGACACTCACCAATAGGCGGCAACAGACAGCGATCATAAAAGCCGCTTCAGCAGTCGAGCTCATTCAGATCTGCACTCTAGGAGCAGCGCAGCAGGATTATGGAAATTAATTCAAATGTTCGCAAATCCTTCGCCGACTGTATGCGCCTTCACGAGCAGAAAATAGCATCAAACTTTCCTAAAGCACACTGACGGTGACCAATACGAAGAATGTCTTAAGAGAAAAATATATATGTAAGGCTCTGTTTATCAAATTTACAGTTAGTTCATGTAAAAGGTGTTCTAACAAATACAAAATAAATCGTTCATTTGTTTGTTTTTCCAAATTATAAGATTTAAGGATGGATGTATGGATGAGAACTAGATAGATAGATAGATAGATAGATAGATAGATAGATAGATAGATAGATAGATAGATAGATAGATAGATAGATAGATAGATAGATAGATAGATAGATAGATAGATAGATAGATGGATGGATGGATGGATGGATGGATGGATGGATGGATGGATGGATAAGCTTCATTTGCAGAACTTGAAAGTTAGATAGACAGACAGAGGTAGATGGATGGATGGATGGATGGATGGATGGATGGATGGATGGATGGATGAACATATGGGCTTAAGTTGCAGAGCTTTAGATGAAAGGATGGATGGATAAGCTTCATTTGCAGAACTACATAGATAGATAGAAGAATGGATGGATGGATCAGATGGATGAATGGATGGGCTTCATTTGCAGAACTTTAGGTGGATGATGGATGGATGGATAAGCTTCATTTGCAGAACTTGAAAGATAGATAGACAGAGAGGTGGATGGATGAATATATGGGCTTAATTTGCTGTAGATAAAAGGGATGGATGTATGGATGGATAAGCTTCATTTGCAGAACTACATAGATAGTAGGATGGATGGATGGATCAGATAGATGAATGGATGGGCTTCATTTGCAGAACTTTAGGTGGATGGATGGATGGATGGATGGAATGGATGGATAAGCTTCATTTGCAGAACTTGAAAGATTAATAGACAGACAGATAGGCGGGTGGATGGATGGATGAATATATGGGCTTAATTTGCAGAACTTTAGGTGAATGGATGGATGGATGGATGGATGGGTGGGTGGGTGGGTGGGTGGGTGGATGGATGGATGGATGGATGGATGGATGGATGGATGGATGGATGGATGGATAGATAGATAGATAGATAGATAGATAGATAGATAGAGAGCATTGCACTGATGTTGTGTTGTTTGTGGATCTATAGGGAGTGTGGGATTTTCATTCTCTGTCCCCCATCCCCCCTTTTCAACATTTTAACCAATGAACACATCAGTCTATTTATAGAAAATAAGACAGAAACTGAATTAGTTTGGGGAGCACTGGAAACACACAATGATACTGAGCCACAGCAGAATCTGCACATGCAAAACAGACAGTGATGCAACATAATAAGCAGCAGAAAAGTCTCTGTAAGATAATCCAAATGAATCTGTACCATTTCTGCCATTTAGCAGTCAATCACACGCTTGCTGCTCTCAGCAGTTTGGATGTTTAGGATGCTTACAGTTGCTTACAGTTTGTGAATGTCCTCACTTCTTCATTATTACCTTTGAAAAGCCTAGTTGTAATCCAGCATGACATGATTGGTGATAAGAGACAACCAAACACTTGCTGGCGATCCACTTGAAGCTGCACTTATGCACTTACTGCCAGAGCAGAATCAGGGGGAAAATCATTTAAGAGATTAAAAAGGTGAAGTGGGGTTGGCAGAGATTATGTAAAAGATGTAGATGTGTTCTCATTCAGTACATTTAAAAAAATACCCTTTACCCTTTTTCTAAAAGAAGTCTTTTATGCTCAACACAGTTTCAACACCGTACAAATATTATGTTATAATTTCAGTTGTAATATTCAACTTATTTGGTTACATCAGTTCCAGTTTTGGCTTTGGTACTAAATAGTCTACACTTTAAAAAATGATAGGCTTCTACACAATTTATTCTGTCCAAACACAAACTATTTAGCTTAATGTAATTGTTTTTACAAATGTAAGTGGATGGAACATAAAACAATTAAGTTGTCAATTAAAGAATTTCTTAAAATTTGTAAAAATTGTATGATTTTTTTTATTAAAAATTGAATTAGTTTTCAGATTATTGTAAATAATTACTTTGAACAAGCAGCAAATTATTTTTATGATCTACTCAATTTTTGGTGAAACAATTTAACACTCAAATTGAGTGTGAAATACATTACATTAAGAATTAAGTCAAGGTTACTAAACATTAGGTAGATTTAAATAATTAGATTAAGTAATTGCATGTATTTTCATTATAAAATAAAAAAATATATATAAAATAAAATATTGATTATACTTATTTTTTAGTAACATTTACGTACAAGTAGAATAAAAAAGTTTTTGTTTAATCATTTATGCTGGCACTGTATATAATCCTTCAAAAAAATGTATTTGGTTTGTAATGAATAATACTAATACAGTCACCAGCCACTTTATTTGGTACACCTTACTAGTACTGGGTTGGACCCCTTTTGCCTTTAGAACTGCCTTAATCCTTCATGGCATAGATTCAACAAGGTATTGGAAATATTCCTCAGAGATTTTAGTCCATATTGGCATGATAGCATCACAGTTGCTGCAGATTTGTCGGCTGCACATCCATGATGTTAATCTCCTGTTCCACCACATCCCAAAGGTGCTCAATTGGATTGAGTTCTGGTGATTGTGGAGGCCATTTGAGTACAGTGGACTCATTGTCATTTTCAAGAAACCAGTCTGAGATGATTCTCGCTTTATGACATGGTGCATCATCCTGCTAGAAGTAGCCATCAGAAGATGGGGACACTGTGGTCATAAAGGGAAAGACATGGTCAGCAACTATACTCGCGTAGGCTGTGGCACTGACACGATGCTCAATTGGTACTAATGAGCCCAAAGTGTGCCAAGAAAATATCCCCAACACATTACACCACCACCATCAGCCTGAACCATTGATACAAGGCAGGATAGATCCATTGCTGTTGTTGACACTAAGTTTTGACCCTACCATCCAAATGTCACAGTAGAAATCGAGACTCATCAGACCAGGCAATGTTTTTCCAGCCTTCTGTTGTCCAATTTAGGTGAGCCTGTACGACCTGTAGGAGTGGCACTTGGTATGGTCTTTTGCTGCTGTAGCCCATCTGCCTCAAGGTTGGACGTGTTGTGCGTTCAGAGATGCTCTTCTGCATACCTCGGTTTGTAACGAGTTACTGTTGCCTTTTCTATCAGCTTAAACCGGTCTGGTCATTCTCCTCAGATTTCTGGCATCAACAAGGCATTTGCGCCCACAGAACTGCCGCTCACTGAATATTTTCTCTTTTTCCCGACCATTCTCTGTAAATCCTAGAGATGGTTGAGCATGAAAATTCCAGTACATCAGCAGTTTCTGAAATACTCAGGCCAGCCTGGTTGGCAACAACTACCATGCCACATTCAAAGTCACTTAAATCACCTTTCTTCCCCATTCTGATGCTCGGTTTGAGCTGCAGCAGATCGTCTTGACTATGTTGCTGCCATGTGATTGGCTGCCTAGAAATTTGCGTTAATGAGCAGTTGGACAGGTGTACCTAATAAAGTGGCCGGTGAATGTATATAAATACCATAACAGCTATGTAGATTAGTATTTTTGTAGAAAATGCTTTGGATCAATATGAAGTTTAAAATTGTAGAAACTTGAAATAAAACTGGCTGTTAGCAATGTAAGTCTTTTGATCAGTGTATTGCATCCTCGTCGAATAAGATTATTTCTTTAAAAAATTGTTGAACTCGCTTTAGCTTTACTGAATGAAATTTCGACATTTTCAAAATTAAAATGGCATTAGATAAATTCAAAACAGAAAAAAACATCTGCATGCAAATAATGACCAGATGCAGTAATTCCAACATTAGCCCAAAACACTGCTGTACAACCAGATTTCTCCTAATCCACCCAAGTGATAGTGATGACTGCCACAAAACATGATCTGATGCAACAGATTGGCTCATGTCCAGTAAGAGAGCTCAAAAAAGCAGCATCTCTCTAGAATCAGATATCCAATGCCATCTGCAAAAAAAAATGTACCCACATATGCAGAATGCTGTTCATCTGATGTAAGAGATAATAGAGTTTTAGTCAATGTAGAGTTCTGAACACATGCAGAATGCACTTGATCCTCTCCAAAGGCCAGATTAAGCTGTGCCACGTCTGCCGTACTGCTGTCTTGTGGTCTGTGATGAGCATGATGTCACCAACATTAAAGCACGCCCTGCTGCATTGGTGACCATCTCAATTCTCACACTCAGCAAAGCTAAGACACGCACAGCCAAAGACATCTCCAGCTTAAACTCATGCATGGACAGTGCACACTCTTAAAAATAAAGCTCCCAAACAACTTCTATAGCCTCACGCTTTTAGTAGTCACCCGGTGTTTCGAATAGGACAGGATGACCTCTATTTTTACTGTTTAAGTAAATAAATAGTTCTGATCACAGTCACTAATGTGTGTAGCTGACAAATATGCAGTAAAAATGCATTTTTTATTATGTAAACACCATTTTTGAGTTTGTTTGCCACTTGTCCTCATAGATTTGCTCATTTTAAGTAGAGAGTTCGAAGATGTGTACTTTGAATAAATTATTTACCTGCCCACACTATTAATTATTTATATATTTATTTATGCAGGAATTTGTGGATTTTAATAGAAATCTATTTATTTATTTGCATATTACTTATTTATGCAGGGATTTATGGATTTATTTACTTATTTATTTAAATATTTGCATATTTTTATTTATTGTTTATCAAATTTTAAATGATGACTACACTAATTATATTCATTTATGTCATTTAACAGTGAAATGCAGCATCATGTCAGCAAC